ACATGTTGGGCTATCCGCAAACCCCAACGGCTCTCTTTGCTTCATGTCAGGTTCCAGTTCCTCTCAGATGATGTCAGAGCTCAATTCTAGTATGACTCCCGCTATGCTAAATTCTGTGCCAAGCTCTATTTTCCCGACAACACATGTAAGTACCCCTGTTAGTCTCCAGTCTGATAATCCTTCCATATCCTCTGGCGATATTGATGGGGTTCAGAACTGGGAAGCTGGTATCCTTGCTAACAATGGAAGCAAAAGCAATGGGCGCAGTGGGAGTATCCAATTGCATAGCAGCAATAACTTCCTTGAGAACAACAGTTTAGTAGCATGGGGATTGGCAGACTCTGTGAAGGCTGATAAAGAAGCTCAAGTACCTCCACAAGCAGAACAGGAAGAAATTAAATGGTCTGAGTATCTGAGCACCCCATTTTTCCTGGGAAACACAGCACAGAATCAAAATTGTCAATCTATTTACAGTGAGGTTAAACCAGAGACAGGCTTCATAACAGATGAATCAAGTACCAGTTGGCACCAAACCCAGCATCCGTCCGTTTTTCAAGCTTCAGACATCTACGCCAAGGATCTGCAAAGATTCTCAGTGGCTTTTGGACAAACCCTGTAGTCTGTATTTAACATGTGCAAACTTTAATTTCGACCAAAGAAAGAGGCACCGACATTTCCAGTATGAACTGAGTCCGAAAAATTTCTCGTGAGTTCTGACTACAGGTGTGCGCTACAGAAATTTCTTTTGTTTATATGTAAATGTGTCTGATACAAAAAAACTCTCGAGCATTCTGTTACAGTATAACATTTGTGATTGATTTAAGCTTCTCTTTATTTTTTCTCTTTTTACATTTTTCTATTATCATCGACCTGTAATTTGTAAACTTTATCTGTATACAATAGACAGCATTTTTTAAAAAAAAAAACATTTGTCACTTTCCATGAACATTTAGAACCTAAATGGTAACAGATGCCATTAACTTCGTGGAGGATTTATCTCATTCGTTTTGAAAATCCTAAAATCTTCTCTTTGAACATTAGTCTAGGTCTCCCTTAATCCTTTTCGAATGGGTGTCCAGAGAATTCTCATCTTGTTTTCTCTTCAAACCTCAAGGGACCATGTCTTAAATGGGTGTCCATGACTGTCTCCCACAGAATGAGATGGTTTTCACTTTTTCGACGTCCAGAGCTAACTCCCCCCCCCCTGCCAAAAAAAAAAAAAATCAATGACTGAAGGCAATGTCTTGAAAATGAAGACGGTGGTTTCCCCTTTTCGAAAGGATATCCAATGATGTCCACAATTAAAATCAGTTGCCAAGCAAATTTATTTTCAAATGAACAAATCTAGAACGAAGCCAGAAAATTTTGGATAAACCAGCGGCACGCTGAGAAATAGTGATTTTAGAAGTGTTTTAACAGTTTATGAGACAGATGTGTAAAGAAGTTTGCTTTGTTTTATGGAAAAGTACTTTTAGGAAATATTTTGACAATAATCAAACACCTTTTTAGGAAGTGTTTGAATGAAAACCAAATCATAGTTTCAAAAGTCCTTTTACGGTTTACAAAATAAATATGTGAAGGAATTTGTTTCATTTTATGAAAAAGTACTTTTAAAAAGTATTTTTGACAATAACAAACACCACCTTAGTCAATAAAGGCCCCAAAAAAGCACTTCTACAGTTAAAATCATCTCAGGGACGCAGTAGAGTGAAAAATTATTAGGAAGAAGATAAAGTGGGTTCATTGTCAGGGAAGAGGATATTTTAGTGAACAGTACATGAAGAGATGACGCGATTTGTGCCATTTATATATCAATAGCATTCTGTGTGAAACGTCATTCGCGTGGGCCTAAGCCTCTATAACCTTTGTGCCAAGAATGGGGTCCTCCAGTGGACATCTCCTGATGCCGAAATAGCAACATCAAAGGAGGGGGTTAGGGTCTTTTCTCAGACATGACAGAAATGACTCAGTGAAATACAGGGAAAAAAAGGAAGAAAAATGAAAGAATGCCACTTGGTGAGAGATTGTTCAGAAGACGCATCACCCCCACCGCAGAGACAGGTTTTTTATTCACCATGTCTTTGAGTGGCCTGGATGAGGTCCCAGAGATCATTACTTGCTGCTTTCAAGGTAGTTAAATAGTTTTATCTACAGGGAAACCGAGAAAGAGGGGAACTGTCTGTGTAGAAACAAGAAAAGTTAATATTTCGCCCTTCTAGGTCCAGCGAAGTGAAAACTAGAGTCAAAGTAAAAATCATCATATCACTCTTTTACATATGCATCACCAAGGAAGTTCGGGTCAAACTGTTTCAGTGCATCTGCTGCGACAGTGATGGCTTTTCCGTTTTCCCCATAAAATTTCTCCTGCTAGCTAACAAGTTCAAAATTTCAACAAGCAAGTTATCTTCACAATAAGAAGAAAATTAAGCATTAAACATGTCATGTTCATCAAAGATGTCCCTATAATGAAGAAAAATGGATATTTTAAGCATCAAGATTGTTAATCCATAGGAAAGGACTTTGAAAATTCTAAAGCCATACGTACTGAGTCATTCTTTTTCATTTCCTCAAACCACCTACTCGCACCATGGTTCATTGTCCATGTGCGCACGCATTCAAAAAAGTCTACTCCGTCATTATATAATTTCCAAGCCTATATATTGTTTAATTCGCAGGCGATAGCGATTGTATGTATAAAATCCCCGTGCATGTGAAGCAAATTATTGGGGCCCCACAATCATCAGGATGCAGGAACAGAACAAAAATCCCGAGAGGGATAACGGTGGCGGAGGCTATGCAACCCCAAGTTTGATTCCCATATGGAGTATTAATATAGTGATTGAGCCTCCGAGAGAGTTGTTTGTTCTTAATTCTTTGCATTCATATAATTGCAGGAGGAACAATATTATAAGGGCATAGAAATAACAAGCAGATTTTTTAATATGATGATGACTATATCATTGAGCTGATGATGACGGTGTTGATGAATGTCTATAAAATAGCCTTATCAGAAGATTTGCTCCGCGTGACAGATCATTTATGCGTAGTTTTTTAATAAAGCAAAGACGAATAAAAATAAGGCAGAAATTGAAAGTACAATGAATAGGGAACAGGATAGGAATCAAGGGAAGACAGCATTAGGGCATATGAAATTGTAATTACCATATGAAAGGAAGAGGACGAGGCGGAGAAAGATCGCCACGGATTTTGATACTTCCTTAGCCTGCATTAGCCAAATCCACTTCACAGGGTGATCAATAATTGATGATAATGACATGAATTGCAAGTTATACGCCATGATGATACAAAGAGACTATTGCTGGCGCCGGCGCCGACATAGGTCATCGCATCTCCGGGAGTAAGGGTTTTATAGCAAAAAAACATTAGGATCGAAAATAATTTTTTTCACTCCGATGTGTTAATTCTCTAAACAATCCACAAATAATCATCCCAATCGTTACTGCATAGTTGACTAACAAAGATGACCTCACCTAGCCGGTGGTCCATGGCGATGGACTCAGCCGGACCGTCCCCACGAAAGGAGAGTCGTCCATTTCAAATAAATGAAAAGACAGAAGGGGGTTTTGTATTGTTTTTTCCTATCTTATTATTTTTTTCTTTTCCCAACTTCCTATTCTTATTATATTACCGTTAGGTCGTAAAGAAATTCAAAATTACATCTATCCACGGCATTTGACAGAGCAGATATAAGGTGAAAGTATGCTAGTTAATTTTTTTCCCGATCTGATCCCTCTTCAATTGCGACAAGTTGACACGCTTGCATCAATAATTTTAATGAAAGTCAAAGTCAGAAAGTCACATTTTTTTTACAGATTTAATATTAACTGTCACCTTTTAAGATACGTGTTAATTGTTCATTTTTTAATATACATTATTCATGATATTTATTATTATCGTGTCATATTTTAATATTATCAAATCAAATTAAAAGTGACTCTTTAAAAACAATTTCTACATTCACACAAATGTAAATCGAACACTTCGTGCTCAGACAATTGTGACCTTTCCCGTCAGGACAAATCCTTTTGGTCTATTACAAATTTGTTATTGATCAAATTAATTCTAAAATGCTGGGATAAAAGCAAAGTATATTTCTGTCATGCCCTTCTTAGATGTAATAAGAGACTTGGTTTATTATTTACAATAATTACGTAGTTTCAATTTCAACACAAAAGACGATGAATTGCTCATCTACAAGAAAGAATACGATAAATAGCTTAACTTATCTACCATGACATAAAGTATCGGCCATGTATTTTTATTTTTTATTTTTTTTGCATTAAGTGTCGGGCTCATAGCAAAATTGTCCAAATTTTTATTAGATCATAGAAACCAGTGTTTTAAATAAAAAAAAATTTAAAAGACTAAAACTTATAATTTAAAATTTGAGAAACTAAAAATAAAATGACGGTAAACTTGAAGGATTAAAGTTTATATTAACTCAAAAATAAATAAGTAAAAATCTCAATCAAGGAGTTTCGGGCCAATGAATTATTTCTTTTGGCAATCATCTGTCTTTTTTTTAATTTGTCCTCCGCGATAGGGACTTTTCTCACCATATAATTAATAATAAAAAACAGCGCCCATGTACTACGTGGTTCTCAGTTCTTCAACATACCAATGATTCGTTCGCGGAGGCAAAGTCCTCCTTAACAGACTCGCCAGAACCTCCCATATGAATTTGCTTTCTCCGATAAATCATCTTACTTATGAAATTCTCCAGCAAATTATACTATAACACTACATCGTAAATATTTACGACATTTGGTCACATCCAAGCGTCCAAGGCTATGGCTAAGCAGTATATGTAACTTCGCACATGGAAATAATATTACAAAAATGCATGGCATTTGCCAGCCTCAGCAACCACGACTGAAGTCAATAAATTGTAAGATAGCTTTCATCAAATACGCCAGAAGTTGACTGAGAATTTTCACTCATCAGCAATCCTTTTGTTTATTTATGGAAGAAGTTGAATGAATGGCATGCTCTGCGTTCAGTGGCTGAAATGAAGAGATGGAAACTGATAATATGGGTGAGAGTGATAGCAGACTCATTCAAAAACCAGATGGTGGCATGTCTTATCGCAAGGGTAAGCACAGTCAATGCTTTTTACACCAGCTCGGTCAAAATACCAATCCCCAACAGCCTCAGCGATTGCCTGCACATTCATTTATGTAAATTACTATAAACATTAAGATCTTAAGTTGAAGGGACAAAGTCAAATGATAGGATTACATCTTAAATAGCAGGGACATACCGAAAATAATACCGTTGCCATTGGAGAACCAAAATTAACCACCAATTCCCGGTTAACGTTCAGTTATTACAGGTTCCATATAACTTCAGCCTCATTGTTTACAATTAGTTATAATGCAATATGCGGTTTGGATTGGTCGTTAAATGCATTCTTAATCAACCAAACATTTTTTTCCCCAAAAATGAAAACCCATTCAGGCAATGGATATCCACATGTGAAATTTCAACTAAAAATGCTTTGGTAGTGTCTCGGGCTCACCTTTTTCCCAACGACAGGAGAATTGGGGGCAAACCACGTATCCTGCCTCTCGGTTTGACAGTGGGAAAAACAAGAATTTACAAACAATCCATTATGGCTTGATCTTGAGAAGTCTCTGACGGCATTCAGCATGTGATTCCTGAATCCTGTATCACAGAAAGAAGAGAGTCTCTCCATGCACTGACTTGCTCAACGGATTTCTACTTAATTCAAATGAAAATTTCTCAATAATAAATCACCTTGCAGAAACTCTATTTGATTTCTAGTACATCTATTAAAGTTTAATCTGCAACGATGCCAATAGCCTTGGCGATCTGCTGATGGAGGAGCTATGCTGGATTGTATCTGATGCAATCAGAAAAATGTATAAATTTTGTCTAATTTGCCAACAATAAATGTAAGGCATCGCAAAGCAGTGCCTAAAACAAACATCCTTTATCAAGATATCTAGGTGATGCTAACAATGAAATATGAAAATCAGACAATTTACCTGCCACGTATCATAGGCCGCATTGAGAATGAATAGTGGGGCGCTAACACTGGCGATCAAGTTCTGAGGGAAGAAACACTGGAATTTCAAAAACAAAAAGTACTAGCAAAAGTGAGATTACGAGCAAGCAAATTATGTTCTACATGATATATCTGAATTCTCAGGATAGTAGAAATTGGGTATTACTGAAGTTGGATCAAGATGGTTGGTACAAAAGCGTGGCAGATTCTTCCACACCCCCTGCAATGTTCAACAGAAGATTTACAAAGTTCAAACTCAATGACTTACAATCTGAGTTGTAGCTAAGTTTTAAGTGAGAGTGGTCGTCCTTGACAATAACAGGAAAGTAATCATTAGCAAAAATTCACATTGTACCTGCAATCCTACAACACCACCATATAGATCTTTGAGAGTACGACCACCTGAGACGTCGGCCCTTCAAATTCAAAAGAGACCAACAATTAACAACTAATTTACGAAACAAAATCCTACATGAATGGCAGAAAAGGTATGGGAAACATGAAATACTGTGGTTAGTTGCTCACACGTCAAGAAATAACCCAGCATCACTCAAACACTTCACTCTAGTAGCACTCGGAAATAGACCATGAAATTCATCACAGTGTATAATAGCAGCCAGACCACCGGCTGAGCATCCAGAAAGAAGAGCCTAAAGCACCAGTAGTTGTACATGTGATGAGAAAAATGATGATCAAGTAGTATTTTAGATACAAGTGACTGTACAACCTGCTTGGCATGACGCATTCCCTTTGACATCAAATCTTCCATTGCAGCCAACCAAATGCGTTGTCCTCTAAATTTCAGTTTAGCAGCCTATCACAAACGTACAATTTACACAAACACGTCCTTTAGAAATGAATGTCAGTAGCTTTAATTTGAATTGAAAAGATAAGGATACTAATCACAAGCAGTCTCTTCCTCATGCCTCTTCCGTAGAGTTTCCCATTTTATAAATGTGAGTATCTACAAGACTACAACTAAGAGTAACAGTGACACATCCTCATTTTAGGTGTTCGATTACGCAACTGGAAGCACTACGATTTAGGAAAAGTATTAATTAAAGCCTAGAAGGATTCAAAACACATCATCTTATGATATTTCTTCTCAGGCTAGTATTCACTAAGTAACCTTTTTCATGACCCTTATGAGACTCTTGCTCAATTGGGCTTAGTAGCTTGAGCTTCTAGTCCTAAAAGTTGAGATGTTACAGCCAGATAATCAAGGAAGATGAAAACAACATAAAAGTTGGTAGAGCCAATAGCTATATTCATGAGAACTTTTTTCTCATTCTTCATGATTACTGATTCAAGCATGTGCAGTAATCAAAATGTCATAATCCACATATTATATCAAATTTGAAATGCAGGCCTTTCTTTCTTTCTTTCGGGTTATTTTACCATCTTGACAGCCACACAAGAATTAAATTTAATAATGATGATGATAGCGATAAAAATAGTGAACAGCAAGATTCTATTCAACCTTATCTTCATTATCCCCAGTAAAAGAACCACCATCACAATAACGAAGCCTCACTCTGTTCCAGTTGAAAAAATCTAAAATCACAGGAAACAAGGACGTGAGCAAGGCAGTTAAGAGTCTTTAGAGAGGAAAAGAAAGCCAGAATTTGATTATCCAGGCAGGTGACAGGACGGAAACCTCGATTTTGTTCAGCATTATTGCTTAATATTCCTGTAAAAGGGAGTTCCTTTTCCATAAATTTTGATGATCCACGTCTCGTTGTCTTCCGGAAAACACATGATCTAACACTATTACACCAACCACCTCCCTGTCACATGATTTTCACTTGAATATCAACAGATATCATTACACCATAGCTGTAATACAGCTTGATCAATAATAATTAACACTTTTTGGTGCGTAACTTTTGAAGAGCGACAGACTTTACCTCTGAATAGTTTCAGTATACAGTACGAGAAAAAATAGAGAAAAATTTATAATGAAAAAGCAAAACCTCTAAGTGGATGAGCCAGCTGTTTGCTCCTGATCCATGTCCTCGATGCAAATGATAACCAGGTAATGTTCCATCCAAGCAAACTGCCCCACACAAATAGTCCACAGCAGGAATGCGAGAAACAAAGAGTCAGGAAGAAGGATTTAGTCGGAAATAGAAGATGTTGAAAGTAGAACATATGGACAAATAGCTTCAGGATACTATATAAAGCAGCATCACCACCCCAATCAACCAAAAAACGAGATTAGCAAACAGAATAACGGTTCTGTCGTCGCTAAAGAATAACAAGTTCGCTTCAAACACCAAACAGACTTGCATACAAACAAAGAAGAAAATGTGGCTGCTTATAATTTCAGAAGCAAGAACTTAGATAAGGTAATGAAAAACCCGTAGAACCCAGAGGAAAAATAGACGTGAATGGATAAAAAGAAAGTGAAATGAATGGCGAAGCTAGTACCTGCTCCTTTAGCTGAAGCACCGGGAATGAGGGTTAGTCCTACGAGCAGAGGATTGGGGCCAGCCAAGGACGCTTCATGAGCCTCCAACAAAGACAGCTCTGTTTCGTTGAAGTGATGGTCTGCGAAACCATGAACCCATTCGCTAAAAGCAAGTCCTATGACAATGCCAACCCACACTAAGTTGGCCATGCCTGCTGTCTGCCAAAACGACGCAGAGCTCCGAACTGAGCAGGAGGTACTGCAGTTACTTGCGTGGTTAATGAACCCAACGATGCAATGCCAAATCTGCCACTATTGTAATTTAAATTATATTATGTGCTTACATTTGGGGCTTGAACTCTTGAAGAGCCTGAGAAGAATAGATAAAAAGAAGGGTATAAGAAGAAGGAAGGAAAAAAAGGAGGATATAAGAAAAAGCAGGTGAGCCAAGTCAGCGTTTGTCAGGCTTTTTATAAAGATTTGTTAATCTGTCTTGTCTTCTTTTCTTATATTCTTCTTTCTTGGGTTTAAGCGCATAATATCGTTTAGATTACTGAATTTTCTTTGCCAACAATAGAAGAATTGGCATGGCATTGTTCGGTTAGCAACTACTGAGTTCGAAGCTGTGTGTCGTACTGGAATCCAAACATGGCTACGTACCAAGCCTTTTGAGGCTGAATGAGGGCCATTTTAAATTATTTATAAAGAATTTTTTAATCATATATAATTTATAAAATATAAGATAAGTATTAGAGAGAAGTTTTGTCTCTGTTTATAAATTATTCTAAACCTGATTCCAAAATAGCAAACAATGCCATAAAAAATGTCACAAATTAGCTCATTGAATTGAGGATGAATGCATGTGTTAATGCTAACACGTGTAGGCGATGAGAATGAATGTTGGCATCGGAATGAATCCAACATCCAGGTTGGGTCATGTTCTCAGACGCAGACACTCACATCCATTGAGTCGTCCCCTCAAAAAACGTGGCATGCGTCTTCTCTCTTGCGTCAACCTGAAAGCGAAAAACTTAACGACCACATAAGAGGCACTAATCAGCACGTGCCTAAGCGGCTGGACTCGTCTATCCTTATTTAAAAGAGAATTCACTGCGTGATGCCGAGAGTAACAAGAATGTAAATGAAAATCAGGTTTTGGCCAGAAAATAATAATAATAAGCTAGAAAACGAAGTGTTTTTCTCACGGGTGATGTGTTAGAGCAACATGCCAGCAAATGACCACGACTGGGGGATGCGAAGCAAACCCAACGACACTAACAATTTTTCACAATGCCAGGGCGGGAGGTGAGCATTAACGACGATGACGAGTCCAGCTTTGAGGTCGCAGTAATCGAGAGTGAATAAGCTGGCATTTTCCACGGCGTTCCGTTCACGCAACTCGTCCGTCCTTTGAACTTGTGCCCACTGCCTATCCCATCAGTTTGGGTTGCTCACCCCTACTGCGTCGTCACATGCCTCTTGCTAATTATTACCTCCGGTCCTAATTATAAGAGCCAGTTAACTAATTTGAGGAGATTAAAAAAGTAAGTTGAGTTAGTTATTTGTCCTAAATAGGTGTTGTCTTTCTTAAAATAGCAATACTAATCAAATGTATTGATTAGAACTATCATTGTTAGAATGACTACTTTAAAAAATATATATAAATATGAGAGACAAAATGGATTGGAGTCTTACATTTAAGACCAAAATAAAAGCCAAACAGGATTTTATATTAAAAACCGGAGGTAGTATTTAAGAAAGATATATGTGAGTTGACAAAAAAGTGTTGGGTTTCTTGTGTTTTGAGGCGAGGCAGGCGTCATAATGGAGCACGGCGGAGTTATAAAATGATGAGGCTGCTCTTGTAGGGGATGCCGTCACATGGAACCGAAACCAAAATGTGGCTGGAGTCGGAATCATTGATGCCGCTGCCCCAACCGTGAGGGCTAGGCGCCCCATAACCACATGCTCTAACCAAATAAGAGGGGCTTCCCCTTTTACTTTTAAGATGGTTGACAATTCACGAGCGCCCCACCCCTAGCCCATCCCGGCATCCCCTACTCCCGTTCACGCACACTCCCCACAACACCCTATTCAATTGACTTCCCTCCTTCATTTGTTATATTTTCATGCGCTTCTGACTGGACATCCTACGCGGCTATATCTGCCTGGGAAGTTCCAAATGAGTGGATGCTGTTGGCTATTGGGCCTAGCTTGTCCCCTTTCTAGTTGTTCATTCGGTGCCAACTGGCAAATACTTATTGGGCTCCCCCATCTGCCCTTCTTTCCAGCTCCATCGGGGACGACCACTGCGATCACGTTGACTTCCGTGGATCCATTTAGGCCCATTTCATTCCTCCAGACAACAAAGGAAAGCATGGGCAATCATTAGCACGGAAAAGAAGCGGTGCTACAGAACAGAGCACATGATAAAAATAAATTTTAGGAAATAAACAATAAAAATATACATAAGGACAAAAATGTCTTTTAATTCAAAAACTGTTTTTGTATAAGTCAAGCTTTAGGTGCCTTTGCAATCATGCTTAAAAAAAACAACTTTTGACCCATAAGTCAGGTTGGGTAAAAGTTGTGACAAATAGTTCTTAAATTTGTAAATTTACTTATCATACCTATTAGTTACTAACTCTAGTCTTTAATATAAGATCTCATTTATCTTTTAGTTTAGTTCTAAATATAAGACTCAAATTTACTTTGTCTCTCATATTTGTGCATTTTTGTCCAATCCATCTAATAATAGTAATTCTAGCTAATACACTTGATTAGTAATGATATTTTAGAAAAAAACAATACATATTTGTTATGAATAATTAATTTAATTTATTTTCTTAACCTTCTTAAATTAGTCCATCAGTTTTTATATTTGGTATTGGAGGTAGTATTTTTTTCCTCCTAGAACGCTACCCCAAACAGGCTGCGAGTCGGCAGGAAGAGGGTTTCCGGCATGAGCTCTCCCAGACCAACCAGACGTGCTTGCGGAAGAAATGTGTTAGGTTCCCCTTGTCTCAGCACTGGCTTCGGCCAACCAAACAGCACCTTTAACGTTTTTTTCAAGTGACAGATATTAGGTATACGTTTGAATCTTTGATACTGTAAGTATGATCCAAAAAATGGTGCAGCTGGATTCTTTTTTTTTTTTTTGACCGAAGGGGCAGCTGGATTCACAAAAAAGAGTGATCAATACATTTTTATTGGCTGCATGAGTAATTATTATTATAAAATATTTTTTAAAAAAATAATTTCGTATAAATACGCAGATTCTACTTTATTTAGAATCTAATCACTAGCGTCACTGGTCAAAATTTTACGTGGGGCCCAACTCAATTTTGTAGATTCACATCAATTGATCGGTGCCCCTGAGCAGCGATGCAGGTTGCCGGGTTAAATTAGAAAAAGCATGTGATTGTTACAGAAATCTCGGAGGAGACTACCTATAATTTTTTTTAATCAGAAGTTGAGAAATTGCCAGATTTTTTTTTTCATTTAATTGACAAATTGTTGACTACAAACTGGGTCAATTATTTGACAATTAAGTTAGGAAAGGCATGTGATTGTTATAGTGTTTCTTCTTCTTTTTTTGGGCTTTGGCCTCTAGCTAATGAAGCGCTCCTTAACTTTATGTCCTTATCACTGCACCGTTTCTCTGCATCAGCATCACCATCTACCAACTTTTATATGCAAACTTTGACGTGATTTCATTAATTTGTAATCTTTTTAAACGTCCAATTACAAGGTCAATCAACTTAGGGAATCCAGCCCAGCCAAAAAAAAGGGAAAAAAAGTTAAAGGAGAAAACCTTTTAACTATGCACACACACAGACGCAAAGCTAGTCCTAGAACTACCAATACAATCATATATTACCACACAAAGTTCGATAATAGAGAATTCATATCCGGCTCCCCCTAGCATTTAATTGCCTCTACCTTAATCATTTACCAGCACCGCCTTCTCTCTCGTCAGAGGAAGATGGTCCCTCACCAATCTTGGCAGCTTCCATCAGTCTCAGATTCTCAGTGTCCCTTTCTTGCGTGCTATCAACTTTGCTCAGAGCCTTCGAATTGGGCTCCTCAGACTTGTACTTGTACCATGAGGCCCAATAAAGATAGTTGAAAAAGTTGAGGCAGCTCAGGATGGCCAAGAACCAATAGAACAGGTTCAGGTTGTTTTGGTTCAAATCGAAGCCATGCAACCACCCTTGTTTGCTTGGAGTGATCTTTTTGGTCACAGCATTTATGACATTCACAAATACCGTGCTCAAGAAGTAACCCAGAGACGTTGATAGCCATGTGAAAGAGGTTGAGAGCGATTTCATGCTTGAAGGTGATTCTCTGTAATAAAACTCCAAGAGTCCCACGAGGGTGAACATGTCTGCCACTCCAAATAAAGCATACTGGAAGGAAAGCCAAAATAGACTTATAGGCTTAAGTGGGTCTCTTCTCCCTTGATCTCTTCTTTTCACTTCAATAACCCCAGCCACCGCCATTGAAATAGCAGAAAGTGCTAAACCCACACCAACACGTTGAAGCTGTGTAATGCCTGAAGGGTGATGAGTGATTTTTCGAGCGAATGGGACGAAGCAGAATTCGTAGATGGGGACGAGGATGGATATGAAAAGCAAGGGGATGACGGGAATGGAAGGTGCAGGGACGGTGAAAGAACCGAGTTTGAGGTTCATGACGTTCCCTTGTTGCACTGAGAATGTTTGAAGCTGCGCTAAACATGTGTTCATTATAATGGTGCTGCCGAAAATTGGTAGCATTCTGGTTAGGATTTTCACTTCTTCAACCTGTGTCACCGTGCATACCTTCCATGGCTGTGATTTTGAGTCTTCTTGAAGAATGGCCGCCTTATCTAGAAACCTGATTGAGCAAACCAGAGCGTTTTCACATGCAAGTACATGTATGAAGGAACAGATCTCATAATCATCGATTGTTTTCTCAATTATTATGTATGGAAGGGATCGATTTCGATTATTATCAATAATTATGAATAAATAAAAGGCATACAGAACGAAAAGGAGGAAATAATTGAGCTTTGAACTGATTACCCAAAAGCTTTTTCATTTTCTCCCAGTATGAGACTACCCCACAACGAAGCTGCTACTTACCTACTGAGTATGAAAACATCCCCCCCCCCCCCAAAAACAAAAGAGGAAAAGAAAAAATCGACTGCAAATAGTACTGTTGTATGAAGACTTTTCTTTTGGGTTTTCCCCTTGTTTTGTCAGGATACTTGATGTTTTTCACACGGCAAAGATATGCTTTCCCACTATCATTCTCCATATATTTCTGCAGCTCCTACCCGCGAAGAGGTAACAGTAGGCCCGGGGTCCTTGGCCTCACCTACTATGTCGTACATGAAAAATAAGGAATCCTAACATGCCGATTGGCTGGAACTTGTGTTTTATATGGTTGTTTGTATACTATTATATGCAGAAAATTATTTATAGTCTTGAGCGGTTAATGCAAGCTGGTAAGTAGAAAGATTTGAGCACCAAGAAAATCAATCATGAATCACCTCATCTGATTCGTGTGTGCAATCTTCTCTACAGTATCATCTTTATCACTAATCTCATAAAGTTGTTGATGAGGATCTGGCAATGGCAACTTTCGGTTCTTAAACGCCACAACAAAAACCTGTAATGAACAAGAAGGATAATTCTCTATTAATTCTCGTACAAAAAGAAAACGGACGCGGAGATTGTAAACAAACCTGAACAATGCTGAGAATGGGGCTATCTCCAGGAGTTTTGATGCGGTAAAATGGCTTACCAAGAGCAAGAGTCACAAAGCCAACAAAAGAAGCAACAGTTATAATGAAAAATCCCCAATGCCAAGCTCTCTGAGTGCTAACCCACACGACACCTGTAACCCCAACAATTGCTCCCACTGTTGAACTTAGCAGAAGAAAATTGAAAAAGCTAGCGAGAGCTTTTGCTTCAACTGGATCCTTCTCATCAAATTGGTCAGCCCCAAATGCAGTCATGCATCCTCTAACTCCTCCAGTACCCAGAGCCAATAAACACAGTGATGTGTAGAACATGGCTGCTATACCACCTTTTACACAGCTCGACTTCCCACACGCGTCTGGGTGTAAATTATTTGAAGCAGCTTGAATTGTGACCAGAACCAATGCCTGCAAACGTGGGTCACTTGAACAGGTTACAATTTGAATTCTTTTTAACCGACCCAGTATTACCCACATAAGAAGATTTTTCTATCTTACCAGAACTTCGAGGAAGCCGAAGATCAAGCAGGTGGTGAGCCTGTTCAAGTAAGTGTCTGAGATGAAACCACCAACAAGGGAGAGCAAGTAACTTGAGCCCATGAAGTTTGTGAGAGTGTTGGCAGAGCTGGAGAGATCAAAGTGCATCACCCCATAAAAGTATAGGACTAAGCTCACCATGTTTGCTACTGAGCCCATATTGTCCAGCGATGACAAGACTAGGGAATAAAAAGGAATAGAAGAAAGAAAACATTTAGTCTGCTAAACTGCAGAGAGCAAATCAGAGTTTATCGTTGTTCCAGAGTTTATTTAGCTTACCGAAAATGAACATGGAGGCTCTGAATCCACCTTTTCGTTTCTTCCATTGGGATTGGGTTACCTCTTTGCCTGCCTGTGAAATGAGCAGAATCAGATGTGAAACTTATCGACCACATACAGAGACAAGAGAATAAGAGAGATCGATTGAATGACCAAGGCCAAGGCTTACCATCCTCGAGAAATGGAGAGTATCAGACAATAATGCGCAGTTCTGATGAAATGGTGCAGAATGGCTTAGTGAACATATAACCCAAAAAGGAAGCTTTCCAGGACAACTCTCTGGAATTCAGACAAGAATCGTAAAAGAAGCAGCTTTAAAAGCATAAAAAATGCACACGATTGCTTCTTACCCTCGCACTGTTCACCACTTTTTCTCCCTTTTAACTGCCTTCTCTCCACCCAATCTATATCTTCTCTCTGTTTCTTTGCTTCTCTGCTAATCTGATTGACAGTTAAGCTAAAACAAACTACATTATGAGCGCTAATCAACGTCTCAGCGAGTCCAACACATACGCCCCCACACTGCTTGATTTATTTACTTGTCTTCGTTGAATAATCCGTCTCCGGCGTCTTATCGCTGTCCTTAACCACAAGCTTTCGGTAAAGCTCGTGGGCCAAAATGAAAGAAAATGATTGCTCATATTATGTACATTGGCAAGACTTTTTTCTACTCCACGCACAGCAGGTGATTGAGCTGAATTATACAAGCCTAAGCCCTAATATCACATGGTTTGCCTCCTCAAATTGTTGTTTATCTTTTTCATTAGCACTGGATGAAGGGCCTTTAATAATGGGCAATCTAAAAGGTGTTGGGAATGGGAAACTCTTGAATTGTTAATCAAGGATTGAAGCCTAAAATAAACGTTGCGAATTAAAAACCCAGACAACTTAAAGTCAAAGTTTCAGTTTTATTAATGACTGGCGGTGTCTAAAAGACGACTAAGGTTCAAAATTAACCCTGGTTTGACAGCTTTGTCTGGTACTCGATAAATATAACATGCTCTGACGGTGTGTGTGTGTGTGTGTCTATATTAATATAAAAGAAGAATGGTACCTTAAGAGGGAAAAGAAAACAAAACTGCAGGTCAAATGTTCAAATTTGCAAGGGGTCACATGATCATACAGCTCAGATGGTGTCCTTGGTGTCTTTGGTATCATAACATCACACACTGGATCAGCCTCCTGCTGAAAGCGAGAGAGTGGGGATTCTGATTATTGCCTTTGTTTTGGACTAGTGATCTCATTCCACTGAGAAAATCATTTTCTCACCCGAAACGTCCCTTTCATAATAGCAGTCTAACTTGTAGTATCTCAATCCCCTCAAATCGCTTTATCTTTTCTTCTCTTTTATTTTTTGGTTAGGTTTCACTGTCAGCTGAAAACACCTTTGATTGTTCCATCCTGTTTGATTGGTGGGGGAGGCAAAGATTTTCGTTGGTATCGTCCCAAGAAGCTTTGTTCAGTAGTATGGGCGTCAGTTTTCACAATGACAGCTGATACCAATAATCTTTGACTTCACAACCCCGGTGCTCCTTTTAGAACTGAGTAGAGTTTGAATTATTTTTCAACTCAATAAAAGATTGCCCTCTTAGTACTTGTGCGCATTAAAAACATTTACCTTTATACAAAAAAAAAAAATCAACAGCGATGTTGCGTATGAAAAAGATGAACAAATGCGTGAACGAAACTGAAAATAAACAAAAACGATGTGACTTTTCGAGTCTGGATATCAAAATATGCACTATCAAATTGGGTATGTATAATGAATGCTTTTCGTTCTGGGGCTGGCCTGGTTATGATGCTTTTCCATTTTAATTAATGAAACGACACGATATGGTCCACAGTTTTGTTTATTGAGAAGCCATCTTTTTCCCTAAAGCGTGAATTATCAAAGTGCTTTGGGCGAGTGAGTTTGATCGACGTCTTTCCGCATCATCCATGTTCATTGCCTTTTTCGATGGCACTGCTTCGCATCGCTCTCGCTGGCCACCCCAATTTCGTTAATCCCGCTGAGCCGAGGGAGCATCATTTCCATTTTCCGATCCCCAATTCTTCTAGATATCCAACGCATACTCTGTACCTGTCGTTTTCGACCTTAACAATTCGATGCCTGTCGTTTCTAATTGTCCCCGACCCTCACCTTTTCTTTTTCTCCATCACTTTAATCTCTTTGCTCACGTTCCGTTTATAATTTCTATCTTCCGAGCCAGTGTGCAGTAGATTCTGATTTCTGCTAAAGGAAGGAGGAACGTGCCTTAGTTGATCAAATGGGATGGGATTGCATTCATGTATTTATCATCATATTATTCAACAAAAACCTGATTAGTGGATTTTTTTTTTTTGGCAACAAAGTATCATGTGACTAAGCCTTTTAAACAAAATCATATATGCCTTCTCGCATGGAAAGGAAAGAATTCATATGCAGCGGAGACGCATAGAATTGTTTTTATTTCAAACGTGTTCTTTTTAGGGAGTGTTTAGATAAAACTAAACTATGATTTGGAGAATAGTTTTTGAGAAAAAAGTAATTTTTGAGAATAGATTTTGGAAAAATAGATTTTAGAAGAATAGATTTTGATAAAATAAAAGTGTTTAGATAGTTGTTATCAAAAGCACTTTTCATATGTGCAAATTACTAAAAAAGACATATGTCAATATGATAATTACGTAAAAGATAGATTTTATAATGTATTTTTATTTGAAGTAATAAATTGTTAGTAATATTTTTTTGCCAGCATAATAAATAATATAATTAATGTGTATATATATTTATAAAATATAAAATTAAATATGTTTTCAGAAAAATGATTATTTTTTTGTCAATTGAAAAATATTATTTTTGTCTTAAAGATTTTAAACATAAAATCCCATGCCATTTTTCTACAGCTAGTTTTTTTAACAACATACTACTTCTGATTTTTAATATAAGAGATATTTTGATATTTAATTTGGTTCTAAATATAAAACCCCAATATATTTTGTTTCTTATATTTACCTACTTTTCTAAAATAGTCCTTATAGTAGTTACACATATTAAATATTTTATCAAACAGTACTTCTAGTCAGTACATATAATTAGAAAGAGTATTTTAAAAAAAAGATAATACCTATTTATTATAAATAACTAACTTAACTAATTTTCTTAATTTACTCAAATTAGTTAACTAACTCTTATATTAAAAATTAGAGGTAGTATCACAATGTAAAAAAAGGACAACATTTTCCAAAAGCAATTTTTTTTTTTTGCTTTTCATAAAACCATAGTTTGGGGTAGGTCAAACCATGGTTTTGGAACCAAACCATGGTTTTATAAAAATGTGGGGTGTTTGGCAACCTAAATTCTAAAACCATGGTTTGAGCTCTAAAAGTGATTTTGGTAAGGTTGCCAAATACCCCTTAAAATAATATTCAAACCGACTTCAAGCAACTGATGTGGCGTCGATAGTCGCGTCCGCATTCAGTGCTCATCAGGTGAGGAGCACCCGGTGCTCATCACCTGATGAGCAATCTGGGCTGTCCAGATCTAATCTGGACAGTCTAGATTTAATATTTTTAAATAATTATTTAAAAATAGAAAAAATTATATTTTTAAAGAATGATAGTTAAGAGATTATCTTTATTTTTTATCCTATACCTATTAAAATAATTATTTAAAAAAATAAAAATAAAAATAAAATTAAATCTGGATGATCTAGATCTAATGAGTATTAGGTGCTCATCAGTTTTGATGAGCACCTAATGCAAATCCTACGTAGCCAGGGAGGAAAGATTCAATAAAAACTCTAGAAATGTTAACCCCAAAAAAATACTCCAGACAATAGCCTACGCCCTATGTGCTTATGGCCCATCTTTACTTTTTTTTGGTACAAGAGAGGGCCTGGCCCAAAAATAAAAAACTTATGGCCCATCTTTATTGGGACCCAGTCAAATAGCAGAAAAGCGCTTGTACAACCCAAATAACCCAGGCCCCATTGTGCCAAAAATGAAAAGAAAGCAAGGGCCCACTACTATAGTGGCCCATATTCGCTACGGCCCAATCAAGGAGGGAAAAGCACTTGTGCTCCAGTAATAACCAGGCCCACTATTTTTGGGGGCTCTTTTCAACATGGGCCCAGTTTCAGAGTTAAGCTCCAAACAGAGAAGCCCTCGGGTCTGGGGATGGGGCAGATTTTGTACACAAATACTAGTATGCACGTATTTCTACCTCTATACGCCACTCGGTGCGCGGGAACCATTTGGTTGGTTCCCCTCCTTAAAGCCTGAAGGCATGCCCTTTCTCTTGTTCTAAACCCCGTCTGACTGAGTTCCTCTATTTATCTCCCCTACAAAGAAAATGGGTATAAAGGTAGTAGCTTTTTCTTCATATTCACGTTCTCAAGCTGTGTAATCTCTAAGTCGTTTTGGAATTAATTTAACTTGTTCTGTTGAGAGTTTTATTTAGGGTTTAACAAAGCTTTTAGCGGACAATGCTCCAAAATCCATGAAGGAGCATAAGTTCGAGAGCTATTTTGGCCGGAAAATTGCAATTGACGCCAGTATGAGCATCTACCAATTTCTAGTCTGTATCCCTCATCTTGCTTCCTCATGACTAGATTAGCCTTGAAGACTTTCAAGGACAAGGATCCTGTAAAATTTGTATAATGGGTATATCCAATTTGGTGCAGATTGTCGTGGGAAGAAGTGGGACTGAGATGCTTACCAATGAGGCTGGTGAAGTTACGAGGTCATCTTTTGAAAAATTATTCTTTGGAATGAAATATGCCAATTTCTGACGAGGATCAGCATAACTTGCATTCTTTGGAAAATCTGTTCACGTTGACATTTTTTTTATTTATCTCGGTTGGTGTTGCAGTCATTTGCAAGGCATGTTTTCACGGACTATCAGGCTTCTAGAAGCCGGAATAAAGCCAGTGTAAATTGTCTCATCCTCCTTTCATTGGAGCCCTCATTTTGTTCTCTAACTTGCTCGCTCTTGTTGAACTTATAATGCTTATGTCCAGATATGTTTTTGATGGGAAGCCCCCGGAATTGAAGAAACAAGAGCTGGCCAAACGGTACAACTTGTGAAATTTCTGTAATTTATATGAATTCACTACAGTTTCTGCGGTCTAACTTCAAACATTCCGTTTTTTTGTTAATCGAAATTTAAACTCTGCTTTGCTATTGATACGCTCTTTTTATTAAATTATTAATTATTAACAGTTTCTCGAAGAGGGCTGATGCTGGTGACGATTTGTCTGAAGCCAAGGAGGCATGTGCTCAATTGTTTTTGAGTCTTCTCACTTTCTTTTTGTAGCAAAACATGCATCATATATTAACATGGCTGCTTTCTTTTGTTGCCCAGACTGGCACTAAGGAAGACATTGAGAAATTCAGTAAGCGGACTGTGAAGGTAGGTCTTCATTAGTCCATTTCCACTTGTAGGAAGTTTTTAATCACCACGGGATATGACACTATTTTCTTAGACATGTTCCAGTGACCATGCTTTACTATGTGATAAATTCTCCACATCATGGATGGAAGCATCCCGTTTTCTGCATGCTCTTGAGCCCCTAGCTTCCGTTCTATTGCAGGTGACAAAGCAACATAATGAAGACTGCAAAAGGCTTTTAAGACTCATGGGAGTGCCTGTGGTTGAGGTAGCATTATGCTACTCAAATCTTTGTTTAACAATGTGCATGCCTGTGCCATTAATTGTACTATGTTGCTAAGGCCTTGGTTCCCGCAGGCTCCCTCGGAAGCAGAGGCACAATGTGCTGCACTTTGCAAGTCAGGAAAGGCAAGTGGTTATGCGTATTTGACTTTTATGTGCATGCATTTATGTTGTGCATTTGACTTTCTTGCTTTCATATTTTTGCTATCCTATCCTATTTTTGTTCTGTATCAGTTATTTTATTTATCTTTTGAATGTTACTGGATTAATTAAAAACGTTGCTTATTTAAACCTTCTATGGAATTGATGTTGAATATTTATGTATTATATATTATAGGTTTATGCAGTAGCTTCTGAAGACATGGATTCATTGACATTTGGAGCTCCTAAATTTCTTAGACATTTGATGGATCCTAGCTCCAAGAAAATCCCAGTCATGGAATTTGAAGTTGCAAAGGTCCTGACAACTTGTGACACATGGGATTTTTATTGTTTCATCTGCTCCTACTGATATTTCTCTTGCTTCAGATTTTGGAGGAACTAAATCTTACCATGGACCAATTCATTGACTTGTGCATTCTTTCTGGGTGTGATTACTGTGATAGTATTCGAGGTAATTTTTATCTCTTTTACCTGTATGGTGCTAGGATTTATGATTGTCAATATTCTCAACATGTATTTCAATGTAATATAAATCATCTATGCTGCAGGGATTGGGGGACTGACTGCCTTGAAACTCATACGCCAACATGGATCTATAGAGAATATACTGGAGAATATCAGCAAAGAGAGGTTTTTTTCCAATACCTCATCGCAGAAACTACCATGTTCAATTTCTTTGCTTATGGTGTGCTGAGAATTTTTGTTAGTCATTTGATAAAATCACATGATACAAATTCCATTCTGTTAAAACTATGATGCACCCTTGCGGCTCATACATCTGGACCTAGATATTTTAGCCATTCTAGGTTTGCCGATGATCTAAGTCATATGACCTCACAACTTATCTGCGTGCCTTTTAAATGCTTAGGCATTTGGCTCATTTATCTTCAAATGCTTTCTGCCCTTTTTGGTAGTTTATATGAGATGAATGATTTCTATTGTTGCTAGAGAAGCTTGTTGTAGCTTACAAACTCCTAGATGTTCTCTTCTCAAAAGTACTAGATTCTTGATAGTATGTTACTGATTTTTCATCCTTAGTAATACACACGGAACATTGATTCAGGTACCAAATACCAGATGATTGGCCATATAAGGAGGCTCGACAACTTTTTAAAGAACCATTAGTCTTAACTGAAGAAGAGCAACTTGATCTTAAGTGGACTGCTCCAGATGAAGATGTAATCACTATTCTTATTGAGAAGTTAATTATGCTTTCGCAACATACAGGGGTTCACATGCATATGCTCGTACTTATATGTGCTATTTTATGCATCTTGATATGAATACTTGTTGATCTGTATACGTATTTTTCCGTACTTCTTGATGATTACTAAACTCCTTTATATTGCCTTTCTTACAGGGGTTAATTACATTCTTGGTAAATGAGAATGGTTTCAATGCTGACAGGGTCACAAAGGTTTGTTGCCTCAAATATCATTGCTTTGGCCCTTCTGATTATTATTCAACTTATTTTGGAATCATCTCTTATATGTTTTCTATATCCAAATTAGGCAATAGAAAAGATTAAAGCGGCAAAGAACAAGTCATCGCAAGGCCGGTAAGTGATCTCTATCTCACTGTGGATGAGTGATAGGCCTTTCTTTTTTCTTGGGTCAATAATACTTAACTCCATTTCCCTCTATCTGCATGCAACAGTTTGGAATCCTTTTTTAAGCCAGCGGTGAATCCATCTGCACCCATTAAACGGAAGGTACGTTTCCAATAAATCTATGATGTCACCTTTTGTCCTGAATTTATTGGAAACCCCATTGGAAATACTTGGCCGAAATTTAAATGGAAAAGTAGATATAATGGCTTTTGGCTATGTGCTGAGCTTTCAATAGCAGATACGATATTGTACTAGAAATTCTTTCTTGCTTAATGACGGAAAAACAAATGCCTGCTTAGAATATTCATACCAACATGTAATTGAGATGTTATCTCTGCAGTTTTCTTCTTGTCAAAGTCCATGACCATTGTTAACTTGATCTGGCCAATATAATTTCTAGGGTCCTTGCTCATTGCCCAGTTATCTGAGGTTTCTTATGGTCCTGAAGCTCAATAACATTGGTGTACCATCAAAGCCAATCTATACTTGCGTGTATTCTGTATTGTGGCAACCAACACAGTTTAATTATAATTGTCTGAACAGACTATAATATTGATTAGTGGCCTCAGGCTAGAGGGATAGGCTTCTACATTCCAGAGTCAGTATCCTGGCAATTCATCATGCCTCCCGCATTGGGGAGGGCACTTCGTCGAGCAGTTGTTGTGCTATAGATGGTTTACAATAAACTGATTGAGCTGTTCCACTTCGTGGCTTGAGATTGTCAGTCAATGCTTTTACAAATTTGCATCCTTGCATTTTCATTGCCCATTGAAGCATATCCCTAGTAATTGAATCCTCATATTCGATAATCTTGATAGAATGTTGGTAATGATTAAAGTCTAACATTGAAAATTGTAATGCAAACTATTTCTAAAAATGATCAATGCGTTGCAAGTGCTTTATTTATTTATTTTTTTCTCCTTAACAGGAAACGCCAGTGAATACTGCTAAGGAGACGAACAAAAAGGCCAAGGGTGGTGGTGGGAAGAAGAAGAAATAGTTGACTTCGTGACATAAAGGGGTGAAAAAGAGCCGATTTACCTTGTGATCAGGTTGGAGTTTCTCAGCCTTTTTCTTTCATTTTATGCTTCTTCCAGTTATCGTAGTACGCCCCTGCCTGCTACTCCCTACGCTGACAGAGATGCTTGTATTGGCTAATAATACAAGATGATCGGACTGGTTCAACCAGCGTGAAATCTATGGTTAGATTTTGCGATTGGAGATTGCTGCATCTAGACTGTGTATCTTTGAATGTATTGGTTGCTGGAATGACAGATATAAGATTGGCACGATATTTTATTTTCAATAACCACTATTTAGGTTGAATTATGATATGAAATTTTCAATAACCACCAGCTCCTAACGGCAAACGCCATATTTTCTTTCAGTTTGCAGGTGGGTGACAACTTGCAATGGTAGAGTGCAATCATCCAAATTGTAAAACATATGTACTGTGGGCATGTGGTATGGAGGAGTTGTGGATTATGACTGATCTATCCTGAGACTTGTACTTTTGTCCTCAATGGGAATTTGAAATGCGTTAGCTTTGATCAATCTAATCCCTTCTTGTATCTGCCATTGTCTGCTTTCATTCATTGAGAGTTTAAAAGTAATGTAAATAGCTGCAATCTCATTACGAGAGGATTCAAGTTAAAAATGAAGAGGCTGGAGCTGTGCTTAAAATAACCTCGGTCAATGCGCGTGCTACTTCCTTGACGCCTTGTATGTATAAATTTAATTAGCATCTCAACATTTCCTCCCTGAATAGAGGGCATGATAAAAGCCGTGCGAATATAATAAGATTAAGGTTTGGTTTGGGATCACAGTTAAAAATATTTATAAATACGTTATGTGTAAACGAAAGTGAAATTCATCTCATATATCTACTTCCATATTTTATAAATTATGATTAAAAAGTTATTTATGAGTTGTTTTATGGTCTAAGTCATGTGAAAACAGTATTTAAATCGATCTTATCTAAATGATGATGGAATTGTTGAGATGTTATATTCTATCAGAGTCGACTAGTAATTTAATTTGAGCAATTTAATTCTTTGTGCTTAGATGGCCTTCAAATTTGTGGCTTGCGACGACTTTTCTTTTGGGGTTAAATAAAAGAAGCGGCATGCTCCCTGTCCCAGCGGAGTGCATTCTGATTTTCTTTCCCCTCTTGGCGTCTTGCTCGTTATAAATACGCCATAACCCACTCCTTTTCTTTCCCACCATCTCTTCTTTCTGTCGACTGTGCAGGGTCAACTCACACTGGTACTTCCTTCCTCTGGATAATATTTCCCTTTTATGTTCAAAGCTTCAAATCATATACACCTAACTATGAAAAGGTTCTCGCTGCCGCTGCTTCTGCTCCCTCTTGCTATGCTTTTTGCTGCTGCCATCGCATCGGATCCCGACCCTCTCCAAGACCTCTGTGTCGCCGATCTTACCTCCGGTATCTCTCCTTTCCTTTTCCCTAGTTTGCTCTATCTGCAAGACGAGCCTAACTTATTCTTTATTCCTCTATAAGGAGGATCCATTTGATCTATCTGGTTTTATTCCTCTATAAGGAGGATCCATTTGATCTATCTGGTTTTATTTTGTCTTGGAATACGTTGACCCCCCTATTGACTCCCTTATTTGTTCATGTTATTCACTTCTACTGTTTTAACCACACTGATACTGGAAGGGCTTGTGAAAATACAGAGGTTAAAGTAAACGGGTTTGTGTGCAAGGATGCTTCAGCGGTGAATGCCTCGGACTTCTTCTCCGACATACTAGCCAAACCGGGAGCCACCAATAACACCTTTGGCTCACTGGTCACCGGAGCCAACGTTCAGAAAATCCCTGGGCTCAACACCCTCGGCGTCTCACTCTCACGCATTGACTTCGCACCTGGCGGCCTCAACCCACCCCACACGCATCCACGCGCCACCGAGATGATTTTTGTGCTGCAAGGTGAACTCTACGTCGGCTTCATAACCACGTCCAATCAGCTCATATCCCAGAAGATTCAGAAGGGTGAGATCTTTGTGTTCCCCAAGGGTTTGGTTCATTTCCAAAAGAACTATGGGCGGGAAGCTGCCTCTGTAATTGCAGCATTCAATAGTCAGTTTCCTGGTACGCAGTCTATCCCCCTCACCTTGTTCGCCGCCACGCCGCCGGTGCCGGACCATGTTTTGACGCAGGCGTTCCAGGTGGGTACCAAGGAGGTTGAGAAAATTAAGTCGAGGCTCGCACCCAAGAAGCAGTAGGTTGACAGTTTTGTTCTATTTTGTTCAGTTTCTGTTATTGTATTCCAGCCGCCGCCCCATTGTACTATTCTTCTGTGTAATTTGGAGTTCATGAATAATAAAGAATGCGATTCAGCGATAGAAAAGCGAAACATGATTGTAGGTTCGTTAAGTTCGTTCATCACATGTAGTGCCAGTGGTTCTGCTGGTTTTTTTCATATCATCCCTTCCATTCATAGTTGTTCATGTTTTCGGCACTGGAATGGAATACTAAAAGAGGCCGCCTCCCTCCCGCTTTACTCCTTTTTTTCTTTTTTATCTTTTGTTCTTTTAACTACAAGAATAAAATGAAGGGCTTGATGGACGAACAATTCGTTCTTTTTTCTAATGTACTTCTCTTATAAGACTTAATTGTTAAGTTGATTTTAATCTTAAATATAAGATATCTTTCTCATATTTATTAATTTTTCTTAAATTATCCCGATGAATACTTCTTCAACCATAATCAAGTAGAAGAGGGAGGAAGGATATCAAGAAAGATAATTATAGTGTTTTAGAAAAAAACATGTTATATTTTTTATAATTAACTTACCTAACTTTTTAAATTAATTAAATAGATCTTATATTAAGTATCATGGTATAGATAAATTTTTTGCACTGTTGAAAACATTCTTTTCCGTATTTGCCATATGCATCCTGATGTTTTAATATGCCTGCAATTTGATAACCACTAGTTAGGTTGAATTATGATATGAGATTTTCAATAACGACCAGTTCCTAACGGCCAACGCCATATTTTCTTTCAGTTTGCACGTGGGTGACAACTTGCAATAATTGAGTGCAATCATCCGGATGGTAAAATATACGTACTGCGAGCATGTGGTACGGAGGAGTTGTGGATTATGACTGACCTGTCCTGAGACTTGTACTTTTGTCCTCAATGGGAATTTGAAATGCGTTGGCTTTGATTAATCTAATCCCTTCTTGTATCTGCCATTGTCTGCTTTCATTCATTGAGAGTTTGAAATGCGTAACTTTTCTAAATAGCTGCAATCTCATTCAGTCACTAAATGTTACCATATACGAGAGGATTCAAGTTAAAAACTAGACAGGCTGGAGCTGCACTTAAGATAACCTCGGTCAATGCGCATGCTAATTCCTTGACGCTTTGTATTTACAAATTTGATTAGCATCTCAACATTTCCTCCCCTGAATAGAGGGCATGATAAAAGCCGTGCGGAATATAATAAGATTAAGGTTTCATTTGGAGTCATGATTAAAAATACTTATAAGTACATTTTACATACGTAAAATTCATCTCATATATTTATTTTATATGTCATAAATTTTAATTAAAAAGTTATTTATAAATCTTTTCAACCGTGAGAAAACAGTATTCAAATGGATCAGCGTATTTGTTAGCTTATCTGAATCATAATGGAATCGTTGAGATGCTCTATTCTATCAGAGTTGACTACTAATTTAATTTGAGCAATTTAATTCTTTGTGGTTTGATTGCCTTCAAATTTGTGGCTTGCGACGACTTTTCTTTTGGGGTTAAATAGAAGGGGCATGCTCCACGTCCCTGCGGAGTGTATTCTGATTTTCGTTCCCGTCTTGCTCGTTATAAATACGCCATAACCCACTCCTTTTCTTCCCCACCATCTCTTCTTTCTGGCAAGTGTGCAGGGTCAACCCACACTGGTCCTTCCTTCCTCTGGATAATACTTCGCCTTTTTGTTCAAAGCTTCAAATCATATATACCTAACTATGAAAAGGTCCTCGCTGCCGCTGCTTCTGCTCCCTCTTGCTATGCTTTTTGCTGCTGCCATCGCATCGGATCCCGACCCTCTCCAAGACCTCTGCGTCGCCGATCTTACCTCCGGTATCTCTCCTTTCCTTTTCCCTAGTTTGCTCTATCTGCAAGACGAGCCTAACTTATTCTTTATTCCTCTATAAGGAGGATCCATTTGATCTATCTGGTTTTATTTTGTCTTAGATACGTTGACCCCCCTATTGACTCCCTTATTTGTTCATGTTATTCACTTCTACTGTTTTAACCACACTGATACTGGAAGAGCTTGTGAAAATACAGAGGTTAAAGTAAACGGGTTTGTGTGCAAGGATGCTTCAGCGGTGAATGCCTCGGACTTCTTCTCCGACATACTAGCCAAACCGGGAGCCACCAATAACACCTTTGGCTCATTGGTCACCGGAGCCAACGTTCAGAAAATCCCTGGGCTCAACACACTCGGCGTCTCACTCTCACGCATTGACTTCGCACCTGGCGGCCTCAACCCACCCCACACGCACCCACGCGCCACCGAGATGATTTTTGTGCTGCAAGGTGAACTCTACGTCGGCTTCATCACCACGTCCAATCAGCTCATATCCCAGACGATTCAGAAGGGTGAGATCTTTGTGTTCCCCAAGGGTTTGGTTCATTTCCAAAAGAACTATGGGCGGGAAGCTGCCTCTGTAATTGCAGCATTCAATAGTCAGTTTCCTGGTACGCAGTCTATCCCCCTCACCTTGTTCGCCGCCACGCCGCCGGTGCCGGACCATGTTTTGACGCAGGCGTTCCAGGTGGGTACCAAGGAGGTTGAGAAAATCAAGTCGAGGCTCGCACCCAAGAATTAGTAGGTTGACGGTGTTGTCCTCTTTTGTTCAGTTTCTGTCATTGTATTCCAGCCGCCGCCCCATTTTACTATTCTTCTGTGTAATTTGGAGTTCATGAATAATAAAGAATGCGATTCAGCGATAGAAAAGTGAAACATGGTTGTAAGTTCGTTCATCACAAGTACTGCCAGTGGCTCTGCTGATTTTTTTTCATATCATCCCTTCCATTCATAGTCGTTCTTGTTTTCTGCACTGGAATGGAATCATAAAAGTTGCCACCTCCCTCCCGCTTTTGTCCTTTTTTCTTTTTTATCTTTTGTTCTTTTTAACGACAAGAATATGATGAAGGGTTTGATGGGCAAACAATTGGATCTTTTTTCTAATGTATAGCGTATTATATATAAATTATTTGCACTGTTGAAAACATTCTTTTCCGTATTTGCCATGTGCATCCTTATGCTTTGATATGCCCAATAGTCCCTCCGCGACTAGCCGCGCCAAATACAAAAAGCAGCAATTTGCCTTTTCTTATGCCCATGACGAGCTTTTCTGATGCCTTACCCACACGCAATGCTAGATGCCTAGACAGCCGGTAGATTAGTACGTTGCCCTCTCCATTATTATGGTTTTTAATAATCTGCGTAACATGCAAGGTAAGTTTCTAAGACTGATAGACATACATGTAATCAATACTAACTGCTACAGAGTTCACTTTAATTTTTAAACATGACTCTAATTTATCTTGCCTTTCAATTTTATAACTTCTTACCCAAAGCATATCTAATTATAATAAGAAAACTTTTAATCAATGAATAATTCTAATACACATAATTAAAGATATTAATTTAGAAGAATAAAAATACATTCATTACAAACAACTAAATTTTATTAATATTTACAAACTGGTTATCAAACTTTTAAATTAAAAATTGAAACTAATATATCATTCAGCTTTTAATTTTTATTTTTAATCAATTAAATCACGTTAATTCACCTAATTCTAATGTAACGGCAACGACAAAAAATGGCATTGCCGCGTGAAGTGACTTCAATTTCGCTGCTGACAGCACACCGCAACAACGGTTACCGATACGTCGTTTATTAAATGAGAAATAATAATGCTAACAAGTGGCAGCGATGGTTACAAGTACGGGGCAGTTTGGTAAACAATTATATTGTAGTGCCTGAGTGCCAATAAAATCCCCAACAAAACTTGTCATTTTAAAGCAAGCGTTCACCATTTAGGATATCAGCTAGCCCCGAGAGATTCACTGTCATAATTCCACAACCTTGGGATCCCCACTTAAGAATTGAACATTAATATAGGAGCTCTTAAGTATTTTTTAATGTTTTACCAATTACTAGGAAAGGGCAAAAAACAAAGGATTACTTCAAACTTGTCTGCTGCCTCCCATCAGGGATTGCATAGAGCACGATAGGTTTTGAAGGCCGCAAGAAGGGTACATCACACCTGAAATATCCCTTCCTCTCCAGCTGCAATATCTCTCCACGCTTCAAATTTCTCATGTTTGAGTCTCCATATGCTGCAGTCTCCTTCTTTGTACAGGGGTTAAGAACATCTAGGAAATCGTCCCCTTCTTCAAGCTGCAATAAAGCAGGGTAAGTTCTTTTTTTACGCTTAATTTATCAAATTCGAAGAGTCAAATTAACTAAAGCTCTAATAATTTGAAGATGCACAAGACAGAATCTGCCCCCCCCCCCCAAAAAAAAAGTCAAATCAAGATTTCTTTTCACCGCACAAATTTTGTGCAGCATCTGGAGGCAAATCAGCAGATCATTTTACTCCTTCATTGGGCTTCAATTAAAATGAATATAGCATGGTATAGATAAAAAACACTTTAACCACAAAATCTGCCCGGATATGACTTTTTATGTGACCATATAATTGCGTTTCTAAGTAAGAAACAATATGACAGTGGACAAGTGCGTACCTTTTTCTTCGTAATTAAATAATCAAACTCAACCAATGTGAGGTTAACTAGTTCATCTATCTCTGGTAGCCAAGTAAGTTTTAATTTTGTCGTCTTCACAGATCCTTCAAGATGCAAGACGCCACTCAACCGTGTGACATTACCCTCATTGTCCTTCTCTATTTCCTTCACGATAGCATTCCCCCAGTCCATTAACGTCACTTCCTCACCTGCAGATATACATGCTGCATCGGCATGGTCTATCCATATCCGATTGGTGTATGTTGTTGCTTTTTCTCCAGCACCTTCATACTTCTTGTGCCTAGGTATAATGCGAACAAATGGCTTCTCAGGACCGTCAGTTAGGGTCAGCAATACACGTTTCTCTGCAATGACGGCAGTATGTCTGGGACAGACCGGGTCAATTATTTTCTTATTAATGGTCCAGAGCTTGTCCCATTCCATGAGATTGAGATTTTTTGATGCGCCCTATAAAGTACCAGGGAAGAACAACCATCACCATAGGATATGAGTAATTCACAAGAATACACTAGTGAGACCGTGAAAGAAAGCAATTTTTCAGAGAATGACGCCTTCACTTTTCAAAACTAAGAAATGAAAGGAATATGTACCTGCTCAACAATAAACTGTATCAATGCTTCAATTTTCAAGCCCCTCCGCACAATCCCTTGCACGGTTGGAAATCGTGCATCATCCCATCCATCAACCTTTCCATTTTGGACAAACCACAAAAGCTTGCGCTTACTGAGAAGAGTATACACCATGTTTAATCGACTGAACTCATAAATGTTAACCTTTCTCATCCCCATGTCCTCTAGAATCCGGTAATATTGAGCATTGCGGTCATGGTATTCACTGGATCGGAGGGCATGTGTAATACCTTCTCTAGCATCAACGTATGGACATGCAAAATCATAAGTTGGGTACACCTTATACTTGGATCCAATCCTATGATGGGGCATTGGATTGCATCGATAATAAACAGGATCTCGCAGTGATTTGTTTAAATCCTGCATATCCAACTTGCCACGGACACAGCACTGCAGGCCTCTCTCTGTTCCAGCAATCATTTCCCTCCATAATTTCAGATTCTCCTCTACGCTATTGTTCCTACATTTTGATTCTATACCATCCATCCTCTCTTTCTGCATCTGTTCACGGGGAGTGTCATCAACATATGCTTTACCCTCACGAATTAATTTTTCAGCCATTTCCATTAGCTCAGGGAAGTAATCTGATGTATATGTTATAGTTTCATATTTGATACCTAATGTATCAATATCTTTCAGAACGTTGTCCACGAATTCATTGCTTTCTTTAGCAGGGTTTGTGTCATCAAATCGCACAATAACTTGGCCTTGATATCTCTCGGCAAAATATTTGTTCAATAGAGCTGCTTTTGAGTGTCCAATATGAAGATAGCCACTAGGTTCTGGCGCAAACCGCAAGCGAACTTTTCCAATTTCAGCATCTGGAAGATCTACTTCCACTGAAGGCCTGCTTCCTGCTTTTGCCTTCTCAGAGACATCCCCATTCACATTCTTCATGTGATCTGCAGTGACTTGGTCTTTTGACTTAGTTGCTGGCTTTCCCAATCCCCTTTTCCCAACATAAGTTGCTGTGATTTCATTCAATGCATCACCATGTTCAGTCACTATTGAATTGAACCATCGCACAAGGTTCACATATTTTTTTGATTTCCTCAGGCTTTCCCATCTCTGTCCCGCTCCTGAAAAAGCAAAGCACAAATAGAGTCTACACAGTCGTTGGCTAATTAATGATAGCAATCAACCTTCAAGTTACACATGACAATGGGAGAAGACTCCAAAGCAGAATCAAATGCTTCACACACATGCACATGATTGTAAGATATCATTGACAGATATTATCGGTTCTTCTACTTACAATGGAAATAAAAGCTGAATTAAAACTAAACGGATCATTGATGGACTTGTAATATATGCAACATAAGATCAAGCATAAACCTAGCTCTTCGATACAGATACCACCATGACCAAAATTTCAAAGCACAATATCGACAGAAAATTACAAACTTATTCATCCACGGTTATGTTGATTAAAAGAGATAAATGTCAAACTATAGTTGAACAGGCGTGATAAGAAATATTTACCACCAAGACCCGACCAGATTGCTATATCTGCCACTGATAAAGAATGACCAACCAAAAAAGTGCGCCTCTCCAAGTACTCATCAATGTATTTGCATGCATTCTCAAATGCAGAGCCTGATGAGAAGACAGGAGCATACTCCAGCCATTCATCAATCTGAAAAGGTATCGGGATGAATAAACACGTAGAACCAAAACAGCAACAAATGAAAGAATAGACAAGAAAAAGCAAAATTCCATTCATAAAGAACCAAACCATAGTCATATTTTAATGATACACCCAAATTATATGTCTCATAATCTACGAGTATTTAGTTTCACTTTCAAGTTTTTACACGTCTTTCAGGGGTAAACAAACAGCATTTGGCGTAAGGGTTACATGTGAAAATGACCTGGCCAGATTCTAATGCATTTTTCCCGTAGAAATTGGGAATGCTGGCAACTCGACCAATATATCGTAGAAGAACACATGTTCCACGCAATTTTAGCCTGCATAGTAAATAAGTTACATGATACAGAAGAAAAGCAAAATCCAATAGATGTGTATTGTAAAGCATGTAAGAAGTTCATGAATATTTGCAATTTTCCGTGTTCTATATTCTTTACAAAGCATTTTGATATCAAAATCGGACATGTGAAACTTAGCAAGAAAATTAACTAAGGGTCTTCTTTACAGTTATCACAATATACAGGGCTACAAATGAGCTAACCACTCTAATATAATCCAGAATATATAGGTAGAAAATATTATGCACCAACTGAATGGAAAAAGGCCTAGATAGAGGTTTACCACATTCATAAAACAGAAAAAATATATATACATATATATTTTTGGAAAAATAAGGTTCGACTCTGACCCTACAGCAAATAATTCCTTATACTTCAATTTTGGCAATTAACTTGCTCAACGCCTCTAACTTCCAAGATCAGGGATATTGTCCCTTCACTCCAAAGTGACAAGAACCCTGCTCACAGTTGCAATTACCCTAAGATATATAATTGAGAGATCTCATTTGAAAAAACGGACATGTTATATCAAGCTCCGAAAAAACCATCAGCTCGATCGAGCTATTTACCCGCCATAAACTGAAAAGGATAAAAGGTCGAAGAAAGATTTTAACGTTTCAGCCATTTGAAAAAATAAGGGAATATTTTCAGAAACCCACACACACAGTCACGGTGATAAATCGAAGCAAACCGGGCTTAAATTTGCATGTTCAAAATAATGTGATGGGGTAAAAATGTCAAGTACAGCGAAGAAGGGTTTGTAAAAAAAGGAAGGGGAAAATAAAGGAGAGCATCAAAACATTAACAGGGGAAAACCTAAATATTCGTATTTCAAAATCGTATATCACTACCGAACTTCAATACATCCAAATCATAACAAATCTCAATAGCTCATCTGTTTTGAGGCATCCAGTCGTATGCATTTACTCTGATATGAGCTTTGATAAAAGGAAATGAAAAGTATTATCTTCTGATCAGAAGTAGTTACATTCAAAAAGATCGAAGAAAATTCATTCTTACCCAGTGGGGAAGAGAAACGTTGGCGCAGAGTCAGAGGGTAACGACGAATCAATCGGAAAAGAAATTCCAGCAAGCTTAGCAGCAACGATCACCGATAACGGTGGACTAGTAGCAGCGAATGAGAACCTTTCGATATCCATGCCAACATGCAACGGATAGAAGCAGCAAGACGGCACCCGTGACAGGGCTCTCAGATGCAGAAGTAAACGAAGGAAAGACAACAACGCCCCGCAGAGAGGCTAGGGCAGTATTATTTATTACCATTTTTGTTTTCCTCCCATCTATTTCTTGTTTTCTAATTTGGGCTCCGTTCTTTTAATGGCCCATTTCTTTGATGTCAGAGTTTTCTTCCCGCCAGCGCCAGAACCAAGCCATGTTTGATTGAAAAAATTAGTTAAATTAAACATAATTCTTCTTAATGTTTTTTTTGCCAACATAACTCACCTAAATATAATATCTTATACAAATAACCTCTCTAATATTTAAAACTTAATAATAAACTTTTTTCAATTTTTAAGTCTATACAGAATTACTGATAATTCCAACTCTTTAAATTTTATTTTTTTATACATACAACTCCGTTGAGTTTTAAGCTATATGCAAATAAGCCTTTTAAATTTTAAATCACTTACAGATAAGCAATAAGCAGAATTAATAATATAAAAATCATTTATATAAATATAAAAGTTCGAGAAGGTTTATTATAAAATTCCAGAAGTGAGGAAGTTAGAGAGATTTTGTGTAGCTTAGTTGAGAAATATTGCAATACATCTGGGCATGGGCTTCTCTCTTTTCCCCCATATTTGGTCATGAGCTTGAACAGTTTTATGAGGCAAAATATCATCTGGCCTTCTATGTCCAAATATATAAAAATAAGTTGAATAAACTATTCATATTTGGTGTCCAAAATTACCTTGAATAGAGAAAGGATACTTTTAATCAATTTTATAAATAATATATACTAAATATTAGAGACTGTAGCCCCTGCTCCATGTTGTCAAATTAACCAAAAATAATTTTGGCTATTGCTGACTTAAAAATGTGAATTGCGTACAGGACGGTTTCCTGGATCCTCCCCGTAATCTTGTCACCCGAAATTCCTCAAAAATTGTGAACATCTAAATTTGAGTAATTTCTGCACAATTTGATCTGTGGTCCATTGAATAAAGCTTTGCGAGGTGGCCATCATGTTCCAACGTGCAACGTTGAGCATTCTGCAGCGATCGATCCATTAAATAGCTTTTGACAGGAAATAACAAGAAAAATCAAATATCCCAATGTCAAAATGCCAAGGGATGTGAACAAAATTAATACATATCTACAGGATACAGTTACAGTAAATTACAAAATGCAGCCAGCGGAAAAACGTTAAACAAATGAAATCAAAGTTACATTCAAGAAGGAACGCAATTCCTTACTTCGATCGCTTTGTGATCTACAAAACAGATTGTATCATCTTATTTTCAAAATTTAAGCCCTCTATTTCTGGGCTGCGGCGAGTTCAACAGTTAAAATGAAGGATGATTTGCCCGCTTCCCTCAGATAACGGACATCTCCATTCATGAGCTTTACCAGTTTTCTACTAATAAGCAGGTTAATACCCTCTTCAGATTCTTGCCCATCACTTCCAAACATCTCGTTTAGCAATGCTTCCGGAATCCCACTTCCAGCATGTGTTATGCTGAACATTCACCAACAAGGTAACAATTGGTTAGGCTGGCACACAACTCTTAATGCAGGATTCTTCTACTACTATGCATATTTAAATTAAAAATCTACATGGTCTAAGGTGAATAGCTGAGTGTGAATTAAGCTACCTGAGCTCCAAATTGGCAAGATGGACGGATTGTCCCAACTGATCTTTGGTTAAAGAGGCCGCAACAACCACCTTACCTTCAGAAGGTGTAAAAGTGACGGACATCAATAAGAAGTCAGCTAAGACCTGTTGAAGCCTGAGACAGTCACCATACAAGGTTTCTGTCATGATCTGCTCTGCCACCTCGTTCACTATTGTAATACCCTTTGCATTGCTCTTTGTCATCACTTGGCTAAGGGAGGCAACCAATACTTCATGCAGAGTAAATTCAACCATCTCCAGATCTAAGCACCTATTGAGCATACAGGAAAGAAAGGAAAATTAAAATTGTTACACTAGACAACCAAAAATAACAAAAGAAACTGCATCTTTGGCCTCATCTTCACAGTTTCATTGACATGCGCCAACCGACCTCACCCTACAATGTGCCTCTACAGTTATGAGAAGTTGACATTCGTGTCGTTAATCTGGTTTCAGAGATGTGCATGCGTGTTTTCTAGCATAGTTCATACTTCTAGGTATTAACTAACCAAGCACGATACAGGACTACATAATAACACCCATAAAAACATGAAGACATAACTGTGATGATCGTGTAAAGCTAGTGCAAAACAGAGAAAATTAGTAAATTGCGATTGCCCCCAGCAAAAACTGAATAAATAAATAAGTAAATGCCAAGTCAACTCAGGCAACTGATACAAGCTAACCATTTAGAAAGCATGGTTAAGAATCAAAATGAAGTCTTTTTTTCATGATATAATTATTTCCTCCACAGGATGATTCTTAAAGGACTCTACATAAATTGCTCCACAAGACATGCATTGAAGAAGACAAAAAGAATAGAACTTAAATAATAAAGATGTCATACCCATCAATGATGCTGTCCAGGTCAGAATCATCAAGAACTTTGCTGAGCTGGCGCTGGCACAGGGAACTAGTGTGCAGAAGTTGTTTCTGTTCAGTTCCCAACTCAGTACCTTCCAACATTTTACGGGAGAACACAATCCCGCATAAAGGATTCCGTATCTGCCTTTTCATGTAAGTTAAAGCCTTCAGTCTCTTCATGGCAGTTTGTTCAGATAGCCGCTGAATATGTAATGCCTGTTGCAACTCTGGGCTCGCAAGCTGCAAGAAGCAGAAAACCCCCGTAACTGTACCCTCTATGTCCAACTTCTTACTTACAGAAAGCAGGCACTCATTATACTTTCCATTCCGAGAAAAAAAGCCAAAGGCAACCTTCTCAGTTTCCAAACCGGCCATGGCTTTATTAAGTACAACTCCAAAATTAACAAAAGCTTCTTGATTCTTTAAACGACAACAAGCTGCGTGAGTTCCAAAGACCTCCCCTAAGAGCATTTTGTCCATCACCTCCTCCCGCTTCCATCCAGTTAACTTGATCATTGCGGGATTCCACTCACAACACCAGCCAAATTCATCTGTACCAAATATTGGAGGGATCAACGGGTTTGGATTCTGCACAATCGCCTTGTAATCACCTTCGATTCGAGTGAATTTGTCCATAACTGTCTTCTGAGCAGTTATATCTTGGGCCACGAAACAAACCCCCACTACGTTGTCTCGAAGGTCTCTACTTGCACAAGCATTAACAACCAACCTGATAGGACCAGAATCAATCTCAGCTGCATGTGTTTTAATCTCAAATTGGACGTTCTGCTCTTCTTCACCTGTTTACAGAATAAATCAGTCATAACGATGGCCAGACAATGAAGACAAAATAGGTATATATGATCCTATTATTTCATATGGGTGAATGATTTCTTCTCGAGTGTTTCAGATCATGCAACTACTGAGGCATTTGACTCAATTTGAAAGCAAGGTAGTAACCTGTCATATGTCTTCAACAATGCAATTTGCGACGATGGCAACAGGGATGGTGACATGCTCATATTTGAATACTAATGGGCATATTTTTAAGTACTTTCTAATGAAGGCTAAGGCCAAAAAATTAAAAAAAAAAAGAAAAAAGAAAGAAACGAGCTTTGAAAAGGAAATAATCGGGGGGAGGGGGACAAACCTTGCAGTGCCATGTCCAGCATCCTCTTGACCCTATCAGTCGAAGAATCCTCAACTAGTGTGAGTAGATGCTTCCCAATTGCTTCATCAACTTGAAGCCCCGTCAACTCAGCAATTTTTGTATTCCACCCATTGACCAGCCCATCAACATCAACGGCCAAAATTGGCACTGTTGCTGTTTCAATTAATCGAACCATCTCACTTGTCACTGCTTCCAATTCCTGCATCCCTTCAATCCTCAAATCGCTCAGTCCTGTGTTAATTGCATTGGTGTTAACATCCACCACACTCTCTGTATCTTTAAACGCGTTCCTTAGGATTAACTGCAAGGAATGGATGGCGTCCATTTCATAGTCTTTCCATGGTAAACTCCTTGACTTCACAACTTCAAGGAAAGCTTTAAATGATGATCTTGGATGCATCCTCCTGTTGTCATCCTGTTCACCCGGCTCGTGCTTCGCACCACCCCATCGAATTTCTGCAGCAGTATGCGATCGAAACCAGAAAACCATATCTTTCGAAGATATTCTCACAGCTGCCATCCCACACGCTATATCACCAAGAGCAAGAGCACTGGGTAACCCTGCTTCAGCCAGGCTATCTGTACTTAAACCTGTGGAATCCTTATGGTTCTCAGAGAGCCATATAGATATCTCTCGGATCTGGGATTCGCTTGGTGTCACTCCTAGTCTCCATACCTTGTTTTTATACAAGAGGGCAGCTCCATCACATTTCACAAGATCCATTATATTTGGGCTCTGTGATATAATACCTAGGGGTGCATCTCGCATCAGCATATCACATAGAAGTGTCTGGGTGCGCAGGATGTTTTTCTCAACAATCTGGTTTTCCAACTCTAATTCTTTATTCACATGGATGGCAAATACTTGAGCCAGAAATTCACAAGCATACCTAAGAGGAAAAGGAACAAACCTTGGTGTAGTGTTATGGCAAACTACTAAACCCCAAAGTCTCTTTCTCTTCTGCGGCTGCACAGTATCAGAGCTGTCAACATCTTCATCACTGTCGTTGACCACTACTGCCATAACCAGGGAAGCAATGGAGTTCATGTTCTCCATATATTGCAAATGGCAACTATGAGGGGCCCTCAAGGTTGAACCACACAAGGTTAACTCAAATGGAAGTTTTTCATCTTGAAGCACCTTCACATGCCTTGCACGACAATCCACTATCATACGTACCTTGTTTTTCATGAATAAAAAACGTGAAGCCTGTGGAATATCAGTGGCTGGGTAATGCAGACCCAGATATGGCTCTAAACCTGGCTTTGTGATCTCAGCAATTACTTCCCCATGATCATCCTCGTGAAATTTATAAGCCATCACCCTGTCATAACCTGTGAGTTCAAAAACTTCTTGGACCATCGTATCACATAGCCTTTCCATACTCCCACTAGGCAAAGATTGCAATCTAGTAATTGCTTTGGCTGCAAGTTTGTAAGATTGAAGGGCACCAGCTGCAGTCATGGGAACTTCAAAAGGCTTGACGGGCTCAAAATCAATTATCAAGCTTCCAGTCACCCGATGGATAATTGCGTAAAAGGGCTTTCCAGAGGTCTTGCAATGGACTAGAATAGGATTGAGAAGTGAAACTTCCCCAAACCCTAATGCTTTCTGCAATGCAGAAGCACTTGGGGCAGTGAATATGGTTCTTATGTCAGTGCCAATGCCAAGGGCAGCGTTGTCACCTACACTGGGGACTGCATGACTAACCATGGTCAACATTTCAGGAGCATTCTCACTGTACGCAATCACCTTGCATGTTTTCTCATCTAAGGCTAGCAAGCACCCAAAAGGCTGGATCAGCTTGCCTTTCTGCATGTGATGGAGGTAAGCTGTTGTCACTCGGTCAGATCTTGGTTGCTGCTCTCCATTTACTGTACCAGAGATACGCACGGAGTTTGAGTAGTCAAAAGAGCTACCAGACTCCTCAAAATTTGCATGTAGTTTTGCATCTACAGTGGTCTGAGCAATAACTCGAGCAGTATGTCTTGATCTTCCCGAGTTACTGGATGACTGGCTAGGTCTTGAGGAGGACATTTTCACCTTCGTTACACCTGGCAAGATAAAGAAAAAGGGCTAAGCTAGTCCGGTATATAACACCATTTTACAAGAAAGAAGGAACAGATGCCAAGAGATTGGTCATCGTGCTCCGTGTAATAATTCTAAAAGGTATGAAAATGATCGCACAATACTTTCACAATACTTTCTTAAGATGACAAGATTTCTAAGACTTCGGCAAGTACTGATATTTTAAAAGCCATTCAAGGAGAACCAAGATAATTCTTCGCCGGTTCAGTAAAGCATGTTGTATGCAGGACGCAAATTCTGAATAAGGATGACACAATTCCCTCTCTAGTGCAGACGAACTCACGAGCACGTCACTATAGATGCTTGAGCATAGTACAGAATTTAGTTATTCTTTTCTTAATTGCCACGGAGAAACATGGACAGGTGAACCCAAGGAACAACGATGACAGCTGATACCATCGAAACACAAACAGGAGTATGACACAACAGTTTCCAAAATCACATACATGGTGGAATAAAATCCAAAGAACCAAATTCACAGAGCAGCGTACTGAAAGAACTAGAAAACGTGTCTGATTATCAACTCAGAACAAGAAGAATGAGCTTAACTCAAACAAAAAAGATGAATTCAAATAGAGGAAAATTCACCAGCACATAAAATATATGCAGTAAATGACTAACCTGGAGAAGCAACAGCGAGCAGAAACCAGGCTCAAATTCGCCCAACCAATGAAGAGGAAGCCTTAAGACGAAGGTAGGGATTAAAAATCCCAGGAGAGCCGACCATAGCCAGCATCCATCTCAACGAACGAAAACAAGCTGAACCTCGTTCCCGGCGCACGTCTATTTGTGTGGGAAGAGAACCCCAGTTGGAAGGGAGGGACCGCCATAAATATATAATATAGTAAAAATAATTGTACTGAGTGGGAATAATCATCAAAGCGGCCTTTGATTATTATATTAGAAGACTAGTAATAATGTCTCCTCATAAAACTATCATCTTTCCTAATTTATCCTTTTGGCTGTTAATTTCATCGTATTGTACGTGGGATGTAATCATTTTCGTACTAAATCTATTTAATATTCGTGGGCTGAAGAAATGATCCGTCTACAGGGCAACTATTTTGGGAAGTGGGGGATGGCCTTTTGCCTATGTTTGTGACGATGACATAATATGAGCTGATCGGTTTCCCATACAGAGAATTGGTCATTTCTCGCATACCTGACTTGGACTCAGGATCAGATCAACGTCGGTACTCTATTTGAACAAGGGCAAAAAATCCAAAACCCATATCGTCTTTGACACTAAAATGAAGAGACTTGGCTGGCTGCAAGTGGCTATTAATTTAATCGTCGTGATTCTTATTTTATATTTAAAGCGGAAAATAAAAGGAGAGAAGCTTTACTGGAGTGGCGATTGGATAGGGGCTCCATGCCTTGGAATCGGGGAGGGAGGGGGATGGAGACAAGAGAGTGAGTTATGGGCGTCACGTGCAGCCTCAAAACAGTGTCTTGCGGCCTGGAAACACCAAACAACTTGCCAATGGATTCACTCATTCACGCCTCAGGCTCGGATCAGGTTTTCCATCTGAAGTGAAGACTCTAGAAAGCGGAGTGTGGTCTCCTCTGCGAGGTAGGGCCCTTCGTCCATATATACCAAAAGTGAATGCAGATTTACTGCTAGTAGCACAAGTATCGCACAATTTTACCTGACCTTTTTGGAGTTCTTTAGGGTTTTATTCTGTATCCGTATTGTATTCGTATCATGTGCTTTGTGGGGTTGCTGTCACCTTCAAGTAGCTTGGCCGACTGTTAAAGCTTCCTAGGGTTGGGGCAACTTTCTGGTCGCCCTTTTCATGATACTGTGTTTACTGGACGCACAAATCGTTCATGCCGTTGGATCCCACAAGTTTAAACCTGACGATTTTCATAAATGGGATTGAAAGGGACACTCGCGTATCTGCACGTACTTGGAGTTAATCCTCATATCCCTGGTAAATAGCAATGAAGTTAAAACAGAATTTCAACGAGTTAACAGAAAAAGTGTCCTAAAAATTCAAACTTCTCTTCCACTGCTAGTTATAGTAAGTTCAACGATTCCTTAACTCTTAGTTTTTAAGTCTATTGCGGTCAACTGCTCTTCGTCTTAGGGACGGACCAACCGTCTAATAAAGCTCCATGTGATTTAGACCTAAATTTTTTCAGTTTAGGATGTTATTCAACCCTTTAACTTACTTCCCCGGTGACGATATTTTAATCCTTTTAAAAATTACGTGATCAAAATGATATTTTAGGACTTCGTTGAAATCTAGCTCCGACGTTTTAGGTGTGAAAGAACTTTCCATGATGTTATTTTAGTCTTCGGACATTTTGAAATTAAGCTTTAGAATGAAAAATTCTCCCACCATGTTTTTGGGGTTTGAATGTAAACGGCCTGCGGGTCAAGAAGCAACCTTTTTCGGCGTTTTTTTTTTTTTAAACATGAAAACTAAAGTCAATTCATTAGCACAACAAAAACTGACACGAATACAAAATCATGACAAGCCAACCCCCTCATCAACTGCCACCTCATGAATATAAGGTGGAGGCTGATCAAAGATAAAAAAAAATTACTATCTAAAGTATGAGATAACCTAATTAAATGGTCAGCAGTTTTAATATACTGTCTACTCCTGTAATTTATCTACACATACTAGTTCCTATGAACAAGTAATCTAGTTTTCTTAATAATGTCTTTAAAAGGATAAAGAGAGTCAGAACCCCTCGTAATTATAGGTTTACCGCCTCAATACAATCAGTCAAAATATTAACATTTTTCATAGACCAGAATATATGTGGACCATTCAGAATGGCCAGAAGTTCAGCAATGGTTGGGAGTACGTCGTTCAACTACTAAACCTAACGATCCATCCGTCTTGATAGTCATAAATGTAACCTTCACACCCACTATTTCCATTTTGCAGCACTTACCGATCCACTGCCAACGTGAAATGCCCCTCTTGCTGTTGATGATTCTGTAGTTTCTGTCTCTCCTCCATCTGGAACAGGTGCCTATTTGCCAGAAGGTCCTCGTCTAGGCTTTTTCGGCGTTTCAAAGCATGATATTGGATCATTCGAGGCACTGTACTAACACCGAAATATAAACTCTTTTAAACTAATTCATAAAATCCGAAAAAAACTTGTTAAAACGATTGTTTGCAATTATTATGTAGAAAATTTATGAACTTTTTAAAATTATATCTACCATTTAATGATCAACATTTAATATGCAGAAAAAAAAATATCTCAGTAATACAGGTTTTATGGAAAAAAATAAATAATATATAATCTAAGAGAAAATTAGACCTTATATTTAAAATCAAATCAAAATTACATTCAGTATGGAAGAAGTAATTTTTATTCAAAATTTTACAACAGAGCAAAATCCTGATAACCTCCAGCCTTCAATTTCATCTCCAAATCCAGGGCAACTTTTCATAGAAAAACATTACCTGGACAATAATGGGACATAGGGAGGATTGATGCTGTTCTTTCACCATCTGTGTCGCAATTAAAAAGAAAAATAACCAATATTTTATTCATAACATCTTAACAGCCTAACTTGGCCACACAAAAAAAAAAAACCAACCTAACATTTTTCTCACCCCCTCTTGGCTATAAATATGTTGTAGCATCCAATGCATTTTCATAACAAATTACCACAAGCCGAAATTTTTCAAAAATACCCTTGCCATGTAATAATTAAAGTGAACGTGCAAATTAAAAATGCCGTCTTATTCATTCATCGTTCTATTTTCCGGCCGTCTCTCCTTATATCCCCTTCCTCCCTGTTTCACCCGGAAAATGCAGTCGTTGTATAAATCAAAGGCCACAATGCACCCAGAGATGCCTCCGAATAAAGTAGATCAGGGGAAGACAGGGCAAGCTGGCCAAACCCATTTAAAGAAGCAGCCTGCTTTCGAAAAGGATCAGCTACTATCTGGCTCGGGTATTAACCTCTATATAACCCAAAAAATTCAAGAACTTAGGTATCTCTTGGCAGCGCCTCGTGCTTAAGACAAACTTGTCAAATCTATTAAAGGCATAACCTATGCAATTACTTAGCAATAAAAGTTTCAAAAGTGCTTGATTGGATGATAATGTGAGCATTGATGAAACATCATAATTCTTTGACAGGCCACATATCATAGCAAAAAGCCTTGAGAACATTCAGAAAAAACTGTCGGTCAGTTTTAATCATCATGCAAATAGCACTGGCTGCCCATAACAAACAAGAGTCCAAATCTATTTGAGTAACCACAAAATCAAAAGGATGGGAAGCATCATGTTGTTTAGCATTTTGTGCTATAAACTTTAGCTGACGGAAAAGCACATCTAGGTCTCAGAGATGTGTGGGGGTTATGCTTAAATGGAAGCCGCATTCTTAAGGTACTGTTAGATTCAATGTAGATGCGTCTGTCGAGTGGGGAAAATCAGTTCCTTGTGGATGCGGAGGAGTTCTGAGAGATATTATAGGAAATTGAAAGTTGGGTTTCAGTTCCAGGATCGAGCATTATCCTCCTGCATTGCAAAATCGGTGGCAAATTGCATTAGGAGTCAAAATCTATAATAAGCAGGGCTCGAGGGTTATTGAAATATATAGTGAGCGTGCCGAAGCTATCATCATGATTACGAGAGACGAAGTGAAGAAGCGCCCGTTCAGAGAAATTTTGCCGGACCTGAAGAACTAACAGGCCTGGATAGATAAATCGTGCTCAATTTTGCTCCCAAAGAGGCAAATAGGTGCGCTCATGCGTTAGCAAATCTATATGCTCAAGGAAGAAATCGGCTAGAGTGTGAGGAGAGAGCCCAACCTTCTTGAAAGCTTGGGAGTGTCCTTTCTTTCCCTTGCAGTTTCTTTTAAATTGCTGTTTCTATATGTTTTATATTAGGTTTGAGTTGCTGTATCTGTTTCCTTGAGTAAATTCTATAGCATAGAAGCCTTTTTAAGTATAATTTTGTTTCTGTTTTTATGGCAGAAGGATATTTCAGTGTGGTTTCAGATCTGGGTTCCAACATTCTTACTGCCCACTCTGTAGACTCAAATCTGAGCGGTAAAAAACTAAGAGACTAAAAGTTGCTACTTTTTCTTTTTTTTTTCCAAACGAAAAGTTGCTACTTTGAATCAACACAGTGAATTGACAATGACTATTGGTATTACCATTAAAATCTTTTACACGATGAATGAAAAAAATGCATATACATCAAAAAATTAAAAAAAATCCTAAAATAAAAGGTGAGAGACTATGCAAATGACAATGCTCAAAGTTTTCAGTAGTAACATGTTCAAATAACATATTCACCGCTTTTCTGGTTGAAGGAAAGCAGAGGTCCCAGATTTCCAAGAGTTCAGTTTTCATCAACCTCTTATCCCAACAGTTGATCAATCAACCTTCTGCCATCTATCAAACCTGTTTGTTTCTCTCTCTGCATATTAACCTGCAAGTGATTGAGCATCCAGGTAACATAGGTCCTTTCCAGACCGCAACCTACTTTACAGGGCTGCCAAAAGCATCATGACTCGAGATGCACAATTACCCTAGGGTAACTAAAACATGCTCCAAATCTTCAACATGTAAATTGGATGGAAGCAAGTGCTTTGTCTACAACTTGTCCGACCACCATAGTACTGAATGCACACAACCATGATGACGGTAGCAATAATCCGCCTTTTATAATGGGAGGCATCTTAACTCTAACACGCACTTCTCCTAATTCGTATAGAATATTCATCGCTGGCCCAAATTTAATCCATTTGCGTACCCATCCTAAGGAAGGAACGGTAAACTAAGATTTCGGAAAAATCCCGTCCAAACAAACACTAAAGAAATCAACGGCATGTTGAGAGTGACTGAACGCGTAAAAACTTCAACTCATTAACTGTATAATGTGAAGACTAGCAAAATTAATCAACGTGGGGATTGCATTCTCTGGAATAGAAATCATTCTTCTCTATTAAAGTTTTCAACATTGCATAAGTGAAACTTGGCGCATTAGGGTCGCTTGACGGAGACCCATTAGGTGATTCCACAACTTGTGGGCGCGAAAAACAAAAGTAGCATCCTGCACCACAAGCACCACGAATCGTCTTACCTGAAGCTCTACTTACAATAGCAGCTCCGGACCCAGAAGATGTACGAAGCGCTCTTTTGTGCCTTCGATTGTGGAGTTGTTTCTTGGCTTTCGAGAATTGATGCAGGACCACTTGCTTCGCCTTTCCAATATCTTTTCCAAATCCATGTTTCGCGTGCCCCTTCTTTCCGTCCTCATCCTTGGCAGGTTTCCCAGCATCGTCGTCATCGTCGTCATCATTATTGCCATCACCCCCTCGGCAACCATGGCGATCTCTATCACCAACATTCGGGGTGTCCTCACCAAAAGCAGACATTAAAATTTATCGATACCGGAAGGGCGCGGGGTTCAATTTCATAGAGAGTAGGATCGAAGAGACGGTGAAAGAAAGCCGAGATGAGATGAGGATTCCAAAATCAATTACCCTTATGCCCAAGAACAGTGGAGTGTGAGAGGACAAGATGGAAATCCTCGCGAAACTCGCAACCGAAGCTGGCAACAGCAATTTCGATTGCTCGAACGAGATTGTAACTGCAACGGAGCATATATACATTTAAAAGTAAAATTCGTCTTTACATGGTAGTTTGCTTCCAGAGGTAATCAAATAATAATTCGAGGACACGTGTTAGATTTTCAGGGGGACCCAAGATAGCGGCTTCTTTCAACGGTTGGAACTTGGAACCTCGGGCGCCCCTGCCCCACTTTTAGCTTGTAATATTACGAGTTACCCCCTCCCTTCGCTGCTGAATATTGGACATTTTACCCTTTTTTTTTAAATGATTACAAAATAGTTATAAACAATTTATATTTTTAAAATTGTCAAAAAATATGTTTACTCCCATTTGAAAATATAAATATTTTAACATATAAATTAAGAAACGTAATAAATATATTAAAATATTGATCACAGTATAAAAGTTGGCCTCAAGTTAATACATTAAAACATTATTCATTTGTTCATTTATTCTGTTAGCATGACAAGGTGGTTAAAATTATTATTGGTAAAATAATGCAATCCATGTACGCATTTTTTTCAAGAAATTAATGGTATCAGAAAAGGAAACTTTTTTTGCTACATATTTTAAGTTAAAAATTGAAATGAAAGTTACAGGAAAGTCCAAAAATATACTAAAACTGAGGATAGAATTAGAATAAAAATACACTTTTAATATAAGACAATGATTTTTATGTTGCATTTAAAAATATTAGGTGATTATATTAATGTTGCTATAAATGTTATTTTATAAATATATGAGAAAACTAAGATAGAATCATTGGCCAAAAAAAAATTTAGAATCAAAATCTCAAACTAAAATTCAAGGATAAAATAAATTACGCCAAAAGTAAATTAATATATTAGGGGATTATATTAAGGGAAAATTGGGGATAAATTTCTCATTAAAAATTTATTTGGTAAATGAAATCTAAGATGATTGATTACACAAAAAAAGATTAGTTGCACATAAAGAAAGATAAGTTACACAAAGAAAAGATAGTTTGCACACAAAATTATTAGATATAAGGAATTCGTTTGCATATAGGAAAGATGATTTACACATAAAAGAATTTTATTTGTACAAAGAAAAATCATATTGCACATCACACAAAAGAAGATCATTGCATACAAAGAAAGATAAATTACACATAATAAAAATAAAGTTGCATAAAATTCTTAAGTCTCATTAGCTAATTAAATTTTTAATGAGGGATTTATCCCTAATATTTCTTTATATTAATGATGTCAAATTCATAATCCCTCATTCATATTTTCAAATTTTCAAGCTTAAATAATTAAAATCCCTCGTAGAGGCTAATATTCAAAGTAACCATAACCCCAGAGCTAAAGACGACGGAAGAAATTGCATATTGATTAATAAATAATTATTATCTTTGACACAATTGGAGATTGAATGTCCTCCTCTTTGGAGTGAAAAGTCACCAGAGAATTCTTTGATCTGACATAAGATTAAGAAAACCCTATCAATTACCAGATACAAGATCCTTCCACGTATGACAAATGCTAATCAAAATTGAAATTAAAAAAATTGGACAGATCAAAGATCTGACCAGGATCCTTCGCTTGTCTAAAAAGTAGAGAAGGGTCAAAAGTATATTACTTATAATCATCAAAAAGGGGATTGAGAGAATTATCAACACTCAATTCGAACAGCTCCACTCTGCGACTTAATGAACTTGGGCTTCCTCACCACTTGTTCCAAGCACTGTATCACATCTCCAACCTGCAAATCGTGCCAATCACTTATTACGAGTCCACACTCACTTCCTTTCTTCACTGCCTCCACGTCCTGCGTTTCCCTTCTCAGAGACGCGCAGTTTCCTTCAAACATCACTTCCCCACTCCTCAGAAGCCTCATGGTTCCTGATTTTGTCACACAACCATCAATAACCCGACACCCGGCTATCTTCACATCAGGCCCCTTGGACTTGCTCCTTCCTTTAAGCTCAAATATACCCAGCACCTCTGCCTCCCCGGCTACCTGGGTTTCAGATGTACCTGGAGCCTTCTCTATTATCAAATTGCCTATCTCCTCCAAGAGATGGTAAATCACACGGTGCAGCACTATCTACTCCATTTCCAATACACCATCAAAAATCAGAACTTTCTGGTTCTTTAACTGAAACACCAATCACAGCATAGTTAAATATGAGCACAAGCTTTTTACCTTGATATTGGCACGCCCTGCAGCCTGACTAACAGGACTAGGTGGACTCTTCACATTGAATCCAACTACGCACGCACCACAAGCTTGGGCTAGGTCCACATCAGATTGAGAAATAGGCCCTACACCAACATGTACAACGTTCACGAAAACCTAATAATGAATATAAAAAAATGTTAAGCAACAAGCAGCGAATACTAGAAAAGCAACACTGCAAATTAAATGTCATGGAAGTCAGCACAACAGACAGCGAAAACAAACAATATTAAAGGATTCCCAACTTCCCAGGTTATAAGGGTCCGATCAATCAGCAATAATGTCAAGCTTGAGGTTTTTAGACAAGCATACATATTTCCAAAGCCATGATTTTAACTGGTATTTAATGATAGCGTCAATTACAATTTTCACAGATTGATGGTTTCTAGTAGTCAGGTCACCATTCTGCCAGAAGCATAAGCAGTTAGGATGCAAGGCTGGCATACACCCTACAGGTTCACCTTAATTAAGAAGACTAGAATCTTATATGCTAGACATTATTATTAGATTACTTTTATCCATATCCCCTCTCTCCCACTCCCACCTCCCCCCACAAAGATATCACTCCCTTCCCTTTGTCTTGCATCAGATGTCTATGGACAGAAACCAGTCTCTAAATGATATGAGACCCCATAAGTCACAAGCAATATGTAAATGATAAAAGGCTTTCAATTCAAGGGTTCAAACATGGAAGTTGCAAACTATGAGTGTGATTTGAAGTAAACCATTTTAACACTAGTTTTGCAAGTGTGGTTTTATGGTGCGTGGGATAGTCAGCACATGTGAATGTGCGCACAGAAAAGCTCACAATATTGCCATAGAGATCTTTTGACATACCTGACAACTATTTAAAGTTCTCAACGCATCTGTGACAGCTTGAACAGTGCCCTGAACATCAGCTTTCACTACTATTGGCAATTCAACCCTCTGAGGACCATCCTCAGATGACTCCACAGAATCTGTCTTTTCCTGAACCATTTTCTTAAGCCTATCCTCCTCATATTTCCTTTTCCTACCAGCACTAAGCAATCGTGCTCGCTCCTCTGAATGAACAACAATAACATCATCACCAGCCATGGGAGTCCCCCGAAGCCCTTCAATCTCAACAGGCATTGCAGGTGTTGCTCTGTCAGTCAACTTACCAGTCACTTCTCTAATAGCCCTTATTTTGCCCCATTCTGAGCCTATAACCACATGCTGACCACAAACTAGAGTCCCTGCCTTCACAATAGCAGTAGCTAATGGACCTCGTCCTTTATCAAGCCTTGCTTCCACCACATAAGCTTGAGCAGGGCCATCAATTCGAGCTTTCAGGTCCATCATTTCCGCCTGAAGGAGCAAAGCTTCCTCCAAGTTATCCAGTCCGGTTTTCATAGTTGCAGAAACTTCAACCACTTGAACATCACCACCCATCTCTTCCAGCAACACGCCCTCTGATGCAAGCTGAAGTTTTACTCTTTCAGGATTTGCTCCTGGTTTATCACATTTATTTATTGCAACTACTATTGGTACATTAGCTGCTTTTGCATGGGATATAGCTTCAAGTGTTTGAGGCATCACACCATCATCTGCAGCAACAACAAGTACCACCACATCTGTAACTGCAGCACCTCTTGCCCGCATTGCACTAAACGCAGCATGACCAGGTGTGTCCAGAAATGTGATTGACGCTCCTGATGGCATGACCACCACAAAGGCACCTAGATGCTGAGTTATACCCCCAGCCTCCTTGGCTGCCACTGATGTTTGACGTAAAGCATCAAGGAGGGAGGTTTTACCATGGTCAACATGACCCATAACTGTTACAACTGCAGGCCGGGGTAAAATCTCTGCACCTTCAGTAGAATGTAGCCTCTTAATATTGACACCAACTTCCTGCAGGAGCAATAAACTGTGAAAAAGAAGGACAAGAGAAGCAAAACATGTAATGTGTCACATATTAAGTTTAAAGAAAAAAGCTAAGCATTAGGAGCAACAAATTCTGCAATATCAACACCATTTCTATATTATCGATGAATAAGAAGGGGAAATACCATTGCAACAAGTTCTGCAATATCAACACTGAGAGGCTCAAACTCTGATTCAACCTTTTCCCCAACATTTACTAGAATATCTTGCAGAGAAGATACTGACTTTCCGGTACGCTTTGCCAGCTCAGCAATAGTCATGCCTTCAAATATTTCAATTGTTTTATCAGGAGTGGATTTAGTAGATTTGACCTTACGAGGAACGTATGGAGCTTCAACAGGGGGCTGATTTTTGCTGTCCCTTCTCACACGCTTTTCCTTCTTTGGAGTCTTTAGACCAAATAACTCATCATTTCTTCTTGCCCATAGTTCTGGATTAGCATGGAACCACCTACTGATAGAAAAGAACCCCATTGTTTGTATATAATCTTTTACGTTTCATTTAAGCAATTAATACCAAACAAGTCAAGTAACAATACAAATATAGGACCTTTTAACTTTTCAAATAGTTATGCTCGAATTAATGTTCATTCCTTCCTCCAAGTAGTCTGAGTACAATCAAAACTAGGATCAAACTGTGTAACAAAACGTTTTACCACCTATGGTTTTGTCCAAGCGCTGACAAAGTGAGGCCACAAATGAAGATTCCCTTCACTTAAACTTCCCCAAAATTTTATATAAATATCCCCACAAAATAGTTCAGTGTATCACATACTCATCAGCCCAACCCTTCACCGACATAATGTAATAATATATCACCTATCAACCGGAAGAATAGTTTTAATAAGTGTTAGACCCCTTAATTATGCACCTCAGAAGCCATTTCTATTTCGAGAGAAGAAATAAGAACAGATAGGAGCCACAACCCAAGGAAGACACTAACCACGAGTACACAAAGGGTTAAAAGCATTTAGAGGCCCCTGTAATTGAACGTATAGCTCCAACTAATCTAGTATGCATCAACTAAGGAAGTTGCTCCCTTCAATCCAACACATCTATGTACGCAGACCCCACTGTAGGAGTAGCACAAGAGGATATTTATGAAACTGGATGAGAAACTAGAATTGAAGTTAAAAGTGGTATCTAACCGGTATTGTATTCCATGTTCTTTTGTTCCACTGCAAAAACCAGATGCTCCGGCAGATGAGTGACTGATAAACTCTGCATCATAACATTTAAATAATTTGAGTTACAGCAAGTGAGGGAGGAAAAGGAAATGTTCAAAGCATAAAAGATAACAATTACCGGTCAAGCATCCTGCTGATACATAAGCAGACTTTGCTGCGAAGGTAAATGAAGAACATGACCGGGCAACATGCCTAGACGCTACTGTAGCAAAAGCTCTGGCAAAGTTCGTATATATTCTCTGCATTTAAGTAGAATTAGGACACTATCACGGATTGAAAAAGTTAGTTAACTTGATATATCACAGTATATCCTCTATCGTTTCGTGTTAACCAACCTCCCGCTCGAACCCACCCCTACCCAAAAAAATTTTGAAAAAAAGATGGAAGAAAAATGCCAATGCGTCAACTTGGAGCCAAAATTACGACGATAATGACAGCTCACCTCTCTTCTAAACTCTCTCCACGCCATTCATATGCATATAAGCCCTGCAAAATTTGGAGAACTGGAAATTATATACAAAATAATAGACAAAGAACATGATGCAACTTGGAGACAGCTAACAAATGGTTTTTTTTCCCTAAACATCCGTCAAAACTCAACAATTACTGTGGAGGGTAGAACAACAGTTTATAGTAAGAACGGAAGATACATCTCGCCAGTCGCCACAAAAATAGCAGCACGAAAAGAAGTCGTGATAATGGCCAAAAAAATACCCAGTTAATTAACAAACATAAAAGGGAAAAGGATGAATATCCAACGCCTTAAAGGAGCGGCAATCATCACCAATAAGCTATTATTTCCTATTCATAAAATGAGGGAAAACCGCCTGAAGCACGAACCTGGGTGGAGGCGGAGCAACTATGCCAACAAATCGAAGACAGACCAAAATTCACGAAGTACAGGTAAGCCAACCCAAGCCAAAGGGTTTCGGCAGCAAAATCAGAAAGGTGAGCTCTCTCTTTGAAGCAAATAAACCAGAGAAAACTTCAAAAGGTCTTCAAATCTGGGTTGATCCAGAAAACCTGGAAGAAAGGCAGAGAGCAGCAGCAGAATGAGAGAGGAGGAATGCAATAGGCCTACGTCATCAAACGCCGGGCTAAAACTGCCCGGAACTCCGGCTTTAGGGCTTGTCTGAAGAAGTCCCAGAAAACGTCGATGGTTCGCGAGTTAACTTTTGTTTTGGCCAAAATGTTTCACGGGTTCACGTGGCAATTTTAGCAATCTTTTTATAATTTTTTAAATTTTATGCTATGTCATAAAGTATATCTCCACTCATACATTCAGGTCAAGAAAATCACATACAATTTATTACTCTTCCACTCGTAAATATAAGATCATTATATATACTATATAAAGATATTATATTTAGGATAAAAGAAGTATTTTGTAATTTTGAAATTTTATGATATGTATGTATTCGAATTTGTATGAAAATCTCCTTCGTTCATTATATCTTATTTTTTTAATTTGAGTTAAGAAATATTATTCTTATCATTAAAATTTTCAAACAAATATGATTTTATTCACAAATTACAGCAAATTTTTTTCCTATTAATATCAAGCTAATGCCAAACCTTGCTCATGCACACCCTAAGTGCCTGTTTGGAGCCACGTTTAAGTGGCTTTTAAGTAGCTTTTGGGATTAAAAGTAGTTTTAATATGTTTTTTAACATGTTTGAGTGTGTTTGGAAGAGTTTAAAAAATTAAGAGCTTGTGCCAAAATCATATACTTAAGCCAAAAGTAAAAAATTACAGCTTATAGTGTTGGAAAAGTGGAGAGAGAAAGACAAAATATAGATCATATTTCTTTTACTCAAACAAATTTACTTTTAATCAATCATAATCCAAACAACCTTTTACTAATCTTACTTTTATAAACTGATTTTTTTTAAACTCCAATCCTAACACAATTCATCTTATTCAATCTAACTTTTATCTAACCTTACTTTTTTAAAAATCAAATTAAAAATAAACTACTTTTTTCAGCGTGAATCCAAATAGGCCTAATTCACCTCAGGCTTAACCAGGATAGGCCGATGCTGTTCGGGGCCGGGCTTAATCACAAAAAGAACAAGTAGTGACACTTTCATTTTGATGGGAGTGAAGACAGCCTGGGACCTTAGCTTCCGTAGGATTATTATAAGAGTCTGATTCAAAGGAGTTGATTGATAGATTTAACAATCATGATTCAGATCTGACATGTATATCTTCAGTTTGGAATTTGATAAGCGACATGAGAAGCAATAACTGGAATCTACGGGCCCACTATATATCCAGAGAGGCAAGCAGAGTTGCCGATAGAATTGCAAAGAGAGGCCTCAATAACATGCATGGCTTTCTTTTTTTGGACACAGGTCCCAGATTTACTGCGGATCCTTGTTCATGAAGATAGTTTGGGATCTCCATCCCCACCCGTGTAATTTCTGAGTTTAAACGCTAAGCCCTCTATATCATCAAAAAAAAAAAGAACACATGATGTTGGGATGTGGTGCAGTCTATCTTGCCTGATGATAAAGTCACAGCCTCATTCAGAAGAAGAAGAAGAAGCGCATGATTTTCCCAAGTCCTTCCTCGCCCAAACGATATGAGAATTGAGAAAGAAGACTTGTTTCCATGGGAGTGATCTGAGGCTTCAATGAATTCTCAGGGTTCACTGTAAATTCCCCCCGTCAAATAACCTTGAGATGCGTTTATCTGAAAATGCAGCAACGAGTGAAATGGAATACAACCACGCAAGATAATTATGTATGAAATTTGGATTTAAAATTTTAAAGTTATTTTCACATCATCCACAGTTTAGGATTCAGTACGATTCTTGAATGAATTGATATTCTGCCAACTTGCGGTTGGGACATCGAATATGAACATAAAAAAAGTGTAACTAATAATCATTTGCTATGCACAATACAAGACAGTGTGCAAGAAACAGGGCTTTAATCCCTTGCAATGAATGCTAGCTTAGCTGGCACTAATTATAACTGGCTCGCAATTGAAACATCGCTGTAAAGGATCGCACACGAACTACTTTTTGTAGCCCCTTTCAAAAAGCTCATAGCTTTCCAACTAATCCAAAGCTCTGAACCAAGCAATTTCCTGGATCCTACGCCCTCCTCCTCCATTTTCAACATATAAAGAGATTGTACCTTGCATATGCCACAACAAGAAGGTCAATCAACAAGGCCTGGTTGTTTTAATGTGCATATAAGAATACAGGACGAGGAAAATGAGGAAGGCGTGTCGGAAAATTTTGGGTTCTGTGCCTTGTGCGAGGAGGAAAAGTCTGCCATCTGATTCAACCCAAGATATGGAGGAAATACTGAGGACTAAGCTTTCAACTATAAAGGAGGAGCCTGAATCTTGTGAAGAGAACCTAAAAGCAACGAGGTATAAGTGGATGGCCAAGATTCTCAGAAAAAAGAATGCTCAAGCAAAAGAGAAGAGGGGAGGCTGTTTGGCTGTTCCTAATGTCGATCTGAAGCATACTTATGTTCTTTTCATCACTGAGTTTGCCTCCAAAGGCACCTTTGGTGGTTTTCTTCAGTACTGAACTCTATCTGAGCTAGCCTTTCTTAAACACCTGTGGGCTCTTCTCAGGGAAGACCAAGAGAAGGTCATGTACAGTCCTGTGAGCCAATCACAGTTCGTGATGTAACTTGTTCTGTACTCCTAAACTAGTTTACCTGCAGTCTGTTATTTCTTGCCTGCAATGTAAATCTCCGCAAACATTTGACATCTTATCTCATACTGGCTCCTTTTTCTCACTCAGAATAAGAGTTAGAAGTTTTGCTCTACGTCACTAGTTGATGATTTTACATTCAGAAAATGACGTAATTAAGTTACCAACTATGTAATTTCAACTTCCCACTGACTTTTCCATACTGAGTATGCTTCGTATATTCATTCAAATCACCAGCCTGGATTCAATTAACACTCAACCTGTAAGAATTGAGCCAGAAGATAACTCAAAAAAAAAAAAAAGGGAATAGTTTCAGTTATTGGAAGTTTGAAATTTGAGGCATCAATGTAAGCTATTACATCTCTTCTTTTACGGTTCCTTTTCTCACTCTGAAATAATGAATTCACCGTCCTGCTAACAGAAAAAGACAAGTACATCTCTTCTTAAAGCTAGAACCAAGAGAGCAAGGATGGTAACGTGGGAGCAGAGAAGATTATATGTCAGAAAACAATAAGCAACAGGAAGAGCAAAAAAAAAAAAAAATACAATGCTAGTAATAGCAGGTAACTTCCCTGCAAATTACAGAGGGATGAGACAGAACGGGAAGACCCCATTGAGTTGGGAGTACAATAGCAGGATGTACGCTTTCCAGATTCAATCGATTCACAATATCTGTGTACATTCTCACAATTCTGCTTGACATCAAAACCGCGGAAATGGCCTTCACAGAAACCTTCTTAGACTTCAACAACCGAAAACCTCTTAATCTTCCCTTCAGAGACTTAATCCAACGCTTCGTTCTTGTGGACCTTGACATCTTCTGATCAGAACTCGTTAGCCTGTCATAGCCACTTCTCATGCGTCTCTCGCCAAAATGATGAAAACCCATTTCTGGCATTGAGTTCTAAGTAAAAGAGAAGATGAGAATTTATAGCTAGATAAGCCCTGAGGGGTAAAGTGTTGCAGAGCAGGAGTCAGGGACCTCTCGTTATATAGAAGGATTTGGTTCTCATGTTCCTTCAGCCACATAAAAATGATTACCCCATAAACTTCTTTTTCACGTTGGGCTCACTGACATCAAGTACGTTGCCACTTCAGAGATCATAATTTATTTTTGTTCACATACTGAGTTGAATGTGACAGTCCAAACTAGTTGGTGAAGAAGGGAATATTGCAGTCATGTGCAATGATTGATATGTGTGATAAAATGACAAGCCAAGCCAGTCATATGCTTAACGGTGGAATGTACGTGGTTGTGATCTTTAACTGCAATTAAATGCATGCTTGTTTGTTTATTGATCTGAGAGGAACGGCACAAAAATGAGTCCAATTAATTTGTAGGTGTTTGTCCTTTCACAGCACACACAAATAGTATCTACGACTAGTTTAGTATTGGGTCCATATCTTCTTTCTTTGACTGGCTTCGCAGAGCATTTTCATACCTACCAATGATTGAGTTTCTTCTGGTTACAGTTAATTTTGCTTAATTGGTTCTGACTTGTGAGGTTTCCGGGATGCGGTGAGCCGATTATCGATGCTTCGTGCAAAGCGTGATAAATAGTCCGAAACCCCATTAACTACTAAACACCTTCTCGTGAAAATAGCCGCATGCTGAGGCCTTGGACCACAAAGATAATAATCCTAAGCCCAAACACCCTCGGGTGACAGTAAGCATAAATGAAATATAGGTAAAACCTGTATTTTTTTTTTTTTTCACTTTTGTAAACAAAAAAGAAGAAGAAGAAAGAAATACGGGTAAAACCATGTAATCCCACATTTAATGTCGAGTGCTAACAATGTCTTAAACAGAATTATCTCAAATAGAAAGATATATATGCCTAAAAAAATACAAGAGAAAGAGAATGGATGATGCTTTTCCTCCACAAAAATCTGAAAGTCTATATTTATTTCTATTTATAAAAAAATAAATAGTCTTTGCCTAGAATATGTGTTAAAATTGTCGTACCCTCATGTTAAAAGAAGAGGGGTAATCCCTCGTTAATTAGTCACTAGCCAATTTTGCCCTTCTTTCTGCCTACTCGAATGTGCATTTTGCTGTTTAGCGCGGCGCACACAAGCCAGCAAGCCGCAAGTCTTTGAGGCAGTCACTAGCCAATTTGATTATCGTTAATAAGAGAAAACCATATCACAGGTACCTCTATTTTCTCTTAATTTTTAATTTGGTACCTGTGTGTTTTTTCCTCTTAATTAAATATTTAATTTTATTTTTTAGCAACATTAGCTATTATAACTTTATTCTGTCAGCATTTTTAGTCTCTACATAAGGATTAATGATGTTAATTGAGTAAAATTAAAGATTTAGTTAAGAACCAAAAACACATAGGAACCAAATTAAAAATTAAAAAAAAATACAGGTACCTCGAATATAGTTTTCCCTAATTAATAAAAGTGTTATACGGCGAAGATACACGCACTTTATTTAGCGTTGATCCATTTGCAAGAAAGCTAGTCACCACAAGGGGAGACAGATTATAATCATCTTATGTGAGGACTCAGAGAGTACACGTGGTCCTTTTTAGAGCGTTGCTAAAAGGGAGCTTTAATTAATTTTTCCTGACACGGACCTAATAAACTCCATGTCCTCAGATTTCCAATATATTCGAATTGGTTGATGATGTTGCGCTGTTCATGACTAGTTTTTGAGCAAAAAAACATATTACTGGCACTCTGGGAGGGATCAATATCAAATAAATAGCATTTTGTTTTGCGGCGCCTGTACATTATCGCTGTTTGATAACTGCGACATGGTTGACTTTATGAGCATCCACAGGATCTGAGCAATTAATGTCCAAGAGTTCATAGGCAGGCTTTCTTCTTCTTTTTTTAACCGCACGTCGATTAAGTTTATTCCTTTCATATTAGCGGTCGCCAAATTCTCCACGATAACCCATCTCCCTCTAGAAACTCCTGCTTGCTTCCCATTGTCAACTCACTGATCTGATAAACTCAAGAGCTGTACGTAACAAAGCGTGATTGTCTTGTCTTTCACAACGTCATCGTTAACTTAACGGGATTTTTTTAAACAGTATTAGTACAAGAGATAAGATTAAAGCATGGATGATTTGGGGATTAATCATAGCTATATACTACTATATAGCAGCAAGTCCTTCTAAACTGACTCAAGTTATTTTGTCGTAAACTGTACTAAAGATTATTCCTGCGGCGGGGAGTGTTGTTTTTTAGTATCTCTTCTTTTGCAAGTATTCCATATCTTAACCATGACTTAATGCCAAAATTTCAAAGACTGACTTCAAGTTCAAACCATCGTTTTGTGTTAAGCAAGTGGTTAACAGGAGTTAAAGAATCAAATGTGTGTGTATTTTTTTATAGCGTGGATCTGGCAGTGTGATGGGAGATGCCTTTTTTTAAGGCGTTTCACATTAGATGAGATTGATGATATCTAATAAAAATAAAACAATTGAGCAGCGATTCATAAGGACAAATAGTTAATTTATTATCTCTTGTCTTAATAATAAGACCGCTTTTATAATTAATAAACGAGAGTTTATAATTAGGATAAGAAAACTTCGCATCTTGCCACGAGATAGAGCTTGGAGTCGCTGAAATAAGCATGTATTCTTAGATAATTAAATGAATTTAAGCTTGCCTGTTGGGTAAAAAATAAAGCAGTTGGAGATGAGCCGTATAGTCAACGATAGCAATTGATAGGGATTAATTAAGCAATCCTGTTTGTTTGTTTTTTTGTTTTTAAATAAAACTTACGGTTACAAGGTTTGCTCTTCGGCCGTTCGGTTCGCTAAAAGCAGGATCCATTTACCCTTTTTTTCAAAAAAAAAAAAAAAAGCGATGTAATTTTGTCCACGTGTCATTACCAAAAGGAAATACTCCAGATAAATTTACATTGCTTCCCCACCTCGCTTAACCCCATCCAGAAGTAAGCAGAACCGCTTGATATACGCCGTTTCCAAGTATGACTTTTAAGACCGCTGATTAAATATTCTAATTAATTCTCGCATTCAAGAGATAGAAATTTTGTAAAAAAAAATTACTACATCCTGTCTTTAATATAAGAAAATTAGTTACGTTAGTTATTTATAGTAAATAAGTATTATATTTTTTAAAATATCTTTTCTAATTAAATCTATTGTTTAGAAATATTATTATTACGAGGATTATTTAAAAAAATAAATAAATATAAAAAAAAATATATTGAGATCTTATATTTAGTATCAAAATAAAAATTAAACAAGCTCTTATGATAATATTAAAGACCGGAGGTAGTGCAAGAGAAAGGAAGTCAACTTTCTAAAACAACAGAATTTTACAATCAAACCCGTAATAGTATGACTATTTATTTTTTGTGTTAAAAACTAAAAAGCACTGCTACCAGTCATAAACGCGAGTAGGAAAGGGCGAAAAAAGTGTTGGCGCCGGAGTTTCTGATCGTATTCATTCAATGCATAGGGAAAGATGGTCTTTGTTTTTGTTCTTTCAATGAATCTAATATAATTAAATAATATATTTGTCTTCAAACCTTAAACGCTGAAATGCCAAGAGATTTTTAATTTGTGTTCGACTTTTCGGGCTTCGTCCCCATTCATGAGAATCCTAACCTTTGACTAACGTGAGAAACGTTGAAGTTCTAACCCAGTGTCTGGAAACACTCCCGCAAAGAAAACTCCTCACATGTTTATTTCACATCCTCCTCCGGTTTTACATTTTCCGGGATCCTTGATCTGCGTGTGACAACTTGAGATTTTAAATGATGAATCTTCCTGCTCTCTTCTTGTCATATTTTCTGCCCTCGGGAGCATCTTTTCTCAGTAATCCAGACGAAGCAGTTTAACCAAGAAAAGGACAAAAAAAGGAAGATTGATATGCTATCAACTACTGAACTGATTATGACTTGATCCCATCACAGAAAATACCAAAGCAGAGAAGGCGATTTGCAAGCACGTCTCTTCCATTTCACCACTAACAGCTAATAGTGCGCGAACAAGAAAATGAAAGAACCAAAAATAATAACACAGAGCACCCCATTTGCGATCAATGAAGGGTAGTCATAATCAGAGGTTGTGATCTGAATCACAAATCAATATGTACGCCAAAGAAAAAGCACTAGCAATTACGAGGAAGACGAAGTGTAAAACTCTAATGAACAGGTCTACCAGAAGCAGGAAACATCGTTTTTGCTGTTGTAGGCATTGACTAGGCGGAAGAATCTTCTCCTGCGGTAATAGAAGCTGCATTTGATCCTTGAACACACCAGCCTTCTAAGTCTAAGAGCAGATCGAAGCTTTAGCCACACAACTTTCTTGACACGCACAAAAGACCTCTTGATTCTCTCTGGAAGACTCTGCTTTCGAGAGAACTGATAGCTTCTCAGAAAAAGCTGCCTCTTTTCCATGAGGGTATAATAGTTGTGGTTCATCTCAGGATAGTAATGTCCAAAAGAGTCGCTTCTGAATATTGGGTTCGCACCCATGACTTGTTGATTCTCACTGAGACGGTTCTGTATCAGAAGCATGGTGCCTGATGAGGAGAAAATATGGAATTAGGAGGTGGTTGTTAGAGCAAAAGAGGAGGAGGCGGAGCCATTAAATAGAGGAAGGAAGGGTTGCTTGCAGAGATAAACTTGGGAGAGAGAAGGGATTGGGGGATGAACTCTCAACTGGAAAAGTTGCGAGCACCTGAATTTGCGTTGCTTTGCTTTGGTTGCACTTTGCGCCGTGCGCCGCCGCACACACTGAAGATGAAGACGACTTACCCCTTCTTCGCCTTCTTCTCTTATAAACTACACTTGGGCATTGATTTTAGGACTCGCGCGCACATGATGATGGGGTAAGTTCTCTTTTTTTTTCCCCAGCAAAATATCTCTTTGGTCACAAAATCATGATTGGATTCGTCGACAAAATTCAGAATAGTAAATTTTTTTAGCCGTAGGTATAAGAAAATTAAATGCGTGTGTTCAGGACTTTATAGTTGTAGCTGTATTCTATGAAGCTATCTTATCTTTTTATCAGTAACTGTCTTGAAATTTCATGAGAAAATCACATTTAAACATTTGTATTTTAAAATTTAAAAAACATAATTATTTTTTAACAAATAATGATATCAATATATGTAATGTATAGCCAAACGCTATTCATATGACGTGAATTGATTAGTTTTTAAAGTTCATGCCATGCATTTTCGGCAACAAAAAATTAAAAAAATTAATTGATATTAGATTTCTCTAAATTAAGAACAAATCTATTAAAATTTAATAATAAATCATGTTGTTAGATACAACGACTTTGTAGAAGTAATATAATATTTGATCAAACTAAAGCATCGGTCACTTGAGATAAAACTTTCTGAGTTTCATGCAAACAATTTTGACCCCAATGCGTGGGCTTACAAAATTGAAGCACGGGTTGTGCCCACTGGCGCTGCTCAGGGACTGTTTGGTAGCTCAAATATTAAATCAGGGCCGTCCTCATCTCCCAGGTCCCAACACTGTGGGGCACAAAATGCATGTCAAACATGGCGTAACGTGCACCAATAAATGGTTGGTTCCACTGGCACTCAATGACAGCGTCATCCAAAAAATCCAAGTAATGGCAACAATATACAACATGTTTGATGACGACCACGAGAGTGACCCATGAGATAAACGCAAAAACCAATCAATTATTATTAAAAGGGTTTTGTGAACTGCAAGTACCCAACAAGTTAAGCTTCATAAGCAATCGCGGCAGAGGATAAAGCTGTGTTGAACTTGTTCAGAGAGTTAGATAAAGCAGCCTGAACTTAGTTTTTGCTGGATTCTTCAGTTTCTTACCAATCAAGACAGGGGATTTCTCGGACTGGTGCAACTAATTCTTGCTGTTTCTCTGCTTCTTTCTTTCTTAAGTGCAAGTATTAAATTCATGCGTGGGTCTGAATTTTGGTCTTTCTTCCGAATTCAGAAAGCGCACATTTGACGGGCTAATTAATTTAGTACACTGCATGCTTCACCAGATGTAGGATAAGACGGAAAAATCAGAAAACGAGTCCTCTGAATATGGAAATAGATTATAATGTAGAACAGAAATTCTAGCCGATGACATAGCTGCATTAGTGCATGGTGAAATCTTACGCATAAGACCCAATTAACCCACTTACCATTCGGCCAGATTTTAACCTTTTTGCCTACTTGCAAGGAAGCGCCAAAACTACTCCGTTGACACTTGACAGAGAGCAATGGTAGTTTTAACATCATTTATTCAATTATTTAAAATTATCTTGTACTTTAAACGAATGCACCGATTAAAAAATCCTTAGCTAGATTCAGTATTCTTTATTTAATAAATAAATGACACATCACACGTATATGGCATTGCCTAAGGTACCCTGCATAACAAATTTCATGTACTTTTTTTTTTTTTTTTTGTAGAAGTACATTATTTAAAGAAGTTTTAAAGAAGTAGCCTTTCTTACCATGCTTTCTTGGAACCGCTCACGCTTTTACAGTTAGAAGTAATAAAAACATTGTCTAATAGTATAAATTAAAAATACCATTTTTAATATAGAAGTTAATTTAATTTTTATTTTAACCTTAAATATAAAACTTTAATCCACTTTGTTTCTCATATTTGTCCATTCTTTCTCAAGATAGTCTTTGTAGTAATGATAATTTTAGCTAACATATTTGACTAGCAAAAGATATTTTAAAAAAAACACATTTATTATAAATAACTTAATTAATTCCTTTAATATAATCAAATTAGCCAACTAGTTCTTATATTAAGAATCAGATGTAGTATAATGAATACTGTTTATGTCTTATATTTTGTGATTATCTTTCCTTCCATAACTTTTACATGTTCCCCCTTGCCAAACATGGCATAACCAACTATTCAACAATCTCTACCTGCCACTGTCCCTTACTCCCCTTATCATAGCATGTCTTGTTTGAAATTCAACAGGAACGGGAGTCTTCAATGTGAATGCAAAAACATTCAATCACATAATTCTGATTGACTTGCTCTGTTCCTGTTACCATATTTGAAGCAAGACTAAGGTCTGTATCTACAATTTGCACACAGGACAAAATAACTAGTTACATTATGAGGCTCAAAATCAGGAACCGTTTTGATTGGCTGAGGCCGACTAATGGCTGTCAACTCAAGGTACACTGAGGTAAATGTTGACATGGGATTTGCTCAAATGTATTACCAGAATGCAAAATGAAAAATAAGAATACAACTCAGCTCATATTTCTTTTCTCCCTATACAAAAGCAATGATTAGAAAACCTCCCAATCTTCTGCAGTATCTACTTACAACATTTTTTCCCACCAAGCGAGCTCTAAATCTACCTCAGAGTCACCTAGTACCAGCTTTATCGGCTGCAGGAACCTTTGCAGGGTAACTGGATTCATCCAAATCAATGAGTGTCATGTCATAGGGCGTAGATGCAGGGTTTGAAATATCCACAAGCAAGGAAGATTTCATTGTATCAGACGCACGTCCGGAATATGAGGAAACGCTAGTATTGGAAGAAGAGAGATTTGAGAGCTGCACGTCCTCCCCCTTGTTTCCAAACATATGCTTATTTCTTCTCACAGTGTCCATCTCTGGGCCAATTGGGACAAAAGTCCGTGACCTATACTTCCTTGTTCCCTCTTCACCCTCACCATGGTTATAGAGAACATAATCATGATACGTCGGTGCAAACTGCCAAAAGTAGAAGTGGTATCAGCACAGCAAGGCAAACAATTAAGGGCAAAATTTCTTCCAACTAAGCTACTGCCAAGCTAGGCATTTAGATTGATGCACAGTCGTAGTTAGCTATGTCAATACCCAAGAGCATAATAAAAAAGGACTCACCTGGTGTACTGTGTCATGGTAAAAGTCATTTATCATTAGAGCATGAGCAATGCTAGCTGTTAGCCCACGGGATTCACCAATATTAGCACCGGCATATTCTTTGTATGGAAATGCATAAAAATGCCCCACAGCAGCAACAAGCATTTCAACACAGATGATAAAATTTTGTAGTTGAGCAGCTTCATCTGCATTCTCAATGAATCCCGACTTGGCAGCAAGGAAAAACAAAACACCCTAAGATGTGAACAAAAAAGGGTCAGCCTGCTTCAGACCTCAAGTTAAAGAAAGCATAATTTACAAGCATTGACAGAGTGCCATCAAGTTCTCAAATAGAATGAACAAGATAGCAACCCCTGGGCAGTTACCAAAACATATCCAGATAAAGATATAAATAAATTTCCAACAAATGTAACAACAACCTAGCAAGTTGACATGCACAATTGGGGGTGTCCTTATGCGTTTTATTTTCTAGTCTCATTATCATTATAAATTCTCTCATCCAGTCTTCTGGGCAGTAAATGGTAGAACATAAAAATTTTGACACTCAACATCAAATAAGTCATCCTGTTTTTTATTCCCTCATGAACAATTAGCCATCCTTTTTCACTACGATTACCCAACATCAGCACAGAGATAGAGTTGACGATTTTCTGACAAAGGAAACGCCAAATCAAAGGGTCTGTAAAAATTACCTGCCAATAAGTCAGAAACACAACGGATTTTATTATGATAAACTTGGGAACTGGATTGAATGGCTGAAGCAGATCCTTGCAGGCCACATAAAACAAAACAAGAGCATAGAGAGCCATTGTGTATGAGATGGTATATATAATTGTGAGGTACAGGTATGATTGCCTTGGGCTGAAATTTCCATCTTTGTACTTCCCCTTTGCATAAAGTATGAGTGTAATGGCAACTAAGAGTGGCTTCAAAATCACAAACTGCAAACATCCTTGCTTGCATTTGCGTATAAAACGGCTGCAATGACAGTTAGAGAAATGAGAGATGATCAATAAATAAGATATCATAATCATGCCCGCCTTGTCACCAGTCACATATCTGTATTGGATTATCTCGCTTCTCGGGAATGTATAGGTTTACATTTTTCTAAAAAAATTTTATATATGTGAGCGTGCGCCCGCGACAAATCATCTTAACAAATTACAGAAAACTGGTCAATCAAGATCTCCAAGCAGAACTTGCGAGAGCAGTTTTCAAGAAATTAACAAAAATCATTTGAACATACAAGCTTTTCAAAAGAAAAATCAGGATAATGGAAACCTACCCATCCAGTGGCATAGGAGGTAAGCAACAAGTCATAAGATACCATGATGGCTTCAGAATCCGGCCACTCAAACTTAGGACCACTGCTCCAGGACCACCAACCCATTCCAGGCACAAAGTCAAGAAATTATAAATTACCCAAGCTTCATAGCTGAAAAAAGAAGAAAAACTTAGTAAGTAAATGGAAACTACACCTAGAATTGTTTCTTAACCCATTTACAGTTACAATGTCAAAACAAAAACCACTAGAAATGAAAATTAACATTTGGCAGGGTGATCTTAGATTAGAGACAGGTTGATGTCCCGCTAGATAAAGTGAAATGACACTGACTAGGAATAGAATGCACTGCAGTGCTTATCCGCTCTTGCAAATATGTGAGCCAAAAAAGAACTACACAACCAACATCCCCCCCCCCCCAAAGAAAAAAGGGCCTTCAGATTACCTAAGAAAAACCAACGGATTAACAAGATTATGGCTGAACTTTTGTCCAAAGATTTTAGGACACTACGAGGAGTATAATATCAAACCAATAAAATTAATGTAGCAACTAAAAAAGGATATCTGGATAATATGACGCAGACAATGGCTTCAGAATTATAGTTGCTCCAATATTTAGGTAGAATAATAGTATAGAAGTTGCATGCCGATTTAGACAAGTCACTTCCAGCTGCAGGTCAAACAACCAACAACAGAGAAGCACACGTGCCATCCGTATAACCATAATCATGCAACAAAGTACTCAGATATAATTACAGAATACAGATACGAAGTATAAAGCTATATAGATAAACTTACACTTCCCGAACAGAATTGAAATAGATTGAGCTGTCAGGCAGAACAAGGCACAAGAAAGACATTAACGCATAAACCTGACAAGGAAAAAAAAAGTACGCACGTCAAAGTTAAATGAGAAAGAAATGTCAGAAAATGCCAAGCAATGTAGCCGGAAGGTAAATTTTTTTACGGAGCATAAAGATATGAAAGAAGGAGACGAATGGGAAGGATCAATGAACTAAAGAAAAGTACCATTGGGAAGCACTAGCACAATGCATGCAATAGTAAAGTAATTGTGTTGATTTTACCATAAAAAGAAGGTAGTTGTGCTGACGGAAAAAAACAAATCTGAAAACTACCACCTTGAGGTATGACCAAATTTAATGCTCAGGTAAACATAGCTTTCGGTCAGGGAACTTCAGAAGCTCCCACTTCAGAGCCCTATATAATGGATCACGAACAGGATAAAACCATGTTCTGGGCTCTAGAAGTTCCAATGACGCCAGTTTGCCCTCCGCAGAAATAAGATTATGAATATTGATGATGTTAATGATCAAAGGCAGAGAAATCATTGTCATTGAACCACTCACCGGGACCAAAAATTATACGAACAATGAATCGCTGATAAATAGGTTCTGTGTAATTCAGGAGGTGCTTGTAAATGTGCAGAATGGCCAGAGCAATGGCTCCGCTTGTGCATAAAAAGGCGACGATGCTGTAGTATATTGGAACCGGTTCCCCCATCCTCTATCAGCAATTAGGAAGTTGTTAACACGGCATTTACAGACTCAAACAAGAATTCAGAGGAGGATGACGGCAAACGCCTGGGGAGAGCGAAAAAAGACGAGCTAAAACCCATAAAACCGAGGGAGATCGAGATCGACTGCCAAAACCAGAAACAGGAAAAAAAAAAAACCGAAGACTCTGTGGATCGAAATGTCATGTTCGAAACTGCGGAAGCAAATATTGCAGCGAGGATAAGGAAATACTGCTCATTAATGGAACAATAATGCGGCTGGTTGTTGCTTTCTGAGGAAATAACGACCCCGGCGGTTGTTCTTTCTAGTAAACGCACCTATCGACGCTGAAAAAAATTATAAATTGCATCACGGATTCATCTGACGCCCCGATGTAAAACCGGTTTTAAAATTGGGGTATTTTTTGTTTGGTGCTTGCCATCATGTCGGTAAAAATCACTTGTTTAATTTCAACTAGATTTTGCAGGATTTGCAAAATTTGATAAATCTTGATCTTTTACTACATGCATGGTATGAGTACGTGGGTGTACCCGCAAGTATACAAATTGATAAATTGCTCTCTGAAAGATTTCTAAATTGTACAGCCATCCCCTTTATTAAAAAGGAAACTAACTAGGGATGTTCACGGGACGGATCGGGACCGGGACAGGCCCGTCCCGGTTCCGTCCCGATGAATAGTAACGGGATAGATTTTCTGTCCCGGGGTTGTCTCGGTCCCAGTCGGGACAGGACGGATCCGGGACGTCCCGAACATTTTTTTTAAATTTTTTAAATTTTTTTAAATTTTGTAATTTTTTTTAAATTTTTTAATTTTTTTTAAAAATTTTTTAAATTTTTTAATAAAATCTGAATTTTTAATTATATTTTTTGGGTTTAAACCTTATTAAAAAACCATCTTTTTATTTTTTTTATTTGTTTGGGCACTCTTAAACAAAAGTTCAAAATATTACATATAATAATCATTAAAAACTCTAAACAAAAGCTTTTAACACAATAAAAATGCTAAAAATTTAATAATCAATAATCTCAAATTATTAACAAATATAAAACTCTAAATAAATATATCTATAGTTCCATACAATAATATCAAATCTTAAAAAAATATGAAAAAAATGATATATATTAAAAATTAAAAAAATAAAAAAAAAAAAAAAAAGAACCGGGGACGGGACGACCCCATTCGCCGTCCCGTGTCCCATCCCGTCCCGGTCCTTTTTTTGTCCCGTCCCGGTTTATCCCGTCCCGAAAAATTTGGACGAATCCGTCCCGTTCCAATAAGACCGGAACTGGAACGGCCGGCCTTGAACACTCCTAAAACTAAGGACAATGCGTTCTACCAACAAACAATAAGAAAACACGTCAGCATATGTCCGAGAACAGTATGATTTCTTTTATTGAAGATTTAAATATGTATATATTTATGTTTATTAATTGTTCATAATTAACTAGCTGCTTGCTGCTCCGATTAACAGAGTTCATTCAAAAACTCGCATTATTTCAGTTGTTTCCTCGATTTGACTTGCAATGCAAGGCTTTTCACAATTGCATGTATGATATATTATCTTCAGTCCTAATTATAAAAATTGTTGTAATCTATGAATGATACTCCTCTGGTCCTTAATATAAGACCCATTTAACTAATTTGATTAGATTAAAGAAGTTAGGTAAATTAGTTAATTATAAGAAAAGTGACACATTTTTCCTAAGACACCATAATCATCTTTCTTAATATCTCATCTCCCTCTTCTATTTGATTATGGTTCAGGGAGTATCTATAAGGGTAGTTTAGAAAAAATTGATAAATATGATAAATTGGTCTTATATTTAGGACCAAATGCAACTCAACAATTGGGTCTTATATTAAGGACCGGAGGAGTATCTTATAAATAGTGCTAGCGGTAGTATAGAGTTTGTCTCATACTTGTCTGGTCTATTAGATGTATTTGGCTGCAGGCGCCTGGTTTCTGATTTAACACTATAGTCCCCCCCCAGGTTAATACAAGTACCTGATGCCGAGGAATAACTTCCCCACCTAATTTTTTTTAATTTATAAAATAGAAACTCTCTATTTAATTTAAAAAAATAATTAAGTCGCTTACCCCCCAAAAAAAAAAAAGAGAGTCTTTTCTGCTTGATCCTAAACTGTCACATGGGTTGTACTGTTTTTCAGGTGAATTTCCAATTCCAATTTTTGGGGATGGCTGCGTTACAATTAACTGGAATTTCAGCTAATTCTGAGATATTATGGTTATACTATATTCATTAGATTGATTATATTAATACTAGACATTTTTTAATAAAGTATACAGTGTGTGAGACTACTAACACTATTCGTGATTTGTAAATATTCCTCCGGTCCTTATTATAAGACCCAATTTGACTTTTTATTTGGTCCTAATTATAAGACCCAATCCATTTTGTCTCTTATATTTATGCATTTTTTTCCAAGATAATCCTTCTAATAATAATAGTTTTAACCAATATACTTAATTAGTAAGGATATTTTAGGAATGACAACACTTATTTATTATAAATAACCAACTTAACTTACTTCCTTAATCTCCTCAAATAAGTCAATTGGGTCTTATAATTAGGACCGGAGGAGTAACACGTTTTATATCACAAGGAAAAAACACGTTTGATTATAAATTTTATATTAATATAGCGATCGTTGAATTTAACGAGAGAAATATCACAAAGTCCCCTGAGCCCAGAGGCAAATCGACTTGAAATATCACGATTTACTCGAAGCCCAGACGGCGAATGCTTCACCACCTGAAAGTGCTTGGGTGTGTTTTTGTTTTTTTTTGGGGGGGGGATCAAAAGAAGAGTTTTTTGTGCGGCTAGGATGTGTGTTTTGGGCCCAGGCAGGCTAAACACACGTCGCCCCCGCCCGGGGGTGAATTCGTACAGTGCATGCTAGTAATCCGCTGTCTGGTACGTTGCTTTTTCCGTACAGAGCTGGGCCAGGGCCCAAATCTCTATTATATTTTTGTGATGATAAATCTCGATTCTATTTATTGTTGAAAAAATCCCTATTCTATTCTTTTGTAGTTATAAACACATTTTTCGCAGTTCAGTTCCAGTAATCCGTCGCATTAGCCATGACTGGTGAATAATATGACGGACAAGAGCAGTGTTCTCCCCTCTATCTTTCCCCTCCTCCACTTCTCTCTACCCTCCCTTTCCCTTTTGACAACTATTGGATATTTAACTTTTAACATTCTATAAAAATAAATATTATTATAAATTTTACTTCAAAAAATACATAAATAAATTGAAAAATTATAATTTTATTGAAAAAATCTACTTTATAATAATACTACATTCGGTTCTTATTATAAGACCCCGTTTGACTTTTTGTTGATCCTAATTATAAGACCCCAATCTATTTTGTCTCTCATATTTATGCATTTTTTTCAAGATAATCCTTCTAATAATGATAGTTCTAGCCAATATACTTAATTAGCAAGGATGTTTTAGGAATAACAACACATATTTATTACAAATAACTAACTTAACTTACTTCTTAATCTCCTCAAATAAGTCAACTGGGTCTATAATTAGGACCGGAGGAGGTCGGAGGTAGTAGTAGTAATTTATAGTTGTGTGAAATTTTGATTCAATAGCAGTGAAAAAAACAGAGTAGAAAGAGTAGTATAGTCTTTTTGGAGCAGATACTGGTTTGAAGTGGGAATCATGACAGCTTCACAATGATTCCATTGCTCATCATTGGCGCTTCACTAATTCTTCCCCTCTCTGGTGACGCCGGACAACCTTCGGAACTTTTGACATTTGACACGTATCCTGAAACAAAGAAAGGTGTGCAGGTCTTGGATGGATGCAATAGGCTTATAGCCCGAGCATATTTGCATCACTGAAAAAAACGTTTTTTAAAAAAATACTTTTATATAAATTAAAATAAATTTTTTACATATTTATTTCTTACATCATAAAAATATTTTAAATAAAAAGTTTTGTTTTCACCCAAACATCATTTCTTATGTAGTTCTTTTTTATAAAAAAAATAGTGATTTTCCAACATTAATTATTTATTTTCTCTAAGTACCTTTGACCATGTAAAGAGGAGCAACACAGCACTGATTTGATAAATTTTATTGAGGAAAAGTCTTAATTATTCTTTAATCTGTGTGGAAGTTGTTCAACTTTCTTATGAAGGTGTTTAGATGAAAATCAAATTATGATTTTAAAAGTATTTTTATAATATATAAAATAAATATACAGTCTGTTTCATTTTTAAAAAAATATTTTTTAAAATATTTTTCAAGATTCCCAAAAATCCCCTGTGTGCACGCGCGTGTGTCTATATATATATATATGAGTTTGTTCAAAAAACAAAACCCCCTAAATAAAATTCCTGACATATGGACGTCTGTTGGGCACTGATAAGGAGGGATTCTTAGGTACTCCAAAAGTACCGCTTTTGCTCTGACCAATGCAATTGCGTCAGGTGTTCGAAATTTAATTATTTCAAGAAAAATATCGTCATAAATCTTTGCTGAAAAGTAGGCATTTTTAACAACGCATTCTCTCTCTTCATCATTGTTCAGTCCTGTCTCCTCCTGCTTCACCGACGGCATAAAGTTCGCTCCCCAGCCATCTCCCTCTTCAATCACTAATCTGATTTTTTAACCACCGAACCCCTCTCTCCCCCTATTTTAATTTCACACTCCTTTCTTCTCCGTTTTCAAGAACTAAGAAAAGACATACATGACCTAAAAAAACAGAACAGAAATAAATAAAAATTAAGAACCTTATATGAAGAAAAGCATAAAATCGTTTTATATTTAATATATTTTAACTTTTTAATTTCTGATTTTGGCGCAAGATGCCATCATCATCTTTTTGCATTGCTTGTGATGGATCTGGACTCGTAGAGCTCACCTTAGCATCCCGTCGCTCGTCGTCTGAATCTTGTCTTCTTTTCATTTAGCTCTTGCAGACAAAGCTGATGAGAATGGTCATCACGAGAAATACTATTCCAAGTGTTTTGAGAACGAGTATGCAGATTTTGAGAGCAGGGAATGATATGGGAGTGACGCACAACGCAACGGGGTGCAAAGAAGAAGAAGAAGAAGAAGAAGCAACTTGAAGCGAGGGACGACTTCGGCGGCGAAGCAGGGGGAGACGGGATTGAAGGATGATAGAAGAGAGAGAAGATTGTGGGGTTAAAGATGCCTGTTTTTCCAGAAAAGATTTATGGCAATATTTTAATTAAAATGATTTCACTTAGGATTATATTTCGAACAGCTGGCGCGCAATTGTATTGGTCAGAACATGGATTAAGTGGTAATTCCCGAATTTCTCGCTGATAACAGAGAACATGAAGCACCAGAGTTTGTGTGGGGCGGTTTTGCAGAAAGAGGCGAGAGTTTTGGGTTTCCAGGGAAGAGAAACAGAGTGGGGTTCTGATAAGTCAGGAATGAAGCCCCGGAGAAAGTTGAAGATTGTGGCGAAGAGTTTGGTGGGCTTTGAAGTTTGAAGAAACAATATAGGGATCCTGGGGGATCTCGGACAAAAGGAGTGGGGCCGGCTGACAAGGTCGATTCCTCTTACAAATTAGTGATAAAGTCGAAGGATCCTCTGCATGGAGAGGCCAAATCCAACGCCATGGTTCTATTCTTTAATATCTGCTCCGATTTCATTATATTAATCAAACCATGATCCTGTTGCTTCATTTTATTTTTTAGCTTTGGTGTTTCTCATCGGAAAAAATTTAACTCCTTCTCTCTTGTGCTCTGGTTGTGATGACTAGTGACACATGAGCACGAGCATAGAGAAAGGAGTATTTAAACTTCACAAACACTATATCATGCTTTCACCAAATGATGGGAAATAAAACAATTTAAACAAATATTTTAGCAGAATACATAGAAAAAATTGTATGCAGTGCATGAGGACATATAGACGCGCGTTACATTAATACTATTGAAATGTAAGTAGATGTGTTGCTTGTTGCATGAAATTTAATAAACAATATTATTCATAAATTATAACTGAATATATCAATTTTATAGTTCGTTGCTGGCCAAAAATTTTATAGTACGTTCATGCTCATGTTAATGCGAATCGATTTACGTGCCAATATATATGTGTGTGTGTGTGTGTGTGTGATGAAGATTTCATTTGAACCTCATTTAATTTATTGAACCTATATATATATATATATATATATAAGAGCGATATATATAACCATGCGTTCGCATAAGGATTGCAATGCTCATTCAACTGAAAAATATTTTTTAAAATATTTTAACACAAAAATTACACTTGACAAATGCGTGATTCAGAAAAATAAGGTCTGAATTCTGAGCATGCATGCATCATACCTCTTAGATGTTCCAGGCAAATGAAGTGCTTCAGTACGTAGCATAACCCATACCCAGCAAAAATCGAGCTAAATCAATATAGATGCAGAAAATAGAGTGGATTTTTGTGCATACAAGTGATGCGTGCAAGCATAGAAAGGAGCACCCCACATAAATTCAGTTATTTGGATGTGAAACTCAACGGAATTAGCTGCAAATACAAACAAAATTTGATAGATTATGCAAATCCTTGGAACTAGGTCATCCATTTACCAATGTTTTAAATAAAATAAAATCGAGAGACTAAAACCTATAATTTAAAATTTGAAAGAATCAAAACCCAGATAAAACCAAACTCAAGGAACAAAAAAATTATATTAACCTTTCGTTAAACATATTTTTTTCACAATCAGAGTGATTTGTGGCATTAGCCACGACAAGTGAATAATTTGATGGACAAGACCAGCATTCTCTCCTCTATCCTTCCTCTCCTTTTTCTTTACTGAAAAAGTTGGGATTTAACATTTTAAAAAAAATAAATATATAATATTGCAACTTTACTTAAAAAACATATAAATAAATTTAACATATTAGAATTTGATTTAAACAATTCAAAACGTGAAAAGAATAGAAAAAATCTGCTTCATATTTATAATAATAATAACAATTTATAGTTGTAAACTGATTTTAACATTTTAAAGTTTTTTTTTAATCTAAACTTATTATAATATTTTAACTTTTATAAAATGTTAGATGTCGACTATTGAAATTTTGACTGAACAGAAAGAGGAAAGAGATGAGAGGGGGGGGGGAGGGCGGCACGGAATGTCTCCATTTACTGCCTCTCTGCATTTCTTCCCCATTGAGCCCATGCTCACCGTTTCTTTAATAAAACAGAATCTGAGCCATTCTTTTTTTCCATTCAATCTGGCCCGTTCAGACTTCTTTTTAGTTTTTTTTTCACTCGTCTTTTTCGTTACTCTAGTTAGGTGGGCAATAGCATCACACATTTGTTCCCCATCTCTCATCTTCTGTCATGGTCGTGCCTCTCTCTCTCCCCCCCTATTCCATCACTCATCCAATTTCTCATAACTTACAAAATTTTCAACTAGTGGAAAGGATACTATTTTTGGAGCTGATATTGGCTCTGAAGTCTGAATCATGTCAGCTTCACAATAATTGTGATGCTCATCATTGCCGCAGATCCTCTGCCATTCTGGACAAGTTGAAACATGTCCCGACAAAGAAATTAAAGGTACGTGCGAATCTTACTCAGTGCAATCAACTTAATTACATTGCCCCTATGGTCCTTTTTATAAACACCTTCTACAGAGTTTTTTTTTTTGGTCCTTATCTTTATAAAAGGTTTCACTCATTTTCTCGCTGGAAGCATTAATTATTTATTTTCTTTAGATTACCTTTGACTATTGGAAGAGGGGCAATACTGCACTGATCTAATAAATTTCATAGAGGAAGAATAACTTACAAAATGTTGAAAATATAGACATAATGAGAGTAGCTAATTTCAACTAATTCGTTTAATCTGTGTGGAAGATGTTAAACTTCTTTTATAAAAGCAGCTGGAGGGAATATGTTTAAAAAAAATAAAGACAGAACTTAACTGAAGACAGGATGACCTTTGCGATGCATGGGTTGAAAATTGAATTCAACACAGATTATGTCGCAATGCGAGCCTTAATTAAAAATAATTGAAGAAATTATAAGAGAAAATTGCTATAAAGGTTAAGGAATAAATATAATTACTTAAAAATTTCAATAAAAATAAAAGAGTATATATATAATGACAAATTTTAGGGGAAGAAATAATAATTCCTCGTTTGTCTTTTAAAAGGTGCCGTACAAATTGAAAACAAAAGGCGCAGACTCATGATCCGATAATGGCTCGGCACATTGATCGAACTGTTGAACAGTGGATCGTCAAAGAAGAAAGAGAATAAAGCCCCCGAGAAGGAAGATTGTCGCGGAAGTGTTTGGTGGGTTTTGAAGAAAGTGAATGACACTGTGGCGGGGTTTTGATTTGAAGAAGGAGAACGAGAGTTTGCAGGGTACTGATAAAGAGAAAACGAAGCACCAGAGCTTGTGGCGGGTTTTGCAGAAAGAGCCGGGAGAGAGGAACAGTAGGTCCTGATATGACAGGAATGAAGCCCCAGAAAACGGTGAAGATTGAGGCGAATAGTTTGGGAGGTTTTGATTTGAAGGAAGAGAGTGAACTTTTTCTTTTTCTCTTTTTGGGGGGGGGGGAGAGAATGATGTTTTTTTGTTTTTTTATTGACTTTGGTTTACAGTTTACAGCTTTACATTATTTTTATTCTGGTATCATTTCTCAGTTTGTGGGCGTCATTCTGGTGCTGTGTGGTTCCCTTTTTTTCCCCCCACTTTCAACTTCCAATAGCCACTGCTTTGCTGCCGCGTTCCCCTCCGTCCCTCTGTCTTCTCATAAACTGCTTATTATCAGTGGTAGATGGAAAAAGGAGGGAGGGGGTAAGGGGCGGCAACTTACGAAGGTTGGGGAAAAAGAGAGTGAGAGAGAGAGGGAGAGAGGCAGCGAAGAGAAAAGGACAAAAGGAAAAGGAGAGAAGACATCCCACAGGCCACAGGTCACTAACGTCACAAGTGACCTCACAAACTCTCGATATGAGAGGGAAATCTCGAGTCCCAATCTAAAAAACGCGCGTCGTCACGCTCTTTCTTTCACTCCTTGGGGACATATGATAAAGGGTGTGTTTGGATAGAAACCAAACCATAGTTTCAGAAGTGCTTTTACGGATTACGAAGTAAATATGTGGAGAAGATTATCTCGTTTTGCGGAAAAGTGCTTCTGAAACCACGGTTTGGGGATACCCAAACAGGCCCAAAATATGGGATGGACATGGCTGCTCTCCTTTTGCGTGGGCGAAGAGATTGGTGGGTTCTGAACAAACAATATGGGATAGGAAACATTTTGTCAGTAGCAAGGAACAAAAAACCGGACCGGGAGCTAAACCGGTCAAGGCAGTGGGTCAAGAGTCACTGGTCGGACCGGGGTCGGACCGGTCATATTAAAATAATATAATTTAATTCACAATATTAAAATAGAACTGAATTCATAAATAATAATCACTAAAAAAAAACATAGAAAGTTACAAAAGTAGTTTAAAGGTTTAATTGTACCAAGCAAATATTAATAAAATTCACATCTTCATCACTATACAAAATCAAAATCATCATTAAGATCATTGGTAGGAGCATGGACTAAGATATCATCAGTTGGGCAAGGAAAAGTAGGAGTAACAGTATCATCGTGCAAAGGTGGAGGATCAGCAATGTCCATATCTTCATCGCCTATATAAAACAATAATCAACATTAATCATTATGCAAATAGTTATATATTCATCTAAGAATACTAATAGAATCTTAATTATATATATATACCTTCATTATCCCTCTCAAAAGTTGTTGAATTTGCAGTGCCTTCATTGTTAAGAACACTTTCAATTGTAGCCACATCTCTATCATCAAACTCAGGGGTGGGATCTTCTTCAGTCACCCAAAAGTCCACCATGTCAATATTTTCAAAGTCAATTGGATCATAATTTTTTTCTTTTTTCAATGTATTCCTTCAATGACAAATAAAAATTCAATTAAATATAAATCAATTAAAATAGAAGATTAAAAGCATTTAGTATTTCTAAGAGTACCTATGCTTCAATCGCAAATTATAGTTTGTGAAAACCAAATCATTCAGCCTGCTATGTTCCAATCTGTTTCTTCTTTTTGTATGAATTCTCTCAAATAAGCTCCAATTCCTCTCACAACCAGAAGAAGCAGAAGTTTGACTAAGAATACGCATTGCAACGCGCTGTAATTCTGGAACTGAACAACCATAATATGTCCACCACTCATCTGCATAATAAAATACATTTAGCATACAATATTATAAAGAACTAGTGAATAACTATGAAAATACTATAAAGTATTAACACTTACAAGGGTCTAATTTTTGTGCAGCTTTTTGACATGAGGGTCTACTGAAAGATTCTTTGCCTTCACGATAAGTGGTTGCTTGTTTCATCACCATAAAGCCATCAACATCTTCATCTGAATAAGACTCCACCACATCAATCAAAGCCATCATTAATTTTGACTTGCTAGGACAGTCTGGACCATATGTGATTGCAGGGTTTAACAAGTATGATGCTGCATGAAGATTGGTTTTCAAATGCTTGTCCCATCGAGCTTGGATAATTCTTGTATAAGGCTTATACATCTCCTTGTTATTCTTAAACATCTCCTTAATTGTCATTTTTGCTCTTCGCATGCCCTCATAAACATAAGGCAATGAAGGTTTTTCATCTGAATCCACAATTCGCAATAATTTTATCAAAGGAGATACAATCTTTACAACTTCATAACAGTCATTCCAAAACCGGTTATCTAATATGATTGCACTAAAAAATTTTCCTGCTTCGGTCTTGGATAATTTGTGGTCCACAAAATGCTTATCAACAACCAAAGCTTGCAAGTCATTTTTGTGCATATATATGCTATGCAATGTAATAAATGTAGTAGCAAATCTTGTGGCACCAGGACGCACAATTTCTTTCCAGCTCGGTCTTTTTCTCAGCCAGGATAAGAAAACCATATGATTGTATGCAAAGATGGTTATTCTTGATGCCTTTGACGCAAGGTCCGACACATGAGGCATGCTGGAAAAGTCTTTCAATACAAGATTCAAACAATGAGCAGCACAAGGAGACCAATAAATGCTTTTATACTTTTCCTTAATCAATTTGCCACATGCTACATAGTTGGCTGCATTGTTAGTCACTACATGAACGATATTCTTAGGACCAATCCACTCAATGACTTCACAGAATAGTGTAAATAAAGTTTTAGCATCTTTGACTAGATCTGATGCATCAACAGATTTCACAAATACCATACCGTGTGTAGAATACACTAAGAAATTTATCAAAGTGCGTTGTCTAACATCGGTCCATCCATCAGCCATGAGTGTGCAGCCATTGTTTTTCCATTTAGCTCGATGACAATCAATCAGCAACTGACATTCTTTTTTCCAATCACCCAATAAATTGGTTTTGAAATCATAAGCACTAGGGGCTTTAAACCCAGGCCCAATTGAAGCAATTCCATCCACATCTTTTTGAAATAAAGGGCAATCAAATGCTTTAAACGGAATACAGTTCACAATAGCCCATTCAGCAATCAACATTTTCACATTATGTTTTGCTTCTTTAGTTGCTAATGCACTTTTAATACCCGGTTGGGAATCAGGGGTTGTCCTAGGAGCAAAATAATTGTCCATACTCCCACTAGCTTTCCTCTTCTTCGAAGTACTCATGATAATTTGTGGATCAACATGGGTTTCTTCAACATCCTCTTCTAAGTTTTCAACAGTTTTTTTTTTTGAAGATTCTTTCAAAGATTCTGACATTCTATGCCGTACATCATGTGGAACTTTCTTACAAGAAGCTATTTGACCAGTGATACCAGCAAGATGTTGATTCATCCTATTTATCCCACCTCCTCTATAACTATTAGCACAGAAAAAACAAGTATATATATTCTGTGTCCCCTCTTTTTTGTATGCAATATGTGCCCATGCAGGATCAGTTTTGGTACGTAATGAAGAAGTGGGTGTAGGAGTGGAAGTTTCAGTATTAGGAGTGGAAGATCCCGCATTAGGAGTCACATTGTCACTTCTTGAACTTGGATTACTTGAAATATCCATCACTGTTACTAAATAACAAATCAAAAAAATCAAACATCTGGCTCTGGGGGTTCATTGCTATGGGATTAGCTCGGATAATATAACATCACTGATTAAAAATCAAAGATCAAATTGATAAATTCAGATTTCAAATGAAATAATATTTAGATGTGCACTTTAAGTACTTGGATTAACGAATCCTCATGCCAAAATTCAGATGTGCTGACCAGATATCACGCCAATATTCAGATGTGCTGACCGGATATCATCATTCAAATTCAAATAATCAAGCATCACGCCAATATTTCATACAAGCATCACGCCAATATTCAGATGTGCTACCAGATATCATCATGCCAAAATTCAGTATGATCAAATTTGCACTTAAAGAAGCTATTTCCGTAAATCAAATATCATTGAATCAATCAGTAATTCAGTATGCTGTATGACCGACCGAAGAACGCACATCATCATTCAAACGAATCAAATAATCTCTCCCGGATCTTATATCTATATCATACACGATATTGTTCTACATTAGAAAAAGGAAACAAATCTCATTTTATCTAAGCCTAGCTACTTGAGAATTCACTAATTCAGACGGAAAAAAAAAACCGAAGAACGCACAAATGACAAAACACTTGACCGAAGAACAGAGCACGCTGATGAGTGATGATTTAATATCTAAAAAAAAACCGAAGAACGCACCTGCAGCTCCGACGATGATTCTGCCACCGGGAAGAAGCAACGACGATGGGACTATGGGAGGCGACCACCTGCGGCTGCGATGCAGATTTGAGCTTGAACCACGATCACCGGCTGCTTCAACGTTCAACCTCGACGACGTGACACGACGATCCGAGACCTCCGATGGCGAGAAAACTCCGGCACAATGACGTTGATTCAGCTAGGGATTTCGATTTGGGGGAGGGAGGCGACGGCGAGAGAAATTGAAGCAGGGGCGAGGGAGATCGTTTCACTCGTTCGATTTGGACCGGACCGTCTTCAATTTTTTTTTGTTGTAAATTTCCAATCCAAACGACGTCGTTTCCATGGATTGGGGATTAAAAAATATATATATATTCAAAACCGGACAACCCATCAAACCGGCGGGTTGCCCGGTTTGATCCGGTTAGCACCGGTTCAACTACAGGCCGGTTTTTTTGGCCTCCCGGACCGGACCAGCCACCGGTTCACCGGTTTTTTCGGTCGAACCGGCCGGTCCGGTCCGGTTTTTTTTACCTTGGTCAGTAGCAAACCCAGCTGACTCAGACAAAAGTGCGGCTGACTGACAAAAGGTCGGCACTCAAAACGTACACAATGGTAGGAGGACGAGTCCACAGAAAGGTCGCTCGTGAATATTCTCGATCAAAAGGAAAAATAAAAAACTCCGTGCATGTTGCATGAAATTTATAAAATAAACTATATTATTCATAAATTATAAGTATAGCTGATTTTATCAATTTTATAGTTCATGCTGACGTTAATACGAATCGATTTACATGCCAAAATAATATATGTGATGAAGATTTCCTCGGAAACTCATTTAATTTATTGACATCCAACACTCAAAATGTACATAATGGATGAGTCCATAGAAAGGTCGCTCGTAAATATTCTCGACCAGAGAAAATGTACATGATGTTAATCAGTCGGTCAAAACTCACAGAAAATATGAAATGAATTGAAGGACACGCCAACCTTTATAGAGTCACCAACCACCCCTTACACACCATCGGTTACCCGCTATCGCTATGCATGCATGGACATTATCCATGGCCTAAAGAAATTATTCCTGATAATTAATAAAGTGAATTGAACACGACAAATGGTTTTGGACTTATACATACAACACAGTAATATTATTTGCCTATAAAACGCCCTAACAAGGCCAGTGAGGAGACTCAGGAAATTGGGACGACCCCGGATAGGTTGTTCTTTCTAGTAAACGCACCTATTCGACGCTGAAAAAAATTATAAATTGCATCACGGATTCATCTGACGCCCCGATGTAAAACCGGTTTTAAAATTGGGGTATTTTTTGTTTGGTGCTTGCCATCATGTCGGTAAAAATCACTTGTTTAATTTCAACTAGATTTTGCAGGATTTGCAAAATTTGATAAATCTTGATCTTTTACTACATGGCATGAGTACGTGGGTGTACCCGCACGTATACAAATTGATAAATTGCTCTCCTGAAAGATTTCTAAATTGTACAGCCATCCCCTTTATTAAAAAGGACACTAAGGACAACGCGTTCTACCAACAAACAATAAGAAACACGTCAGCATATGTCCGAGAACAGTATGATTTCTTTTATTGAAGATTTAAATATGTATATATATTTATGTTTATTAATTGTTCATAATTAACTAGCTGCTTGCTGCTCCGATTAACAGGCCGCAGGTCACTAACGTCACAAGTGACCTCACAAACTCTCGATAGAAAAAATTGCATGCAGTGCATGAGGACATATAGACGTTACATTAATACTATTGAAACCTGAGTAGATCTGTGCTTGTTGCATGAAATTTAGAAAACAAACTATATTATTCATAAATTATAACTGAATATATCAATTTTATAGTTCGTTAATGATGCTCATGTTAATGTGAATCGATTTACATGCCAATATATATATGTGTGATGAAGACTTCATTTGAACCTCATTTAATTTATTGAACTTATACACACACACACATGAGCGATATATGTGCATATATATATATATATATATATAACCATGCGTTCACATAAGGATTTCAATGCTTATTCAACTGAAAAATATTTTTTTAAACATTTTAACACAAAAATTACACTTGACAAATAAGTGATTCAGTAAAATAAGGTCCGAATTCTGAGCATGCATGATACCTTTTAGATATTCCAGGCAAGTGAAGTGCTTCAGTAGCATAACCCGTTCCCAGCAAAAATTGGGCTAAATCGTCATGGTGTTCTCTCACAAGCCTACTTGCCCTGTTTGAATGCGTGATATTAGATATACAGATGTACTGCTGAATCCGTAAGGGGGTGAGACACGATAACAAAATATCAATACCATTTTATGGCACTAACAGCATCACCATAAGCAGCAAGACATCGGCAACGAATACCTGGATGACTCAGGGACAAAGCATGTGCACACAAGTTATGCGTGCAAGCATAGGAAGGAGCACCCAACATAGATTCAGTTTTTTGGATGTGAAACTCAACGGAATTGGCTGCAAATGCGCACAAAGTTTGATAGATTATGCAAATCCTAGGAACTAGAGTCATCCATGTACCAATGTTTTGAATAAAATAAATTCAAGAGACCAAGATCTGTAATTTAAAATTTGAAAAAACCAAACCCACATAAAACCAAATTCAAGGAACAAAAAATTGTATTAACCTTTCACTAAACATATTTTTTTCACAGTCAGAGTAATCCGCGGCATTAGCCATGACAAGTGAATAATTTGATGGATAAGACTGGCATTCTCTCCTCTATCCTTCCTTTCCTTTTTCTTTACTGAAAAAGTTCGGATTTCACATTTAAAAAAAATAAGTAATAGTGCAACTTTACTTAAAAAAATATATAAATAAACTTAACATATTAGAATTTGATTTAAGCAATTCACAACGTGAAAAGAATAGAAAAAATATGCTTTATATTTATTATAATAATAATTTATAGTTGTAAACTGATTTTAACATTTTAAAGTTATTTGTTTTTTTACCTAAACTTATAATAATATTTTAACTTTTATAAAATGTCGGATGTCGACAATTGAAATTTTGACTAAATAGAAAGAGGAAAGAGATGAAAGAACGGAAAAAAAAGGCCGGGGGGGGGGGTGGAGAAAAGATAGGGGAAAGGATATCATTGCTCGGGCAGATATTGACTCTGGAATCTGAATCATGTCAGCTTCACAATAATTGCATTCACCCTATAGTCATTTTTATAAAAACACTCAGTCTTTTTTTCTTTTTTTGCCTTATCTTTATAAAAGGTTTTACTCATTTCTAGCTAGAGGCATTAATTATTTATTTTCTCCAGATTACCTTTGACAATTGGAAGCGGGGCAATGCTGCACTGATTTAATAAATTTCATAGAGGAAGAATAACTTAAAAAATATTGAAAATGTAGACATAATGAGAGTAGCTAATTTCAACTAATTCTGTCAATCTGTGGGGAAGTTGTTAAACTTTTTTAATAAAAGAAACTGGAGGGAGCATGTTAAAAAAAAAAAACATAGAACTTAATTGAAGACGTGATGACCTTTGCGATGCATGGGTTGTAGCTGAAAATTGACTTCAACACAGATTCTGTCGTAATGCAAGCCTTAATTAAAAACAATTGAAGAAATTATAAGGAAAAATTGCTATAAAGTTTAAGGAATAAATATAATTACTTAAAACTTCAATAAAAATAAAAGAGTATAAAATGATAAATTTTAGTGAAAGAAATAATAATTCCTCGTTTGTCTTTAAAAGGTGCAGTACAGATTGAAAACAAAAGGTCCAGTCTCATGATACGATGATGGCTCAGCACAATGATCGAACCGTTGAACCGTGGATCGTCAAAGAAGAAAGAGAATGAAGCCCCAGGGAAGGAAGACTGTTGCGGAGGGGATTTGCATTGGCTGCTCATCAGTGTTGATGAGCATCCAATGCTCATCAAATTTGGACCGTCCAGATCTGATCTGGATGGTCCAGATTTAATTTTAATTTTAATTTTTTTTAAATAATTATTTTAATAGGTATGGGATAAAAAATAAAGATAATTTTTTAACTATCATTTTTTAAAAATATAATTTTTTATATTTTTAAATAATTTAATTTGGATCGTATAGATTAGATCTGGACGGTCTAGATTACTTATCAGGTGATGAGCACTGAATGCAGACGCGTTGCGAAAGAGTTTGCTGGGTTTTACAGAAACAGCCTGGAGAGGGAAGCAGAGTGGGTCCTGATGTGACAGAAGGAAGCAACAGAAAACGGTGAAGATTGAGGCGAATAGTTTGGGAGTTTTTGATGTGAAGACAGAGAGTGAACTTTTTCTCGCTCTTTTTTGGGGTTGGGGGAACAAGAGAATGATGGTTTTGTTTGTTTTTTTTATAGACTTAGGTTTACACTTATAGCTTTACACTATTTATTATCAGTGTAAAATTATTTATTAGTAGATAGAAAGGAAGAAGGAGGGAGGGGGTAAAGGGACAGCAACTTTCAAAGATTGGGGGAGAGAGAGAGAGAGAAGGACAAAAGGAAAAGGGGAGAAGCCATCGCACGGGCCACAAGTCACAAACGTCACAAGTCGGCTTCACGTTTGTCCTCTCTCTTTCTGATCAGGACCTTAAGTTTGATATGAGTGGGAAATCCCAAGTCCAAATTTGAAAAACGCGTGTCGTCAATCTCGTTCTTTTACTCTTTGGGGACACCTGATAAAATGTGGCACGCACATGGCTGCTCTCATTTTGCTGGGGCTAAGAGATTGGTTGGGTTCTGCAGAAACAATATGGCTGGGAAACATTCTGTCAGTAGTGAACCCAGCGGACTCAGACAAAAGTGGGGCCGGCTGACGAAAGGTCGGCACTCAAAATGCACACAATGGTGTGAGGACGAGTCCATAGAAAGGTCGCTGACGTTAATACGAATCGATTTACGTGCCAAAATAATATGCGTGACGAAGATTTCCTTTGAAAGTTGAAACTCATTTAACTTATTGACATCCGACACTCAAAATGCACACAATGGATGAGTCTATAGAGAGGTCGCTCGTAAATATTCTCGAGCAGAGAAAATGTACATGATGTTAATCGGTCGGTCAAAACTCATAGAAAACACGAAATGAAGGGCACGCCAACCTTTATTATACTGTCACCAACCACCCCTTGCACACCATCCGTTGCCCATTATCGCTATGACCCTCATCTTCACGGTGATGCATGGACATTATCCATGGCCTAAAGAAATTATTCCTGATAATTAATAAAGTGAATTGCACACGACAAATGGTTTCGGACATACACATACAACACAGTAATATCATTTGCCTATAAAACGCCCTAACAAGGCCAGTGAGGAGACTCAGCGAAAAATTACCAAACTCCATACAGCTCGCAAATTCCTTCTTCATCGTCGTAGTGATCATCATGGCCGCCCGTCCTAATGATTCTGAGTCTGGATCAAATAGCAGTTATCCTCCGGCAGGTGCAAGTACTTCAACAACTCCTAAGAGCTCAGAGAAGAAGATTGACATCCAAACAGTGCTTTGCCCCACAACGATGCCGCAACCACGCCACTCCTCAGCGTCAGCATCGTCTTCCACCTCCGCCAGCTCCAGAACTGGGACGTCGTTGCCAGATATTCAAACCATATTTGCCAGAAAATGATTCGCAAATCAGTACCCCGCACGGATTCCTCTTCTTCTGTGTTTTCTGGCGAAGCTATCGTCGGACTTTTAGATATTTATACCTATGTATGTTAGCTTTTGTGATTTGAAGAGGACAGGTTTCTTTTATTTTTCTTCCTTCCTTCCTTTTCTTTCCCCCGGGGGGGGTTGCTGCAACATTACCAATGGAATGTGAATAAAATTATGAGGATCCGTGATTTTGATTAAATTTTTTTCTGTGTGTATTTTGAACCTGTTATTTTCCTTGTTTGTCCCCCTCCCTTCACGAGTACCATATTTGCACGCAACTTGCTTGAATATGTCAGGTCATCTGTGTTGGTTGTGAAGAAGAAGGACAAGGAGAATGGCTTTGAATATACCAGGTGTTGTGAAGGAGGAGGAGGAGCATCAACGACATGACGACCTGTCGAACGCATTTATGTCGGGGTTGAATCGGCACCTTGCGCCAAACGAACTCTACGTTTTCTGGGTGGAGGTGGCGGAGGAGGGCAAATGGGTGCCGTTAGCTGCCCCTTCATTCCCTGACGCCTTGAGGAGATAATTGACTAATTAAATCCTCCTTCCTCCTTTTATTTTTGGCATACCGCACCGACTCTAACTTCGGTTCTCACCTCTAAGGTACAGCACAATGAACACAACAACAAAATGCTAAAAGGTAGGATGGCTCACCACCAACCTTGCCACTGGCCTTTGAGTTCCAGACAATCTGCTCCAGGGGAAGGGGGCCTGAGGATCTACTCCAGCTCTGCCGCGACGGTGGTTCCGTTTTGATTGAAGGGGCCAGGGGTTGGTGGTTGGTTTTGCTCGAACTCCGTGGAAAGTGTTGAAGGTTCTTGGAGCAAGGGAGCCTACAGAGGGACGTGTTTGCACAGAACTTTGTGGGTGGCGGGAAGAGATTTGATGGTTGGAGTGGCCGACTTTGTAAATGTGTTAATTGAAGGAAGAAGGAGGAGGTAGTGATTGAATGCGTAACGAAGCGTCCGGATCACTCAATGAAAACGACGTTATTTTGATCAGTGAATTTTTCCATCTCAGAAATGAAGTGGGGGGCTCAGACTAAGGGCCTCAGGGAAGGGGTAGCTGACACCCCTCTCCCGACGGAGGCCAGGAGACGGTGAGGGAAGCCGTGGCGCTCATCAATGGGGAGGCGGGATTTGCCGGCGCCACAATCAGCTTTCTCTGTCCGGCGGTTGCGGTGGAGGGATGAATGGAGGAACATAGGAAAAGGGCAAGGACGGAAGAAGGGGTTGTGGTTGACGACGATCGCCGATAAAGCAAGGAGAAATGGCGGTTTGGCGCCAGTTTGAAATCAATGACGGCGTGGGCCCACACCCACGGGGGGTGGTTCTTCTCCGGAGTCTGAAAAAGAAAAGAGGAGTCGTGGTGCAAGTTCACGTTCGAAGGAAGAAAGGACCCTGCAAAAGAGCTCACACGTAGGTGCCAATATCATCTTGTGGAAAGCATCATCGTTAACAACGAATTTAATTAGGCATAGAAGTGACAGGGCCACCGCCACCCAGAGGAGTAGCTCGAGTTGATGTTGATGGTTCGGTTGCGGAGGAGGTGTGATTCGTGATGATTAGGGGGAATGGATCGGATTATGGGATTTTATTTGAGATTAATTAGAATGATGATGAGTGAGAGATGAATTGATCATATCGCCAGGTTCCAGCTATTTATTGTCTATGTATCATATATATCATACTAGGCAAATATTCCTCTGCTCCTTATTGTATTAAATAAGTTGGATTATTTATATTATTAGACCCATTTGTTATGGATTATAAAGAGTTTAAAGTAAGATAGGTTTGTTTCTTGTTTTGTTCTTTAATGTCTCTTTTGTAATTTCCTTCTATTAGTTACTCTGTGGACAGGATTTTAGTTTCTCGCTTTGCTTTTTGGCTGTTTGTATTCACTCTTTATTCTTTTTAACAAGATCATATATCTTGGTCAGGAAAAAAAAAGTAAAATAGATTATTCATAGTTTTATGAATGATATATTTCGCTATAAATTTTATATTATATATTAATTATTAAACTTAATATATACGACTTCATAATTCATGCGTTTTTTCCCCAGAAAACAAATCCAATTTTGGTGACGTTTATCGTGTAAATAAAATGCAGGCCAATTTCGCATGTGGATAATTAAAGGTTCGGTGCGCCTGCAATTAAATCGCGCTCAAGTTTTGTCTTTCCTGTTGGTGTTTTATTTTCTCTACCTGATCAGAAGGATATGCGTTAAAAGCTTGAGATTATAAATGAAATCCAACTCATTTATAGTCACCGGCGAATATTCATGCATGCCACTGAGCGAGTTACATAAAAGGCAGCTGTGGAAGATGAGAATTGGTTGTCATTGAGACCTTCGGTACTGTTCCCTCACGTCAGCGTGATCCAGACTAATCTGAAGTGTGGATCCACAGTGAGCTTTTCTTTAATTTGCTTCCGTCTGTCTAGTCTTTCCACTGCAGTTCCCTTTTCTATTAGGGTTACGTAAAGCCATTGGCGTGCTCGTGTTTTTATTCAACCGCCCTTTCTGTAACGCGGAGATTGTTTCTTTAATACTCTCACACACGAGTTTATGGATTGACGAGGGTAAATCTCTCGAACAAGTATCTATCTAATAAGTGACGCGTGGCATATATAGCATGCATTTCCATTTCCTATTATTTATATATATAGATATAGATATATACAGTGGTGATCAGTCAATATATTAATGATGATGTTCTGGAACGTGGAAGTTATTCAAACTCACATTATACTTACTTTAACCGTTTAACGAGAGAGTTTACTGCTTTTTTAATATATTAATGGTGGGGTGTGCCGCTAAAAGCTCGGCTCCAGGGAAGGTTCCAAGGTGACGTATGCATGGCAGAAGCAAACTTGGGGGATCTCATCGACACTGTTACGTTGATCGATGATGAGGAGCGCTTTCTGCAAACAGATGCCAACTCCAAATGAAAGGTACGTAGCTTTAATGAGAATATTTATTACCTTTTTCATTTTGGCATGCATCAACGTAACTCCGTTGAAGAATTGTTCCCAATTTTCTTCGGATCAGAGCAGGTTGATGTGTGAGTCCAAAAAAAAGAGCAGGTTGACGTGGATGCTTTTACTATAAAAAAAACAAACTTTAGATGACGACTTCGGCGGCGACAAAAAAAGTCGCCGTTGAAACTAAGACTTTCAGCGGCGACGAAAATGTTTTAGTCGTCGCTGAAAGTTCACCATTGAAACCAAGACTTTCAGCGGCGATAAAAGTGTCGCCGTCGAAACTTCTAAAAGTCGCCGCTGAAAGTATCTTTTAGCTGTGACCTTTGTAGTTGTGGCTGAAAGTTTTCAGCCACAGCTGCTACGACAACGACTTTTGTACTTTCAGCGGCGACAAAGTCAATTTTTTTGTAGTGTTTTGGCATGATCTTGTATAATGTCTTATTCTATTCAAGTTCAATATGATGTTGTTGGTTTTTTCATTGGCCCAGCTTTATTATTTTATGATGTAGCTAGACGCTGGTGATGGTTTGGAGACCCATCTGATGCACACCGGCGGCGTTGGTATTTCCAGGTCGGTGCTGCTGGTACCTGCTGTGATGAAAAGTAATTAACAGTAATTCTAGCCATCTCACACTTTTGGTTGTGATTTTTTAAAAAAGCCAAGAGTCCTTTTTAAAAATACTTTCAACAAACCATTATTTGGATATGTTGTTGGACATGTCAGGATATTTTTAACAGTTCATTTAGAAAATAAAAACCGATAAAAAAGGTTTATTTTGAAAAGTAGTTTTAAATTATTACTTTTATAGACAGGACTTTTGCAATTGTACTCTTAAATTTTTATCTCATGCCTTCGGCTTGTTTCCCTCCCCACAACTTCTTGCCGCGCCTGTATTAAACCCGTTATAAGGTTGACAAAAAAAAAAAAACCCGTTATAAGGAAGGTTGGTAACTTCGATCGGGCTGCCTAGCGAAATACTTTTTTGTGATCAAAATAAAATTTCATTATCTTATGAAATTTTTTATTACCATTATGTTTGATATGACATGAATTCGAAAAAAAAATATTAGATTATTTATGAATTTTGACGGGCTGATAATACATGAATGGAAAAAAATTACAGAAGGTAGTATAATCTATTTATTTCCAAAGTATTAATTTTTATTTGTTTAATTTGATTTTTTTTTCCTACGCCACCTTCACAGAATTAAATTATTCATCAAATTTCATTAATTTTGTTCACTTATGAGCAAATTTTTAACGCCTAAAATATTCTTTTTAACTTCTGCATAAATGTTCTTTTAAATAATAAAAATTCAATAATTTCAAATTGCAAGCAAAAATTGTTTTCAAAACATTGATTTGATTTGAAACGACGTTTTATTCATTCTAGTTTTTGATTCACAAAAAAAATATTATACCTTTTGGAAACAAACATATTGCCAAAGATTACCATGCGCTTGATAACGTGGATTGGCAGATATTGTACGTTTTATTCACTGCTATAATGCAATGACGTGGTGAATTCCCGAACCGTCTCCTCTCTCCCCCCCCCCCCCACCAAAAAAATTTTTATATCTCAATTTTTTCCTTAAATTTAATTTCTTGTATCGCAATATAAAATGTAACATTATGAGCCCATACTTAAAATTTGAAAATTGCAAACAGGATTGCTTGCCGGAACTATATAACTTCTTTAAAAGCCAACAAAACTTAGATCACGACATTACGACGATACAAAAAAGCAAACTCTACATGCTCGTAAGATTGTTACAAGTAACAAACTCAATTACTTTACAGAATGAAACAAAGCAAGAAAACCTTGATAATATTGTCCGTCTTTCAACGAATATATTTTCCAAACGTTGGCGTAACCAATTTTGACGAATATCAATCATGCAAGGAATTCAGCAACGGATACTGCAGTTGGAACATTTGTCTCCTGAGCCTCAGCTACTTTCGGTGGGGCCTCTGTTGGTGCAATCACTGTCGGTGTTGGTGCTGGACTGATCGTCGACAATGTTTGGACAGTTTCCCCGCTAGCATTTTGATCAGCATCACTTGCTGACGCAGAGGCAGGAGCTTCTTTGTTATCAACATTGGTTTCCCCTGATTCCGGCTGGGATGGAGCCGCCACTGAATCCGGTTGGGAGTCTGGGGCGGACTGTGATGCAGCTGAATCAGGGACCGGTGCAGGTGTGGATTCAGATTGCTGTGGAGGTGGTGCACTTGGTGGCTCCGCTGTGGTGGCTGTCGGAGGAGCTTCCAATGCCAAAGGCTTGCCAGGTGGCTGCTGTGAATTCTGAGCAGCAGAAGCTGGTTTCTTTTGAACAGGAATAGGTGCAGAAAGAGACATCATCCCTGGAGGTAGGATTTCAATTGGAGGTTTCTTCCCTGCTTCTGCCAGACTCGTAAGTTTGGGGTCCTCTAGAGAGGCAAAGAATGCAGCTGCAGCATCTGTCTTCTGCGATGAAGCAGGCTCGATCTCTCTCTGTAGCATTTGGTTCCAGGCCTGAACCAAGTTCTTCAATGTCGGCCGTCCATGTGCCTGAAATTAAAGCGACTGGGTCATACAAAAAGCATTAAAATGAGGGGATAAATTTGGTGTGTCCGAAACGGTTCATACATGAGCATGAAGCACGGCCTCTGCCAGCATCCCAGTATCCTGCCATGCCTTTTCCATTAGAGCGTTGTCTCCCAAAACTGCAGCAGCAAATGCAGCTTCCCGTCCCAAGCCAAGAGTTATCAAATTATTTACCAAGCCCTGCAATGCATGGCAGTTAAATCTTTTAACAACAGAGATGGACCAAATGAATAAAATGCAGCTTTGGTTGCTATTTTCATCATGCGTCAAACAGAATGTGGGTCGGAAAAGAATAGAGGCAGACTGCCTACACTTAGCCGTGTTAACTCCCCATGATTTGCAAGGCGCAAGGCTAAACCCCTCAACTCGTGGCCTTGTAAAGCACCTTTGACTGAAACTGCCGCAGCTAACCTTTTGAGAGCTTCACGAGCAATTTCACTTTGCGCGGTAGCATCTGCAGCATCGATGAGATCCAAGAACTCCTTTGCAAACTTCACTATGCCCTGCACAGCTTCAACTATATCTTCCTTTTTATCTGTCAAATTAAGTATATCTGTCAAACCGAGCCCAGTGTTATCCTGCCCTATGCCTCTGCTATTACTCATGGTAAGAAGGCACTGGAGAGCTCTCTTCAAATCATTACTCTTCATTGCCAGATCAAACTCCAACCTGCAGAACATATATGAGAGCGATATATATATAACCATGCGTTCACATAAGGATTTTAATGCTTATTCAATTGAAAAATATTTTTTTTTAAAAACATTTTAACAAAAAAATTACACTTTGACAAATGGTGATTCAGAAAAATAAGGTCTGAATTCTGAGCATGCATCATACCTTTTAGATATTCCAGGCAAATGAAGTGCTTCAGTAGCATAACCCATTCCCAGCAAAAATTGAGCTAAATCGTCATGGTGTTCTCTCCCAAGCCTACTTGCCCTGTTTGAATGCATGATATTAGATATGCAGATGTACTGCTGAATCCGTAAGGGGGTGAGAGACGAGAACAAAATATCAATACCATTTTATGGCACTAACAGCATCACCATAAGCAGCAAGACATCGGCAACGAATACCTGGATGACTCAGGGACAAAGCATGTGCACACATGTACCTACCATAATTCAGGCATCAGAATCGTGTGATAAACTAATTCAATATAGATGCAGCAAGTAGAGTGGATTTTTGGGCATCCAAGTTATGCGTGCAAGCATAGAAAGGAGCACCCAACATGAGGTTCGGTTATTTGGATGTGAAATTCAACGGAATTAGCTGCAAATACGGACAAAATTTGATAGATTATGCAAATCCTCGGAACTAGGTCCTCCATTTACCTGTCAATTACCCAAAGAACTCCATCTCTGACACCCACCACAACCAGAGGCCCAACAGGACGTTTCTGCTCCAGTGGGAACCGAGTAACAGCAACAGACACTCCCCCACCACCAACAGCTATTTCACTAGCCTTTCTTTCTTCTGCCATCCCAGAGTCATCACTATCAACTCGAGATTGTTTTGGCAACGATATGAAAGGCGGCACTGAAGGAGCATGCTGAAATGAAGCCAATCGTACCACCTGATGTGGCAATAGGATATGAGCTACAAGCTTATTGATCAGATGACAATGTAACTAATCATACTGCTCAGATACATAAGGCTCAAAAAGGGAGCGCAAGACATTGGACTTTTTAAAACCACTCAAAAAAGAAATTTTTGATAAAAGGAGGGGGAAAACTCTTAAAAAGATTAGCAAAGCCATTCAAGTAATATGCAGTTTGTCATGGACTGTAACAAGCCATGTCTGAGGGAAGTGAGCTTTCCAATAGAATAACTGGTCTGTCTTACCAAACACACCAAGAGGAATTTTCTTTCTCCTCCTTTCCTTAAAACTCCTTCCATTTCTACCAAACATGCCCTAAATGCATGCTCTATAGATCATAAACCCTAAGAGCTATTCTAACCTGTAACATTGGCGGCCTCAATGACATTCTTTCTTCAGTAGTATTTTGGGGACCATCCACAGTAATTAGTGCCAATTCTCCATGCTCAGCCACTGCTCTTGCTTGTGCTTCTTTCATTCTTTGCTCTTCCTTCATCTTCTTAGTTTCTATGTCAATTTGTGCAACCCCGGCATCCACAAAAACAACTCTGAAAGAAAAAGGTTATAATAAGAAGATTAAAAAACTATCAATTGTTATCATTTTGGCTAAATGAAGATGGACATATTCATGCTCTATGCATAACATTGCTATCACTTAGAAAAACACACAGAAGCACAGGGTTTCCAACTCCATTCTTATCAAGGCCCAAAAAAAAAATCTCTTAGCAGGTGATGCAATTGCTCCACATTAAGACCGCATAAAATGACAAATAGAGATTAACAGATAGAAGAAAAACATGTAAATGACTAACAAATAAAGTTTGGCCCTACAGCAGATTGACAGGGAATTAAAGATTCAGAATGTAGTTGCGGCTTCCATTTCTGATCAGCTGACAGAAACGAATAAAGCATATGGTCATGATATAAACTGAAGAACGATCACACAACTCACTCTATAGTAGTTGGTGTGGCTACAAATAGTTGCCTTCGGTGCCAAACAGCACTAGTAGCATATGGAATTGCAACATCTCCCAGGTATCTATATTGTGGACGCAAACATGATATGACTATGTAATGTTGATATGCAAATGCACAGTACTCAACAGCTTGGTCCCAAGCAGTCCATTCTGGCTGAGGAAGTAGGTCACCCACGGGCTGGAAAGTCTCCCAACTGAATCAGAAACAAAACAAATGCACCAATGAATCTAAAGCTGGAAAATGCCTCATCAGAAAAACCAATATAGAGTGAAGAAATACACAAGTCATGATACACATCATTCTCAAATCGATGTAAACTTGATGTGAAAGAGGAGTTTAAAGGTCAAATAGGATTCCAACAAACATAAAATGATACATGTAAAATCATTGATTATTAGTATACGAAGATGATGCATCAAAATCCCTAAGCCAACCAAGGAAAAAGGCTCTTGATCCAAAAGGCTATATCAATCAACAAAATTGATCTGATTTCATGATGCATTGCCCAAAAGGCTATCAGATTTACATGAGAATTTAAGTATGAGACTGACTTGTGAAATTATACATAATGCTCATTTTGGTACAAGAAGAGGGTTCAACATTTATCACTCTATTGGAAAACTTGAGGACTAAAGTTTCCTAGATACCCACGTTGATACTCATCAGCAAATCCAATTTGCTCATGATTAAACATTGTCCACAGATCATATTCATTTTAGTTCCAAACGGCATGCTTACCATTTGCTAACTATAGATACATCGAGGTAGGTAGTATTATGCAGTTCATGCATGAAATGAATAAATTATAAGATTTATAAATCACAGGCAATACAAGCATCAAATGTCGGCATTATTTTATTTTACTGTTGGGATAAAATTAGAATAGAATTTATCAAGTCAGAGAAGAGAAGCACAAATTAACCCAGGGGAACGCGGGAGCTAGGAAAACAAAATTTATTTCAAGAGAATGGACAAATCCACTGCTCATGAAAAAAAATCCTAAAAGCCTAATCCAAAACAGTGCCTGGCCTACTTATTTATGTCAGATGAAAATCAATGACTTGAAATGAAAGAAGCAAACCTAAAAGGAAGCTTTAGAGTACGTTCCAAACAAGTACTATAACTATTACCTGTATAGCTGGAAGTTCTGAGGAGCTGCCTCAGATGGAGATCTATTTGAGGAAAATCCATCATCAAAAGTAGTAAAAGATGAAAGACCACTGCTTCCATAGCCTGACAAGGGCATGGACTGAATTGTTGAAATAGCTGTAGCAGCAACTGGACTGACTCTCCTGGATGTCCGATAGGCAACACCAAGCAAAGCCCCCCCATGCAACCCAATGACCTACAAGAGATGCATGAATGAGACAGGTAACTTGACATTCAAGCCATTGGTTCCTGTATTGACGGAGTACTCAATGCCCATTGAAGGATAACATGCACGGTAAGATATAACATCTACATAGAAGAGTGCATGCCCCTCTTACTGTTGATAACAAACATGGATTTTTTTTTTCCTTTTTTATACAGCACATGGACTTATTACGAAACATAAAATCTTAGATCTGGTCTTTACATTTCAACATTTCTGAAGATATCATGGAAAGCCTTTTGCTTCAAAGAGTGAATACAGAATTCTCCCGCATAACAAGCAATTTTAGAAAATATTACATTTACAATTGCACAGAGATTGCAATAAAGTCCAGCCCAGATTGGTCTTTTCCAACTTGCTAATTAATTAGTTTGCAATGTGCATATCCAAGGGAGTAAATCACATTAATCCATACAAATTTTCAGGAAACAAATCACAAAGCCGTTTTCACAAAAGCCATCAGCAAGAACAAATGCAAGGCAAGCTCTAAAGCATTGGCATGCCTAAATGTGAAAGTGACTTCAGTTTGGGACTTTTTTAAGGATGATATATTGGATGGGGACTGGTGAGTTTTTATTAGATTAGTGGGGAGAGCGCATGACCCTTTTGTAGCAACAACATGCCTTTATTATCTTTCATGCATAGTTTTTTATGGTTAATTGCCTGGGAGTATTAGAGGGTAAGCCTTGGAGCAATAGTAAGGTTTTTACCATGTGACCCTAGAGGTCATGGTTTAAATCTTGGAAACAACCACTCTACTTGCCGGGATAAGAAGGTACATATCTGTCCCTTCCAAAGTCCATGGTGGGAGCCTTATGCACTAAGCCGCCTGTTTCTCTTTTCTTCTTTTATTATTATTATTATTATTTTTTGGAGCACTATGGCTGCCCGTGGAGATTGTGGTCTGACCAATGAGGTCCTGCTCAGTCACACTGGGCCAATTAAAAAATATATCAATGGTCTGGGATGGGTCACTTGATCAAGCCAGCAATGCTAGCCAGTTTACTTGGCCAAGTCTTGCTATGAAAACTATCAAAAAGGGGTCCATTTTGATTTTGTTTTCCCCTAAGGTAAAGCCTGGCCTAGCTTGACCCAATCTTATGACACCAGTCAAGCAGGGCATCAGGCTAGGCCAAAGTCAATCCTAGATTTGCCTGTATGCATCCCATGAGTGTGTAACAAGTCAACCCGGGCATCAGGCCAAGCCAAAATCAATCCTAAATTTGCCTGTGTGCATCCCATGCGCGTGTGCCTATGTTGCCATGCCTGTGCCTTATATTCCTTTTAAGTTTTCTTTTTTGTACTGATACATGTACTTGCACCCATACCAACGCAACAAAGAAGGAGATAAAAACTTCTAATTATTATGATTTAACTTCAAAGTTTTTCCAAAAGGTTTTTTTCATTAGTACATTGAAAGCTTTGCCACCAAAAATGCCATAAATAATATAAAGGCATAAAATAAGAAAAGGTCGTACTGGGTCACTGCGTGCACCAACAGATCTCATTAGTATGTTAGATGTTCCATCATCTAGCAAGATACGCACTTGAACAGACGCCATGGAAGCAGCAGAAGCCGCAGCAGCAGCGGCTTGTGCTGCAGCTGCAGCAGCCTCTTTTGCTCTTCTAGAACCTCCCTTAGGAATAATAGGAATTCTAGGAGGTAATGATGATTCCAATATGGCAAATCTGTCACGACATGTATCCCAAGCAAGAAGCCTTGCACTGCCAGAATCAACGATTGACCAGTCACTAACCTTGTACACCGAGAAGTAAGGAATATCTGGCCAAACAATGGCTAGATACCTGCAATGATTCAATTAGAACGTCAGGGGGGGCAGGCTAGTGGATGTCGTGAAGCTGCTATGGTTGTTAAATGCGGAAGTCAGAAATTTTAATTTCATCATTTGAACACCCTTTAGTAAAAGAAAATTTATTATTAAAAATTATTTAAAAAAATTAGTTGCTCCTGGGAGACACAGTTGCCACTCAAAATCGACAATGCTGAAGCAAATGACAGGCAACTTACTTCCCTGAACTGCTCATAGAAAGAACAGAATATGAATCGTGTGGAACAGGTGTATTAATCTGTTTCCTCCCCTGCTTGATAGGTAAAGGTTCCACAAAATCACCCCTAGATCTTCCTGTTTCTGACAGGGAGCTATTATTTCCAAGAGATGGATTTGCCGAATTGTTTAGCTGAAAATTTAGCAGTTTGAGCTCCCTTTCAACTACATATACAACAGCATGCTCTCGGCTGTCTACTGGTGTTGGCAGGGGTGCCACAGCTGGAAGAGACCTAGGATCAAACTCACATATTATAACACCAATGTTGGTTCCAGTAGCAACAAGATGTGGCTGCAAAGCGTGTGCAACCATACAATAGACCTGCATAAGAAAAGACACATTTCATGTGCCACTGAACACATGTAACAAATCTCAGCTAACTCCATATGCTGCCAGGAAAAATTACCTTCACTTCCATAGCAAGCCCCCAAAGAAAATATAGACAGGATGCAATACCAAAGACAGGATTAGAAGTGTGTGTAATGTTTTAAGTATCTACATTTTAGTTCAATAATGACACATTCAATGACAAAATATTTTCTATAGCAGGATTGAGAAAACGTCTCAACAAACTTTGTTACTCTTAATTTTGGATTACCCTCACCTCTCTTCAAATCATGACAAGTATTTTTGAACAATATTCTCATGACTCATGGTAACAAAGCTTTAGCAAAAATTTATATGTCTGCACAAAGACATGATAGAAAAGACAGAGGTTAACAAGAAATTATAAACTATAGTCACGTACCCTGAGCTTCTTATTAGATGCAAGAGCTTGGGGAGGAATAACTGAGGTTAATTCACAGAGCGGTCTTGTGAGAGCAGAATAAGTAGGATGTTCAATTGCCCTGACAATAGTCCAAAAAATAATGTCTTCAAATACAAAATTGAAATTATTGAGCTACAGCCAATCAATCCCCCAATAGTCTAACAAGTAACAACCTAGCTAACTACAGGAGTTATTTTGTGACGACACAATTAAGTAACAATTACGAAAGTTAAATCCAGCCACGTGAGAATGGCACATACCATATATGAGAGTCTTTTACACAAGTAAGAATATCAAGGTTTGGGGCTCGAGGATGGCACCAAGATGCCACACTATGGCAAGCCAATTTTGGAACTGGTTTTATACGTCGCAGTTCCTGAGAATTGGAAAAACATCAGAATGAATACAGATAAGTAACACTATGCCAGAACATTCTAGCCTCTGGTATTTTCATAGAACAAAACTTTCCAATGTTAAGACCAAGACCACACCTTAAAGGAGACTGTGTCCCATATAGCTAATGTCTTGTCTGCACCAATTGTAATAAGCTGAGGAGCACCTCCAATCACCCTAGAAATCTCAACTCCCACAACCCCACCATCATGGGCCTACATGTATCAGGTTGTTTTGCAAGGCAATAAATTGGTAGATATCAACTCAGCAAAAAGGTGCACAAAAGTTTGATAGGGTAGAAAAGAACTGATAAATAAAGTGGAAGCAGATAATGGAAAAACTCTGAATCAGTTTTAATGTCACTTTGGCAGCAACGAAATTTGTAGCAGGGCTTTAAGCTTTTTTATTTTCGTTTTTGAAACTGAAGTAAGGCATCATGTAATGCATTTGATACCAACACTAGATTCAACCAAATATATACACAATCACATAGCCAGGGAGGAAAATCACATCAACTTTCAGGAGGATTTCTGGTTGTTCTTTGATGCATTTATCTTCTTTCTCTTCATAAAATAGTCTTGTTATGTAATAATTGCAATACAGAGAGGGATTGTAATAAATTCCTAGTGGCCTAAATTGTAGCCTTGAGAATAAATAGTCGGGATTCCTCTAAGCCATGAAGAGTAAGTTGCTTGACTTGTAGAGGCTGTTAAAGTTATAAGAGAATACTGTTAAGACTGAATTCTTGCACTAATTCTTTTTTAGAAAAAAAATCAACCAGGCCAGTAATTATAACAATATTCTGGTTGGGCCGCCATACTAAGCAATAATTCAAAGTTGACCTTTGCCAGAGGTGAATGGTACCTTTAAGCTTAGTTTTGGAACAAGTTCTCGTGAATCTTGTATATGGTCTGCACTCCATAGTACAAGCAATCCATCATTGGCACCCGAGACCAGAAGACCCTAATAGTAAACAGAAGGAAAATAAAATGAAAGTTTAACAGTAAATCAAACAGAAACCCCACAATTCCAGAGCGTAGAAACAATACATAGACATACACAGGCAGGCAAGACCCGCAAATCTAATCAACAGGTTCTACCATCAATAATAATTTGCCTGTAGACTCTCATATTGAACATAGTGCTACTGCAAACATACAAGTCCTTCATATGATCGTGAGAGTGAGACTATTACCAACGTACAATTAAGCATATATACTTGAAATAAATCCCCTAAGCAGAAAGGCTTATAAACCCCAAAAAGTAACTCTCACCCCTCCCAGCACAGGCTATACCAAGCAGAAAGGCTTCTAAAGCCCAAAAGGTAACTATCACCACTCCCAACACAGAATGTACCTCTTGGCACCCCCCAAAACATCATTAGGCCAGCATTTACTTTCCCTTACAAGTAAGGATCCATAGGACAAGTATCTAAACCAGCAGTATTTTTCTCTTCTACCCTCTTGGTCTTCCTAGATTTTCCCCTACATGTCCTAGCAAATTCACCAGCTCTACGAAAAATTTAAACTACTAAGCGAACACCCACTTGTAGTTTTATTAAAGTCTTTGATATCAAGCTTTGACAAATTAACAAATGACACGTCCATTCATAAAACCTGATTTTGTCAAAGCATAGACAATAATTGCAATAAATTTCTAACAATATTGCCAATAAAATATAGTTAACATAAATTAACACACGCTACTCAACAGGAAATCAAAATTTACCTCACCAGAAGCAGCCATGAAGGACATCAAGCAAGAGATTGATCCTTTGTGACCTCCAGTGTATCTTCGCACAAGCTGCAAGGAAGAAAAACATAACATGTAGCCAACAAATTCTACTTCATAGAACCCTAAAAATCCAGTAAAAAGGGGGCGGTTCAAAAAATAAACCTTCCAAGTTATCATTGAGAGAACCCTAATGACACCATCAGATCCTCCAAAAGCAACAAGAGGGCCATCACCCCCACCAGATCGATAGAGGAACTCCATGCTGCAACAGCAAACAATAGTGAATGGTATAAAACTGAGCTGATATAGTACACATCCTGATTAAAAATAAAACTAGAAAACAACATATAACCTTATTTGTGGTTAGTAGTTATCATGTAGTTAAAATCTAAAATTACATGACATATGGTGTATGGGAATAGTCATGAGAGATGCTGAAATTCATCATGAAGAATGATTAAGCTGAAGTTCGACTCGTTGAAGATGAAAACTAGGGATGACTTCCACACTCCATGAAGGATTGGATTTGCTAAAATAATTAGAATAGGAGCAATGTAAGAGACAGTCAAATGATTGCCAGAGGCAAAATCTAGATTGATGATTCAGCAATTTATATAAGCCAATGCCAATCTATTGTTACTAGGTGTGTGTTTGTCCACCAACGAGGGCCTGTGTAAGAAACTAGGGAAATATCTGAATGGGCCTCACCACAAAAGTTCAAGTGACTACAAGTAGTTAACATACAGTCTTAATAGACTCTGTAAAAAAAAAAAAGGAAATCAGTGACAAAGAGGATTGAATATAATCACACGTAGTATTGATTTACCATAGGAGGGATTTATTATCAAGCTCCTGCTTTGGTACATCACGGCCGCGCATTGTCACCAAGTCCAAAAATATAGCTTTGTTCAAACAACATATAACGAGAAAATGCCTTCCCTTTGTCGATGGGGCTGGAGAGCTAAAAGCTGATGTAAGATGATGCACAGCTGATGGAGCCTCTGCAGCTGCAAAGCGATTGTGCCAAAGTTGCCAGAAGCGTACATCATCATCAAAAAATTTCACCTGCATAACACTTTAAAAGCAAGAGTAGAATCATGATAAACAAATAGCCAGAATGAGGACGATACGAAATATAAAGTAAAGGAATATTACCTCCCTCCCCGAATAGCTTCTGTGGGCTTCCCTTTGGAGTCTACAAAACAAAATACATCATGTTGCTTAAACAGTACAAAATTATTTATGGTCATCATTATCAAGAAACCATTGTAATGGCATCAAGTGATATTCACTCGTTATCGCAAAGAAAAGTTGTGAATAGTGACACTTAAGAAATTCAAGCAATTCTAGCTCTCAGTGCATAAAAATTACCGAAAATGTTGCAAAACCAAATGAGGCAAAAAACATAAGTGCCAGGAAATTATTAATGACTATAATCAAATGCATCTTACCATGTGCATCAAAAGCAGAACTTCTAAATTACCACAAATATGTGAGGGCGTCAACACATTCACTGGTACTGTTTAACTTAAAGCGAAATGTTGTACCTGTTTCTCCCTCAGCAAGCTTCTCCAACTTGGCACCGACCAAACGCCGCTCATCAACTCCGCCAGCTTTCAGCTCGTATATCACCTAAAGAGGAGGATTTGGTGAAATACAAACAAGCAAATAAAAGGAAAGTTGCACTCATAAGAGGCAAGACTGAACAATATGCAATACAACATTGTACCTGGCGGTGTTCCCAGTTCCAAACAGAGACCCGATCTGATGCATCTGCCGTGACCATCCATGGGTGCGTCGGATGCAATTGGATCTTAACAATTTTATCACTGGTCGGTCGGAATGCTTTCAATCGCAGCATCTTTTTCTCTTTTGTTAGCTTAATATAGTTAAAACTATAAAGAAGAGATAAAGAATAAAATTACTTGCAGAGTTGTTTAGATCGGACTCGACCAGGCAGTTTTCGTTCAAATCATGAAAATTCGAAAAAAATGTGCGTTCACTGATGATGAACGCACATCAACGCCATCAAGTTAACGAATTCTTCCCACGATGCCACTCATGTTCCCTTTCCTCTCTTCACTCCCATTTTTCGCGCAACTAAACAGAAGGGAAGACTAGGTTAGACCTCGCTCTGTATGAAAGGAATTCAGGCTATGGGATGATGAGACCAGTGCTAGATTTCAGAAACGCAAGACCCGAATTCAGAGTAGTTTCCGTGAGCTTCTGTTCCAACCTCCAGATCGCGTTACAGTTTGTATTGCCCCGCAACGCCTCTCCGGTCTTCTTTTAAAATTAAAATTAATTATTAAAAAAAAACCTTTTCCTTGCCGCGTCATAATTTCTTGCGGGGACAATTTTTTTTGCCGGCAAAATCAAAAACAGATTAATATTCTCAAAGTTCAAAGGGGATATCAATATCGTTATTACTAACCATAATTTTCTTTGCGGGATGGTTAATTTTTTTTCAACCGGTCAGCTTCAACATTAATATCTCTTCTCATCCTAACTATTTGGTTGATGGATGTGGTTTGAAAATTTTAAAATTTTTTTTGCCCTCATCACCTTTGATTTTTTAATATAGAATCTAGTTTCCAGTTCAAAAAATCTTATACACAGCAGTTGAGCATTGCGAATACCTTTTGTTGTTTTGTTTACGACCTACTTGTATCCTGCTTCCGGTCTTTATTATAAATTACAAAAAACAATTTGCAGTTAGTTAAAATTAAGTAAAAACAACAAGTATGTTAAAATATGTTTTTATTTTTAAATATGTTTTTATAATAATAAGAAAGTATATAAAAGAAAATATGTGAGAAAATAAAACAAAAGAAAATATGACAAATGAGAGAATAAATATTTAAGAATAAAGTTAGAAAAAATACATTAAATGTCAGGACAAACTCAAATTAAAACTTATAAAATGAACTATATCTCTCTTCAAATTTAAAGTTTATATATAAAACTGGAGGGAGTATATTACATTAAAACTGTTTTGGCGAAGCTAGTGCTTAAAATCTATTAACTCTGTGAACCAAATAAGATTTCGATTTTACCCTCATCTAAACTCATATAGCAGAGCCCCAGTGAAAAAGGGCCAGCATTGGATAATGGCAATGTGAGAAATGTGCAATAAACATCTCTTGTGATATTTATAAAAAAGGGAAAACCATATTGAAGGTACCTATACTTTCTCTCAATTTTTAATTTGGTGCTTATATGTTTTTTTCCCTTTAATTAAACATTTAATTTTATTTTTTTAGCAACATTAGCTCTTATAACTTTGTTCTATTGATATTTTTAATCTTTACATAAGGATTAATGATGTTAATAGAGCAAAAATAAAGATTTAGTTAAGAACAAAAAACATATAGGTACCAAATTGAAAATTGAAAAAAAGTATAAGTACCTCTAATATGATTTTCCCTATAAAAAACGCCAAAAGTTCTCCTCCATATGCCTTATGAAAAGGAGTCAGGTGACTATAAGACAAAGGCAAGTTAATTCTTCACACATGATGATAAAAATATACTTCCTTCAGTTCTTAACATCAAAATCTAATTAACTAATTTAAATAGATTAAAAAAATTAGTTAAATAAACTATTTGTAATAAATAGATATTGTTTTTCTTAAAATATTCTTGCTAATCAAGTGTATGACTGGAACTAACATGATTACAAGGACTATCTTTTTAAAAAAAAGATAAATACAAAAGAGCAGCTGGATTGATATTTTATATTTATGATTAAAATAAAAATTAAATAAGTTATTATATTAAGCACAGGAAATAGTATATCCCATGATGAAAAAAAATTGTTAGAGAAAACTCTGCGTGTATGTAGACTGTGGATAAAGAGTAGCTGTACTGTTTTTTGAAGGGGGAAAAAAAGTTATCGGCCATGTTGGAATAAAGTTTGGGTTTAGGACGAAAGCTAGACAATTTTTTTTGGGTCAAAGAGAGCTACAGGATTTCGGGAAATAGAAAACTGTAAGATGGGAACTGCGTGGGCCTCGTGGAAACGATTCTTTTAATTCGGCCTGTGGGCCTCTCCATTAACCCAGTTGGATTATAGTAGTTTTTTTTTTGGTTCATTTTTTAATAAGAGTTACACCGTTAATCTATATATCAATATTTAACCAACGAGGTTGGATATGGGAAAAGTGATATCCTCCTCGCAGCTTCATAGCGTAATGAATCAATAGTTAATTTTTTATTAAAAGGGAAACCCCCCGTTCAGCGTCTGATAAGGTTTAGGACATAGTTGAAGCGTAATAAACGTGGCATGGTGGGTGGCGTACGATTCATTGGTTCACTTTCAAAGGACTTGACAATATTGCTTCTACTCCTCAATATAACAGTTATATGAAAACTTGATTTGATTATGTATATACTCCTCCGGTCCTTATTATAAGACCCAATTTGACTTTTTATTTGGTCCTAATTATAAGACCCAATCCATTTTGTCTCTTATATTTATGCATTTTTTTTCAAGATAATCCTTCTAATAATGATAGTTTTAGCCAATATACTTAATTAGCAAGGATATTTTAGGAATAACAGCACTTATTTATTATAAATAACCAACTTAACTTACTTCCTTAATTTCTTCAAATAAGTCAATTGGGTCTTATAATTAGGACCGGAGGAGTAAAATATTGATTCACTTTTTCTTGCAACCTTTTCAATATATCTCTATTGGGCAGTATTGGCTGTGAGAGATTCTCATCAAAATGTAGTTGCAATTCCAACACACGTGATTACAGATAGTAGTTTTGAAAAATTAATACTCCTCCGGTCCTAATTATAAGACCCAATTGACTTATTTGAGGAGATTAAGGAAGTAAGTTAAGTTGGTTATTTATAATAAATAAGTGTTGTTATTCCTAAAATATCCTTGCTAATTAAGTATATTGGCTAAAACTATTATTATTAGAAGGATTATCTTGGAAAAAATGCATAAATATAAGAGAGAAAATGGATTGGGTCTTATAATTAGGACCAAATAAAAAATCAAATTGGGTCTTATAATAAGGACCGGAAGAGTATATATTTATTACTAAAAACTAACCTAATTAATTTTTTAAAATTAACTGCCTATCTGCTATATGATGGACGGGGGTGTGATATCATTAATATGATGTATGTACCATTCAACTCAACTGATACCAAATATTTCTTTGAGTTTTTGTTTAAGTAAAATGCTATAAGTATAACCCCTCGTAAGCACAATGGGTGTGTGAATTCCTTCCATTAGACATATAATGTTTTTTTCCTTGGGGGGGGGGGGGTATGTGTACAGCAATGCAACTCCATGTGATTTGAAGCAAATTACAGTTTAAAGACTTTTCTGCATGTACCTGTCTATATTTATTCTACACAATTAATTTTGCGACGTTAATAAGAAATTCCCTGAACATTTTTATTTTATTGCCTCTAAATCCCATTCACAAAACAGGTTTTTGTGTTTTATACATGTCATTTTACATATTTTCTTCAAAACTCACCTTCAATATGCTCCCTCAGCCCCTAATTACAATGGCCCCTAATTACAAGGCCTAGTATTTAGAGTTGTAATTCCCTGATTATAAACTCCGTTTCAAAGTTTAAAGAGTAATTTAACTTTTTAAGTATTTTTCTAAAATATTGTTATATATAGTTCTTAATATAAGAGTTGTTTGATTTTTTATTTAATCATAAATAAAATACATCGATCCACTCTGTCTATTATATTTATTATTTTTTTAAAATAGTTATTATAATAATAATAGTTATAACTAATATACCTAATTAGTAAGAACATTTTAGAAAAAATAACACTTATTTGTCACAAATAACTAAATTAATTAATTTTTTTAATGTATTCAAATTAATTAATTAGTTTTCATATTGAGGATTAGAGGTAATATGTCTCACCAATAATGCCATTTAATTGACGTTGAAAAAACAATGGCCTCGGTTATAGGATAAAATTAGAAATATCAAACAGTTTTTTCAACACCAATTAAATCCAAGTGCTCACTTAATATTGGTGTTTCAATGATGCTGGCAAAAAATCCAAGTGCTCACCTAATATTGGTGTTTCAATAATGCTGGCAAAAAAATTATCGCTTTTCAATAAACTGGGTGTTATAACAAGAGATGGAAAGAATAATGAAAGTGGAATGATAAATCAATGTAAAGTTAAGAGAGACAATTAATAGGGATGTTTAAATAGAAATAAAATTATAATTTCAAAAATAATTTTATGGCATACAAAATAAACATGTAGAATTATTTGTTTCAATTTATAAAAAAATAAAAAACTCTCTGATGATATCTAAACACCCCGATATGAAAATATAAATTAATGAAAGCGGCAATTTTGACACAACGGTAATTTAAAAAGCTGAAATAACTGTTGGATTAAAATAACCAACTTTAACTAACATTTTCTCTTCAGCTAAAAAAAAAAAGAAACTAACATTTTCTCACACGCATGAATTTCGTAAAATTTTTTTAAAAGCTCAACCCAATAACTAGTTGGTGAATAGGAGGGATCTAAAAGACATTCAAATTCTATTAGGGTGTGTTTGGTTGGAGGGGAGGGGAGGGGAGGGAAAATGAGCCCCTCCCCTCATTTGGTTAAAATTTTGGAGGGGAGGGGAGCTAAAATGTCCCCTCCCCTCCCCTCCCCTCCCCCCATTTTGGCTCCCCTCCAAATTGGGGGTTTTTGGAGGGGAGCCAAAATTTTAGACCATTATGCCCTTATGGTTTTTTTAATATTCCACTCCTACCCATAAAAATATTATTATAATATTTATTTCAAATAAAAAATATATTATCCTAAGTAAAAAAATAAAAATAAATACATTATTATAATTAAAAATATATTATAAAAATTATTAAAAACACAAAAATTATTAAATAAAAAATTATAATATATAAAATTAATTGTTTTTTATAAATATATTATTTATTAAATATATTTTAAAGCTGGAAAAAAAGATAGCCTAAAGAAAATAAAATTTCATTTTTCTTAGAGCATATAAAATTTGTTAATTTGATTATTTAAATATATTATTATATTAATTAGAATAAAAAATTACTATACAATTTTTTAATACACATATTAACGTGATAAAACTGAATTTTTATTAAATTATATAATTTAAATTAAGATGTAAATTAATTTATATAACATATCAATAAAAAACATAAACTAATATGTAAGGGTAAAATGGTAAATTGATTATTACTATCCCTCCCC